GGGGAAAGAGGTATGGTTGCCTTAGGTCAGTGGTGCGCACGGGCGAGGTGGACGACGTTGCGGCGACGATTGCGGGTACCAAGAGGGACATCCACGCCTCCTGCTCCTCCTGCTCCTCCTCCTCCTCCAACACCAACACCACCAACAGCGGCGGCAGTAGCAGCAGCAGCAGCAGCAGCAGCAGCGACACCACCACCACCACCACCACCACCACCATCACCACCACCACAACCAGCAGTAACCACAACAACAACAACAGCAACAACAGCCACGGTGTCAATGAAAACCATAGCATCGAGATGGTGAGTGCTGTTGTTGCTTGTCGATGGAGTGCCATGTGAATCGGGTACGACGGAGCCCGCTAGGAACGGTACGAGTGCTCGTCGAGCATACATTGTTCCTGTTGCCGAACCCTTTGCGAGAACACGCCTGACCACAAACCGAGGAGCTTTTGATATGTATTGTGGAGACGTGAGGACACCATACACGCGCACCAGTAGGCAACCTCCCACCGCGTGCCGGCACCGAATAACGCAGTCTCTACTTGTTGGTGCTTGACCCATCTCCTGCCTTTCGCTGCCTAGACTTCCACAAATTGATCGACAATCTCGACACCCATCGTCGGGGATATTCACGCTTCTGACCTTGCGAACTAAACCTAAATTCGACATGCAGGAGATAAGCCCAAGAAGGAGGCCGAAAAAGCAGCACCACCCCACCAAGCCCGTCGAGTGGCACACCCCGTCGTTCGTCAAATGGTTTGACGTGAGTGGATCTTGGTTGAAGCATGGCTTCACAGTTCGACTGCTGTGATGTTGCAATAGCGGGAGTTGAGCTATTCCCACGTGAGCACGTGGCATGACGTGTCCAGACAAACTAGGTCTCGATCAAGAACACGAACAAACAAATATTCCCGTTGCCGCTGTCTTCTCATTGCCTGTCCGTTTATCTCCACGAGCTGTTCGAAAACGTACCGTGCATTCCCCTTCAACTCCGATACGCGCACTTTCCTTCCCTGTGTCATCGCAGGCCAAGTCCTGTATTGTTCTTGACGTCCAACAGACCCAGGCGTTGTTCTCACAAGGTCGGGAAGCGAGAAAGCTCCCGGCGCCGGCCGTTGAGCGATCGAAGCTCCCCTACACCCCTTCGAGCTCGACCCGGACACCTGCACCCGTCGTCGTGAGGGCGGTGAAGACGCCGGCACCCACCATACCGACGAAGAAGCCCTCACCGCTCGCACCCAGCCCATCATCGACCCCGGCGGCGCCGATCCGAGCGCTCCCCCCCGCTTCCCCGAGGAGGCCGACAGTTCCGTTGGCCTCAACCGGGAAACGCCAGCGCGATGGTAAAGGCTTGCAGAAGCCGGAGGAGACAAGAGCGGAGCGGATGAAAGCGGCACCGCGCAGACTCCAGAACATCGGGCCCGTCGCCACCACTGCCACCGCCCTCACCGCCGCCACCATCACCGCAGCCACCATCACCACCTCCACCGCCACCACCGCCACCACCATCACCATCACCGCCACCATCACTGCCACCACCGCCACCACCCCCCCCGCCACCACCATCACCGCCTCCACCACCGCCACCACCGCCACCGCCACCACCGCCTCCACTGCCACCATCACCGCCGCCACCTCCTGCTCCGAGAAAGACGTAGAGACGATTGCGGTAAGAATGCCGCGAGACATGTTCACACGTTTGTTTAAAGATCATTGTTCACAACCATGATCGACTGCAAGGCTCTCAATCTTTGACAGGTGGTCCAAACACGTGTTTCAGCCCAGACAAATTCGTCATTGCATTTGTAGCAGGTGCCTTCGGCGGTAGGGTCTTGATGCACCCTCTTATCCGGCCACCTACATCCTTACCGAAAATAAGTGTCCGTGGAGGCTTTTCTGGTGCCAGCAGCAGCCTTGCACTGTACTTTTTCTTACGCGCAATACCAAGTGAAAGCCCCGTGGACACCTCGCCCGCTGACTCAAAGCATCAATCCCGGGCAGAAATAATTCTGCCAACACGACAGTGCACCCCCCCCCGCACCGTGTTCTTCCAATATCCGTCTCACTAGGCTGCCAAGAAGATTGCGGAGGTGCACTGCTGCCACCAACCGCAGCACGAAAACGAGGGGTGGGTACGGATGCCGTACCTGAGCGACGAGGACGGAGGAAAGGAGGTGGCCGGCGCATTTGTCCACCTTCCCGTGACGATCCTTCCGCCGACCTGCGGCCAGGTGCTTATCCTTTGATGATGGGCTGACTTGAAACCAACATGTTCCGTTCCGGCCGATTGCTCTCGTGATGCTATCGTTCGCGCCAATTGGTCGGCGCTGCGGGGTGCGAAGGTCGATGTTTTCGGCGTAAAGCTTTAGGTGATCGCGCAGCGTTACCACAAGTGTAGCACAGCTTATCGGGAGTCATAACACCCCCCCCTCCCCATCCCCATGTTTTCACTCAAATTACTGTTTCCATCTTGACGGGTTTGCGATGAGGGCACGGTGTACGTCCGACCGGGCGGAGGACCACCGACCCGAGAGTGGTACCACGAGGACCAGCGTGTTGTCTGGGAGGTGCCCAAGTCCACCATTCTGGGCAAGGTATTCCTGACCTTCTCAGCAGCAAGCAGAGACGCTCGCTGCCTCAGGAATATTGTGCGTCCTCCTTGCTCTGCAGTAATCCCGAGCCTGAGAAGAAATTTCGCCGAGCGCCAGCCCAATCGCTATCCTTTCTTTTCCCCATTAAGCTCAGAAAACCGTCCCAAGCCACCGCTTCCGACACGTCCATGCTCTCGCGCCGGACAGTTGCCGCCCTCACATGAAGACCAGACTACTGGTATTCATCGCTCCACACCACTCTCTTGTCTCTAACTCTCTTTGTCTTTCTTCTGCTAAAATTTATTCCTGCACAAACAAGTTCCAGGTGCCCGCGGGAAAAGGCGCAAAGTGCGACGCCTGCCACGACGACAGGCGGGGGTGCAGCTGGACGCCCGACGGGCTCGAGTTGCTCTGCAACTACTGCGCGGACGCGCCTCGCCGCGAGGTGGGCGACTACCGTGAGCTGCGCGGCTACGGCCAATTCGAGTGGGCCAGCGCGTGCGACTGCAACTGGTGATGGTGGCTGACGGCCATCCACTCCACATCCACTTGTAGATGACACGGGCGGGGTGCTCTACGTTTGGTGCATTTGGAATGTATCACTAGAGTACACGGCAATGGTCATCGTGTATTGTATGTCGAAGGGGTGCTGCCGAATTATCGGTACGAACGGAGCAGGAATGTCGGAGGTTTTGGTGTCAAACTTTTCGTTCCTCTCCATAAAATGGCTACCATATGTGTGGTGGTGGACGACATTATTGTTTCTTTACACGTTCCGATGACAAGTGTGTTGAAACAGAAAGGGCTGGGGTGGTTTGAGTCTGCATGAATGGGGCCGATTCCAGGCGTCGTTTCGAAGGCCCATCGACCTTTGATATCCCGCCCAGCCAGCCATACATCTCTCAGCGTGTCTCCAAGCATATCGCTCCGCACTGAAACTAGCCTCGAGGAACTCGACACAGAAAAAGCAAAACTTGGTTCCTGTGAACGGTATCCTTACCGCTACCAACAGTACACACCACAAAGTTACGATGACTTTTCCCGCCCTCTAAACTCAAAACTTGTTCACGACCCCAACACAAACGTTCATCAGCGGAAGCGACAGGGCGACAGGGCGGCTCCCAGTTTTCACCTTTCGTCGATGCCTGCACCCCAGGTTGTTGTGTTTGGCAAGTGATCGGTAGACCACATTTCGTGTCTCATGGAAAAACCATGCTCATCGTTGTTTTGCTGCCGACGTGGTCGTATTTCCTTCCTTGCAAATTAATGCCAAGTCAACGGCCAGCGATGACAAAGCAACAACGAGGACGGCACACCCCCGCCCCGCAAAATCGTAAACCCACACCTGCTCTCTCAGAGGCCGCTGAAACACCCTAGGCAATGACAAACTTGAAATGAAAGAGGAAGCATGATGTTAGAAACCCTTGACGGTGTTTCGAGTATCGAAAACTTGATGTCCCCTTCGATAGGGGTCAACAGCCCGCACCACGGGCCGTATCTTGCGATTGTTTTGATACTGCTATCTACCACATCCAATGATGATGGAAACATTTACTTCCAAGATACCGCACTCCCAAACAGAGCAAGCGGCCGAACGAACAACGCCCACAAACCACAACGTTCCTCATCGGCCAGTTTCCAATAACCAATTCTCAGATATCGAACTGAATCAGCCAACTCCCGGAAGGTGACACCAACCAACAACAGGCATGCCGTTATCGCACGCCCTTATGTATTGATTTCCGCTGAACGCGATTGTTTTTCCTCCACAAAATGCATATTGTGTCTGAAAACGGACAAAAGCGGGACTTGCTTGGAACAGCATGCAGCATCCGACCTAGTGTAAAGTACGAATAGAACGACGCCTACCAAGAAATTCAGCTTGTGATGGCAGATATGACGAACAAACCCCAGGACAACAACACGACCCCGCTATATTACGCGTTTTTATTGCCGGCGGAGAATCCTCAACTTGGCTTGCTCCTGGAGGATTTGAGGGAGAAGACCAAGTTCCGTCACTACTCAACATCATGCGCCCTCTTCCGTGCTGCCTCGTGAGCCACCAGATCCCCTCACCCGATGAAGGTCTCCGCTTGGAGCTTTCTCTGCGGGATAGGTCAAAACCAATCGTGAGGGATGGATTATTCACGATCAATTTGTTGTCGTCCCCCCCCCCCCCCCCGTGGTAACCCATACACCCCTCCGCCTGGACGTACCTTCGCGACCCGTGCAACAAATACGTACGGAAAGTCACGCCGTACGATAGTGAGTAAACTGGCATGTAGTTTTTGCCTTGGAACCAATCGCACTAGAAAGTGCAGTTGGGCGTTGAATAAATGTGCCCTGGCATTCCATTCCATGTGGCGTGATGCCGGTTGTTCTTTCACCCAAGGCGCCTCAGTGATGCTGTTGCCGGGTTCCGCGAGATAAGTCTTGAGGTTCATGTTCGCTTGCGATCGTCCACCGATGGATGCGGTGGTCTTCTACGCTCACACTGAGAATCTGAAAACCTACTATCGCAGTTCACGAGTACATCACGGCCGCCCACGGAGTTGGGTGGGACTCATAGGCAGGATACTATTTCCCGGAGGTCAACCTCGACAGCGGCAGGAGGACCATCTTCTCGCGAATAGTGAGTTTATGATGAGGGAAAATAACAGGGAGGGGGTACGCAGACCCTATTCCCTAACCCTATCCCTAACCCAACTTCCCCGATTGTATGCTTTATCCAACATGTTAACATAGTAATACGAAACACCCTGCGAAGGGTACTGCGGACAGTCTTCGCGGCGGAGGGGGGCGTCACCACTCACAGCCCCCCGTATGATGGCCGCCCTGCGAGGGCATCTGGGGGTACTGTAGCGAACGTGACGAACATGTGTTTACATTGCACGCCTTTTCGCGTCGGAGGTGCCCTTGGTCAATCATTGTCGGGAACCGCGGTAGGGGCTGTTGGAAAACGGAGCATGTGGCAGAACGGTGCACGTTTTGGGCCTATCGCAACACGCAACAGCTTTGTTGGGATAAATGCAGTTGAACCTCTAGGACGCTGAACACGTTTCAGCGCCTGGTACCAAGTCGAAGTGTTTCACGAGGCGGTACCCACCTCACTATGTATGTGGGACCTCTTTGGATCAGCGTCAACGCGCCCGACATGTTGCCAAACAAGGAAAATACGACACCGCTACACTAACTACCACATGATTTCGAGCAAGCCCTTCGATAACAACACCGCGTACTTCTCGTTCTCAGGGCGGGACTTTCTGTGAGTGTAACATTTGGTAAGGCCTCAAACAACGGTAGAACCACCTCAGAGACCCCATGCAGGCGCTGAAAACGCTCTCAGCACTGGGGGGCACATCTTTGGAATTATGGCATCTCACGAATTGCTCATCCCAGGGTGCGAGGGGTGGTCTCAAGAGATCGCAACGTATTCGCGTTCCCTCGAGGCCTTTACGGGAGCGGAAGAGATCAAATATAAAATGTGAATCCATTTACATGTAGCGCCTTCCGCTGAAAGAACAACGTTCCATGTTTCGCCACCAGGCATGTTGTACCGAGTTCAATTTAGGGTAGATCATTGCATGACGACCAACGAAATTCCGACAGTACGGCAAACGTGAGGAACAGCGGCCAAAACAGCAGTATTCCTGCTCCGCGCTGTTCATTTTTACGACGCACTGAAATGATTTTTTCGTGGAAGCAACGCATGTCAGGGCATACTTTACCTCTCGTACGCATACTTGCTCCGCTTGGTCATTGACGTCGGAAACTCGTGTCCCGCACCGGACGAAACGGTCGAATACGAAACGGGCATGCTCGAGATCACTTCAGAACGGTCCTTAAAAATGAAGACGGTGCCAACACCAACACAACGCGGCAGCAGCAGCTACAGAATGGCCGGGGAGGGCCGGAGGGCCCACTGTACTGAGCCATGTCTGCCTGTCGATCGCTCCCTTCTCGATCTTGCTTCTGAACCATGTCGGACACAGTCTTGTGCAGGGTGACTAGGCAAACCCCTCCATAAAAACATACTCCCTCTGACCGGCATTATAAGGCCGGTTTGACATGGAGAAAACTAGGTGCAATTGGACGTGCTATTTTTCAGACTCGAGTTCGTGTCCGGGCAGATACATGATTTTTTTACCCAAAAAAACACTTTTTTTTTTCGTTTTTTTTTTTGACGTTCTGTTTTCTCGACTCGAAGGTGCCAATTTTTACCACCCTTCGCCATTTTCTCCGTGAATCAGAAAAGGCCTCACCGACTCTGCACTAAACAGAGCTCTACAGAAAGGTTAAGCCCCCAAGAATACACAGCAAAAAAAAAACGGAAAAAGAAGCTTTTCGTGGCCTGTAAAGAGAGAGAACGCGGCACCAAGCGACACCGCTCTTTCCTTACTGGCCTTTTTCTTCGGAAGATCTACATCGGAATTATTTCTCAGAGAGGGGATGAAAATTAACAACCCCCTCTTTTTCTTGCTCGTCTATCTCATGGAAGCAAAATAAAAAAAATCGAGGGAAAAAACACTTCGTATTACCTCAATAACGACACACCGGCCCTATATTCCCGGATATCCGAACCGGCCTTATAATGCCGGTCAGAGGGAGTAATATCCAAGCTCTTCGCCCTCCTACGCGATGCTCACGAGCACCAATATGGCCGTGCCTTGCACCACTTGACTTGCTGTGTGCCTCCAACACAACAACGCGCTAGAATGCACAGCAGAGAGAAAAGGCGCGCGCTCGCTTTTACTCAAGCCTAGGACGGGGTCCGTCTCGCTACACCTCAGGTCCTACTCTCCAATACGTAAACATAACGCTAGTGCGACGCAAGTTCACTACCTATTATTTAGTCCTCAGAATCCACGTCTATTACCCCCGACTGAACCATGCCGTCATCGACTTTGCGGCTTCCCGCACCCTTGCCGGCCTCTCTGGCATCGTTCAACTTTGAGAACGGTGATCCCGCTGGCGGCGGCGGAGCCGAGGACGAGACGTCTCCTTCGGGTTTCTTGCCGGCCGCGGCGTTGGTGACGTTTTGACCTATCTCGCTGTTGGCTGTTAGGCAACACCGCAAACGCGCGGGGGAGAGCGGGCAGACGGAGGAAGAAGGCTAAGCGGTCCATGCATCGCGACGGGGCGGGGAATATGGCAGACATTGGAGCGTGTGGTGAGGTGCGAGTGAGAGGGTCCCGACCCCAAAGAAAGCGTTTCTGGCGCAGATCGGCGCTGAAAATAGGCTCGAATGCCATTCGGATGGGGGGAACGCTGATTGCTATTGCCGCAAAAATACTGGCTGGTACACGTCCAGGGCAGCCGCCGCAAAATGAGCATCTCAAAGAACGACACGCGATTGGGAAGGAAACCCTCAACGATCGAAAATACGAAAAAACAATTTCGTCCACCAGCTCAAGACGACACACGTAGCTCATAATAACTACCGCTGGTAAAAAAAAGCTTTCAGTAGCACTCCACACCATAGCCTTCGGAACGTGTTTAGCACGCGAACTCTGCAATTTGCTCCACACCCTTCGTTTCCTCTCGCACGCAAGGGGGAATGCAACCAAGAGCTGCCCACCGAAAATACAAAAAAGGGGTGGAAAATTGTCGAAATTTGGTTCCACGCATTGGCACGCACCCGTTTCCAAGGGAATCGACAACTCACTCAAGAACCAAGCGATCGTTGCTGTCGGAATAACGTCGAAGCCCGGCAGAATCTCCTCCACAAAGGCGAGACCTGCGAAAAAACAACAACGCGAGACACCGTATCACGCACATGAAAATGGACCCCACGTCATGTTTGAGGAAGAGATGCTTCGTGCATGTCATACTGCGTCAGAACCCCCTCTTCGGTGGCACCCTCCTGTGTAGGAACATACATCCACGTTCTTAACCTCAGCATCGAAGGGGTAAAATTGACCACCTCTGAAGTCGAGAGCATATAATATGTAAACAGTTTGCTCCCAGAACCATGTGTGCGGTCGCGCAGGCCCGGCGGACAGCGAGATCAGAGCAACTTCAGTGACGCTAGGTGCCACGAGAAACGCGTGATCATTGCACACACTGCGCCGGCGTTTCAGCCCGAAAAGGGGAGGATGTTAATGTTGCTAGGGATGGCTTGCCGAATTGAGGTGAGAAATACGAGTTTCCTCGTGCTAGTGCGCTATAAATGAACATCATGTGACAATCACGCACATCTGGCGAGAACTAGGAGCCATCAGCGGCGCGACTATTATCCTAGCTGTACCTGCGAAGATGCTGTTGCCGTACAAGTAGAAAATCAGGGCGGAGCTGATGGGCGCCCATCCCAGGTCAGTGGCCTGCCTCGGGCGCAGACGCCGTGACATGGTCAAGTGCGCGACAAGCGCAGGAAAAAATCGAGGAGGAAAGGGACGGCTCGCCACAGACGCACACCGTACTGTTCAACCTACGCGCATAGCGAGTGAATCCGCCCGTCCTTGCAGCCTATTGTATCATGTCTACGTAAAAAATTGATTTTAGGTTGCCACGCCTCGGCTTGTACACTGCATCGCGAGTGTTTGCGCAAGAATCTGCCACATTCTGACACACGGACATCACGCAGACCTCTTCAAAGGCTTGGACAGCAGTATCTGAGTGTTGCAGACACGAATAGTCTTGCGTAGGCATATCACAAGCAAGAGTAACTGTAAAGACTTTAACACATCCCCTTCGACTGTGGTATTGTCTCGAACGGGTGGTCTTTCTGTGAGGTTATGTGTACTTTCTATAAAAGAGTAACATTGACGGCTCGACTTGCAGATGGCAACGGCGTGTCAGTTTGTGTCCTCGCCGCATGAAGGTACAGTATTCCATTCATACAAAAAAAAAAAGGACGACCTACAAAATACCAGCGGGTCTTCTTGATTCAAGAGATGCCCCCCCAAGCCTGTGTCCAATAGAGCAAAGCATGTGGACTCACCTCACCTACGCCGGGGAGGGCATAGGAAGACATCCCGATCAGATCGATCAGGACGGAAATGGCTAGCTTCGCTTGCCTGGACAGTTGCTGCGTACCCGGCCCCATAGGCTCCCCTTGGCGCGCAAACAGCACTGTGCTGCTGCTCCGTTTTCTCATGGCGCGTGTTGATCGAGGATGCAACGGTACCGTAGAGGGAAGGAGACTGGGTGGTCGTAGCTGCTGCTCGCGACGACTATGATGCGCGAGCTGGGCAGCGTCGACAGTTGCTGGCTGGAGTGTTGAACGTTGCCGTTGCAGTGCGGACAGCGGCGGCGGGCTGGCTATGAAAGCCTCGCCGCGGACGAGAAGGGGAAAAACTACGGAAGACAACCGAAGCAGCCCCATGCTATTTTAAGAGCAGTGTCCCACAGCAGAAGGCCGCAATGGTGTATCTCTCACTCGCTTACCGTGAAGCTGGGCGACTGCTGTACAATAATACGCTCAAACATGCAAGTGCCAGTTATGAATGCGGCGGAATTGAATGCTGGCATCATCCACGGGCCCCCTCTGGAAGCCCCACATGCTGTGTTGTGTACTGGCACTTGTACCACAGCACCTGGCTCTATCCACGCTTCTCGGTTCCGGGTCTGCTGTTGTGATGGAGACGTGTAAGCCTCCAGGGTTGTATGTCGATCCGCCTGATTTCGACATCGAACTGGAGGAGTTCGGCACGTTGCCAATGCGTAGGCTAGAGGCCGTTCGACTTCTACGTGAGGGACAAACAACGCCGGCGCAGGTGCCGGAGGCGAGCCCGGCGCAAAAAGCGCTAACGGCCGGTGAGTCATTTCTGGCTACACAAGCTGAACGACTTTTGCGTTTGTCGAGACAGCTATTTAATATGCTTACAGGGCATTCGCCTGCGGGTCATGCTGTTTGTGGCCTCTAGCAACAAGTTGCCAATCTCTTGAAGGGTGAACATATGCTTCATGAACGGAGACTGTGTCCGTGGCTGGCTCTATTGCTGCGGCACCGCTGCGGGCGTCGTTGACACAAGGCTACAGCAGTAGACTTCAACTAAGGGTCTTCGCGAAGACGGACTTCATGTTATGAGGTGTGAACGTTGCACTCCAAGCTCGCAAAATCACTTCCTAGTATTACAACGTTACGTATTCGTTTCGCACTGTAAAGCGCTATGACTGCTGTCCCAAACTTCGATTATTTCTCCGCACGAACTCACGCTAGACGCTAGGCTGCTTCTCCTCCACGGGCACGGCGATCGGCCCTCAGAGGCCAAGAATCAACGCGCAGACCTCGCGAGCCACTTCATACTGAAGCTGGCGTGCTGTGGTGCAACAGGCGGAGGAGTACAGCCGGGAACCGAAGCCAGCAAGAGGGACGACAGCAGTGGTCGGTGCGAGGAAGTTGACCGGAGGAGCAGCAGGCGGGAATGGTTCGTTCGCGCAGAGAGGGACTTGTTTGAAGCTCGTCTTCACTGGCATCTCCAGCAAAACGAGGGGGGGGGCAGCAAGGAAGGAATCGCGGGGCGATGTAACGGGGGAGCAAGTAGCGCCGATCTTGGGGCACGTGCGAGTATTGCCGACCGTTTGGAGGCCCTGAGAATATTTTATAACCTGGAATGGCTGCAGCCGGTTGGACCGGCAGCTCCGGATTGCAGCCGCATGGAGAAGCAGAGAGAAAGTGGGCACGAAGGTTCTCACGCGAGGGAAGGCGTTTGCACCAGCAGTTACGGTGGTAAAGGATGTGGCGGCGGTGGTGGGAGTGGAAGCGGTGGAGGTGGCGCCGGGAGAAGGCGACGAGACGGGGATGACCCCTTCCGAGAGCACTCCCGCTCATATTCTCCTGGCGCGTGTTCACGTGGCGATGCAAGTCACGTGACTCTTGAGCGACAGCTCCCTCCTTCGTCAGAGAGGAAGAAGCTACCCGAATCCGTTGCCTTCAAAGGCGGTAGCGACATCGGTTACCTATCGTGCCCGTTCGAGAAAGTTCTTCCGCTTGTCCGATCCCGCCGGGTATTGCTTAGGGACGGGAAGGCGCTACTCTCGCCAGATCAACTTCCTGAGGCAGTGGTACAGCACTTTGAAGGGCGTCTTAGGGAGGGACTCGCCATCGCGGAGCGCGGCTTGCCCGGGGTCGAGGCGGACGTTAGGGTGGCAGAGGTTTTGAGACAGGTCAGGAGTGCAGTGGATTCCTTGGTTAGCGGCGGCGGGCGGCGTGGCCTTGACGCAGACAACCGATCGATGGCCATAATCACCCGGAAAAACATCGACCAGCTTGCCGAGAAGCACTTCCCGCTCTGCATGCGGAGAACGCTTCGCATCCTTCGACGTGAGCACCACCTCAAGTATCAGGCGCGCCTGCAGCTCATCAGCTTCCTCAGGAACGCCGGGATGGAGGTGCGGGCCAGCGTCGAAGGTTGCAAGCTTGATTACGATACATGTGGCACCGCGCCTTACCCAAGCCACCTTTCTCCCTGCGCTCCGAGCCGTGCGTCGAACCTCGTCGGCATGTGTGGGACGCATAAGTGCAAGGTCGATGCTTCTTGTGCTAGTGTCTGTCGTACAGTATTCTGTTTGGAAAGAGGAACGGTTCCCTGATGGGTCGCTCAGCGCAACCAAAGAACGAATGATCGCGGATGGAACCTCAGGAACCCATCTTGTTCATTCCTCTAGCTCCTTTTGCAACCTTGCACGATGTCTACGTCGCTGCTTTGCTTTGTCGTACGTGGCTTCGGCAGGTTGATGAGATTCTGGGTCTTTGGCGGGAGGAGTTCCCGAAAGGCATGCCGGCGGACGAGTATGCTCGCAAGAGAAACCAGCTAAGCGCACTCTGACTTGGTGTATTTTTGGAAGAACGGGTAGATTAAGCGGAAACCACGTGTGATTGATATGCAGGTCGTACAGCTTCGTTCTACTGATTCTGGAACCCTTTGGTAGTATGGGCGGCTCAGCAATTCACCCTCACAAATAGCAGGCCGATGTAGCGCTACCAACGTATATTGTGGGATTGAAGTTGTGTTTCTGTACCTCAGACGTTTGGAAACAGGAGGTGCTGGACGGAGGCCAGCACATTTTTTTTCCACATTCACACGGCAATAACAATGGGAGATATTGAAGAACTTTTCAGCTTGAATGTACTGGCGCCGGGAGCACTTTTGCTCGGCAGTGTGCAGACACACCCAGCACGGGAGACGACGCTTGGCACTTAATAATTATTCGTTTCTTTTGTCCGGGTGCGTTGATGTATGTCCTGCGGATAACACGTGGTCTAGGAGGACGTAGCACCTATCTCGTGGGTTTGATTGCAAATCGAACGTTTAGTAGGAGGCTAACGCGTTGCCCGCCCTCCCCAAACTGTTTTCCGTTCCGTTCCAGATACGAATATAGTCTTCGACACCTGTGTGGCCTGGAGGGAAAGCGTAAGGCTTACCGCCCTCAGTCCTGCGCCCGAATCGCCTCCGTGGGATGGGGTGGCTCGGGCGAAGGGGGCTACGGCCACGGCTGCCCGTACCACTCTCGCCCGAAACAGGCAGGTGGCGGCGGCAGCGGTAGCGGGCAACCAACGGCCGGTGGCTCGAACAACACCAGCCTTCGAGGTATGCTAGTGGCTCAAAGTCTTCCTGCAGCAGATATTGAAGACATCATCGCCCCTCTGGAAAGCTGTAGGGGGGCAGGGGCGGTGGGGGCATGTCGAAGACACTTTTCGGCGACACACCGTTGGGCGGCGGCTGGCGGCGGCGTGTGGAGCACGGAGGGCGAAGGGGCTCAGGAGGCAAGTCCAAACGGGTGGCTAGCGGCATCGACAAGGTCAAACCAACATCAGCCGCGGCAGCAGCAGCAACAACGACAACAACCACAGCAGCAGCAGCCGGTGGGAAAGGGAGAGTTTCTAACGCAGGAGGGCCAGGGTGTTTAGGCTAATAGATTTACCTCACGGCCTTGTCAACGAGTTACCAACAAGTGGCTGGGACTGACGCATGTCTTGTTCGGTCTAAGCCGCAGGCACTTTGTCGGAGGATGTAAAAAAGCACGACTTCCCCCCAGTTGTACAACAATGGTGGTGCAGCCTCATAAGATTGTGCGACGAGCGGATGCTTCCTGCTGCTACTATCGTTTCGTTGTGGATATATTCCTCCTAACGTGAAATTCCCAGCACATATTCGCCAAATTGCCAAATTGTTGGTTGCAGCGGTAGGGGGATGGACTCCGTTGATTTTTCAGTTTAAACGCTAGTAGAATGTGAAAACCCTTCGAGAATGAACGGCATGCCCGAATTCTACGCGGTCATACGCTCGCACTTGGCTCCGAAGAAGCTACAAAAGGTCCAGCTTGCGTCGGGCTCAAATCTTGGTTGACCACAAATCTCAAGCTTAGGCTTCAGCAGCGGATTTAGCGCAGGATCCACCGCGAGCTGTGTTCTCAGAATTTTCTGCTCGCGAATAGTTGCTCTGTATGACCTTCGACACACACGGTCATCACTCACGGGGGGAGGGATATTCTGTCTCGTTCTTCGTCCAAGGGATGCTCACGTTGATGGAGGATGTAGGCCCAGGGTCAGGCAGCTAGGGAAGAATACAGTCTACCAAGTTTTCCTGCCAACGAGAGGCTCGGGTCACACTGCTGGAACCTCCCGACGAGGAATTACGTTCCGCCGCATTTGGCACGCACATCAACAACGTGACACATCAATCCATGCATACATTGTACCATTAACTCCAATCTCGACCAATTTGCGCGTGCATAAAAGACGTTGCCTACATGTACCTGCAATCAGTTTCCAACCTACAACGGCGTTACTCACTTCCAGGCGGGATGTTGACAACCCAAGTAAGCAGTTCTATGTTTTTTTTTAGAACTCGCCCTTGTCATTTTGAGTTCGTTTGCACGAATCTAAATTACGAGAAAGAGGATCCCCGCGATGATGTCGGGTGGATGCATTGACTGCAGACTGCGGGATGGGATACCTATACGTGTACCGGGGCCAGGGAAACCCAAACGTGCCCGACTGTAGCCTACCAAGAAGGTGTCGTTAGTACTCGGGAAGAGCCACCCACTCCCCGGATTCAAGGGAAGCAACCTCCGCGTTGGTGAAACAAGTGCAGTGTTGGGTTAATCAAGGGAAGCACAATAAACGACACAATTTTTGCAGCCTGCCCGTCGCCAATCCCTTGAAGCAACGCGACAAAAAAATTACCGCTTGTCCGTCGCCAATCCCGGAAAACCACGCAAGAGTCGCAAATAACGCCGTCCACCACAGATACGGCATGCGCGAACAAGACAAAACAACCAACCTCCTCGGACATCTTCAGCCCCTCATCGCCAAGACCTACTCTCGTCGCCCAAAGTTCCTCGGCGCTTGATTCAATCAAGTTCATAAATGAAACAAGCTTCACAAAGTGAACAGGTAAAACCTCCTGAAAACAGCCCCCTGACGTCATCTATCGATTCTCGTGGTACTGCCGTCGTCGTAGTAAAACACACAGCCTAAGGGACGAAGCTCCAGTGATGGCTTGATAGTCGGCTGATCTCGAGCGGAGAAGGCCACCGGCACGCTGCAAAGGAGCACCTGTGACGCAACGACAAAATCCAGCAAGCAGCAGTTGCGGCCGAAGTGGTCGTCTTACTTTGCAAGCATATGACGACTGACGTAAGCTTTTGTGCATACCTTGGGGGCCACGACAGAGGAGTAGTAAGAATTCTACTGTGGTCAATTTAAACAACCAGGTAGCAACAAAGCATGTCGTGCGCGAGTCTTGGCAACTAAGGAGGCGTTGTTCTTGCCGAGTCCGTTGAGCGCGAGACATGATATAATCGAGGTAAATGCGCTGTGTGAACATCGGACACAGAGAGGAAATAATCAACGAATATAATGAGCATACGGCCCGCAAAGGACATGCGCCACATCTGTGGTGTTAATACTCGTGTGCTTGTGAAGCGGGACTGAGCAGAAACCAGGCGAGAGCCACGCGAGCAAAGCTTTATAGCAACTCTTTCGACGAGAGGTAGACGCCGCTCTACTATACCGCAGAACGCAAGCAAGGGTGAACATTCCTGGATTTTTGGTTACCACCATCGATGGGAAATTGCCATCAGCATTGGTAAATACGGAAACAAGTTTCCATGAGGATCGATCCAAGTTGATCGAAGGGCCACACTCTTTGATCGGAGACACACAAAAATACTGTTATGTCATGTAGCCCATAATGTCTGTCGAAGTCAGTTAAGGTCGATCTGAAACCTTACTGATACTGAGACTGAATATGATCATTGAATGCGTTTGTGGTAGACGATGTAAATTGCAAATAGCGAAAATTCTCGAGCTCACATGCTATTCATCGATCAAATTACGAACTACAAGCCTCACTTTCGATGTCAGCCAAAAAGACAAGTCGCTCACATTTACTTCGTTGTTGTAGACGTTCATCCTCAGACTCTACCGGTTTTTAGCACCAAGTTCGCGAAGCAGCTCGTCGTGGAGTGCCAAGGTCTCTCTCAGCTCGTCCTGGGGCACCAGGCCGTCACTCATAGTCTCCGCTGGTGCAAGCGATCCCCAAGCATAAACAGGAAAGACGAGGCGCGGCACGCATCCAAATAGGTGGCACGAGGGTCTCAAATGCAAAGGAGAAAGCTCAGGCGCTTAGTTGTGTAACCAGTATGCCAACACACGTGGGGTATCGCGACGTTAAAACACGAAAACGACACCAAGTGGTTGGGGACAGAAGCAAACGCCAAGCTCGCCGGGATGACCAAACGCCCATCAGACAAACCACAACGATACACGAAGACAGTTCGACTAGTCAACGCAGCCATGCTCCACCAAACAAGTCAAATTACGACATCCGGTCGAGACAACGAGTTCAACTAACATCAGAGGCAACTCTTTCACGCGACCAGGATAGCGCGCAGATAGTGCACGTGTGAGTGAGAAAATTGCGCAATGATTCGAGAATAGAAAATACTGACTTTGACGTGAACGTGTGCCTTGACGTGAAGTTACCACAAGAGTGGAGCATTTGTACCTGCTCAAAAAGACTAGCGGAAAGCCCGTTGAATGACTTTGCCCACAGGCGCTCATGAGGGGAGGCCCAAACGAAAGCAGGCGAATGCTGAGTTTGGTTGTTCTCAGTCGCTCTACAAAAAGAGACGCATATAAGTATCTAGTGGTCGTGAACACGATTCTGACGTACATTTACGGGTGATCTTGCAAACTGCCCTCTGAACACGGCTCAGTGTGGCATCATGCTCGCGATGCAGCTCATCGTGCTTGCTAAGCACTTCCTTCAGGAGCTCCACCGCCTCTGCCAGCTGCCCCAGGGTCACCACATCATTGCCCGCAGCCGGTGCTGACGTCGCAAACAACGCCCCGCGAGTAGGCATGAACGCAACATAACCAAAGGAGCAAGCAAGAGAGCGTGACATTTGGTGTCTTTGGCATGAGACGTGTGACGGGGAGAACGTGTTTGGTGAGATAATGGTCGGCATCGTGAGTTCAAACCAGGGAACTGGGGAAAGCACTTTTTCACCGCAGCCATGCTCTACATGAGAAGGAACCATGCAAAACAGGGTAATCAAACAACTGAATGCTCGTGCACAATGGTACTATCGAATATGAGGAGAGAGAACGGGCTAGCGAAACACGTCGGAGCCTGACCAAGCATTCGATGAGATCATGATTTTACGCCAGTTGCGCTGAGAAGAATGAATATTCACTCAGTCACGAACGCATCGATACACGAAAAGTTCGTCCCAGTCAGACGTTTGCCCTGTCAAAGCAACGAGTAGACATTTTCCCTGTTCCCTTCCTCGCGCCTAGAAAAAATAAAACATTTCTTCGGCATTAAATTGTGCTTCCACTCAAAGCTACGACAAACACTGCCGGCGCAAACCAACGCTAAAGCGTCGCCACGTCGAGCCCCGTGCAGGAGATTGGGAATTTACCTCTCTCTTGAGACCTCTCGAGAAAGTCATCCACTCTCTCGGTGACAGCTTGCCGCTGCTGCAAAGCCTGCCCTCCCCCTGTCAATGGTCGTGGATTACACCCGAAAATGGCATGATGTGCGGCAGCGTTAAAACGTCGGTCAAGTACGTATGACTGGTGGCGTAGGATGAAGCTTCGTTATACATCACACTCGACTGCTAGCGAAACGATAGTGTTTTCTCACCGGTGACAAACCAATCAGATGAAAACGAACAGGCGTACAACCATGGGATTAATGTGCTGACACCGTCGGCCCCCGGGGCTGGCTTTGACAGGCAAACGTCGAAGGCACACAGCATGCACAGACGACAATGCTACTGAATCATCGCAGAATTCCTCATGCACTTTAAGAGCGAGATGTGAGCAAGGAGAGTGTCAGCCCATATTCCCGCGGTTCCGTCGGCGGAACACACGGCGAAAATGTTTTGACAAAATCACTCTCCAATTCCAGACTTGCTCCAGGTGATGCGCAATGGCACGAGGAACACCATTGTAACGTTTCTCCACACGAGGGTAAATTTACCCGCCAGCCAAGTGGTCAGGACCAATGTGGACTCAGTTTCTCTAATACTACAATCCAGAGAATTTCCGCTGAGCATGCCACCCCTACACCTTGATTTATCGGTTTAACCCTGAGTTTCGTGGCCGTGAGCAGGTTCCCAGTGAAACAGTATCTAACCATCGCCGATGACGTTCTCGTTGGCAACTATGGATGGTCGGGTGGTCTATCCCTGTTGATACATCTCTAAATTTACGTGTGGATTTTACGGGGTTATGGCCAAGAGTAAGTCGGCCTTGCTCAATCTGCAAGAAGATTCCGCGCCCAAGGGGAAAATGTCACAGCGTCGCGTATTTTGTATCCAGCTGGCCATCCCACTTACCGCTAGGCACCAAGCTATCCGAGTCCGGCCCAGGCTTCATCACCATTTTGTTCAGGATTTTTACCTGGAAACAAACGCGGCAGCATGCAGCATGCTGGTGTCAAACGTAGACATCGGCCAGTGAACATCGACATGCTTCTGACAGCCCATCACGCAGCTATGTTCCACGACGGTGGAACTACTGAACGACCCTGTGCATGCTTGATGGTGAGCTTATCGACTATTAAAGAACCGGCAAAGAATGATGAAAGAGAGGTTTCTGAACCAACTGTATACTGCTGTATAGCACAGCAGTCACCATACCTCAGACTCCAGCTTGGCGTTTTTTGCATTTGCCGCTTCCAAAACGTCATTAAGCCTGGCGTTCTCTGCTTCAAGCTCGACTTGTTTCGCTTGAGAAGCTTCAAGACCAGATTCAAGCTCGACATGTTTCGCATGAGAAGCTTCAAGACCAGATTCTAGCTCGACATGTTTCGCATGAGAAGCTTCCAGGCCGGCTTTAAGCTCTTCGTGCGTTGCTTCCGTCCGAATGCGCATGGAAGCCATGCGCTCCATCAACGCTGCCACGTCAATATCACTCTTGGGAGCACCGTCAGGAACGGCTGGACGAGTAGCTGCAGCATGCGACTGCCGTGAAGCTGGTTGGGCGGAGCTAGCGTCGTGATTGAGACGCTCCCGCGTGCCGTGAGATGTCGAACCAACTCTCCGCTCGGCCTCTGGGAGTATAATCCCGACAAGAACTTTCACCTGGGGATTGATCATGTTTCATCACGCGTTCATTTCCATTAGATGATACTCCCGTGAAATTATACCGCGAGTGTGTGACGAGCTACGAGCGGGTCCAAGCATCTGATGTAGACACCGACAGTACCACAAGCTAATCGCCGAAACCCTTTTCCCTTCGGGTGAAGTAGTCTCGCTTGGTTCACTAGAGAATCTCTCCGAAGCAAGTGCACAAGGGTGGAAGTTGCTTGATGTATCGCGTATGACGGTGAACGTAAACGACTCCAACGACAAGAGGAGGATCAACCAACGTTTTACTTGCTTTTTTCTGGAACTGGGCTGGTTTTTGTGCTACCGGACCACTGAAGTTGACCTGCAAAAGACGGCGAAGGTCGCCTACAATGGAAAACATGTACGGATTCTACAAAAACAAATTAGGAACTCAACACGGCCGGCGAAAAATCATCAGACACGCGTGGACGACCTGTACCAAAGACGTTCCTAACTCACGACAAAGACGAAAATACCAAAAGACGGATACAGGCGGTGTTTGGATTCCTCGCATGCATAGCGCCAAGCACGCGCCAAGGTAGTTATCCATCCCCTTTTCAAATCGGATTCCCGTTCTTTCTGACTGTAGAATACCGTCTAACCAAATTTGAACTGTACCTTCTCGTCAGGAGTGTTTGTGCCGCGGAGGCAATCCCGCCCAACCGCCTTTAGAAGAGTCTGGAGGTGCCTTGTCCCAAGCTTCCTCCCAGCCTGGAAAGGACGGCGGCGAAAAGAACGAACGGTGAGGATCTCGTAGCTGGCTGAAATACGGCGTCTGCGATGGCTGCTGTCGATGTGATCATTTTCTACCCGCAGGACTGGAGACGCAAAGAGTTCGACGGCAATAGAACGCTCAGTGGCCTTCGTATACCTGTACGGCAGGAGTCGTTTTCCTTGCATCGAGGTTATTCGGCTCGTAGTCCGCCACTTCTTCGACAAACCAGTCCATGACGGCTTCCTCGGTCGCAGAGTCTGGCGAGGCGCCAATATCTTGGCTCCATCCGCACCCGCCTGAAATGCAAGCAACCCACCGTTCCCCGGCCGAGCACAAGATCTCAACGTTGGCTTGGAATACTCATCCCACTAAAAAACTCGTTGCAGTTGCGTGAGGCCGTGGCAATGCCCTTGTAATCGGGCTCACGGTGGGTTCGATGGGTGTCGCGACAACACCCCAAGAACAACCTCACTCGCTGCCACACATACGCCAAACACATGGATCAATGGAAGGCCAGACACCTAATGGGCGCTGGGTGCACAGAGAATCAAGGTGGTGGAATAACAGCGCTCTGGATCGTCTACTATCTTCAACAGGGCAAGGTGGAGCGGATGGTTTCGTAAACCACGTACTCACCGCGCAACGTTAGGGCAAACACCATGGCGCTAAGGGTGAACGTGTTTCTATCAACACTATCGCGGTTCCATCAACACAATTGCCCACAAATAATCGGGGGCGTACACACACTATGTTGCAGGACGGCGGGCTCAGCCATCCAACAAACCCGCCTCAGTAAAGCGGCGTTGGCTGCCGAGGGACAAGCCGATTGCACTGTGGATCCTCACCCTCAACACCACCCATGCCTGCTGTGGTGTGCGTGCCACGTTCTTCAGCCGTGTCAGTCGTGGGGAGGGTGCCGTCCACATACCCATCCGAGAGTTGCAACGCCAACGTCCTCGCCAGCAAACAACAGTCAGTCGAGTCAGGCGCGATGTCGCAGATCTGCCAGAGTATCCGAAACGTCGTGGGTGCCTCAGTGTCGACCATAGCACAAGCCAAGGGGCGGGTGCATCTTACGTAGAATCGCCGAGGCACCGTACACGTGAACGAAGCTCACCTTCGACACTCGCCGAGTTTGCAGATAGCGGTCTCCGGCCTTCAAAGCTGCGGCAGCCAAACCCGCAAGCCCACTGACCACAGGCACCGCGCTCGACAGAAACTCCAAGGTCTTCCCTGCCTGCTAGAGGAAATACAACAACGACATCCGATTGACACTCATGCGAAGTAACAGGGCGAGTACTGCGACACGGATATGAAACACTACAAGCCCAAATGCGGCAACATGCGGAGGCCTAAGCGGCGGCAGCACTTACCGCACCCATGCGACCGGTCTTGCTTGTGCAAACCAAGCTACTGCAGACGACGCTGGCTGCGAGGTAGGCGTTACACAGACCAGTTCGGATTGCCGTGTAGTATGCCTTGGGACCCGGGGGCAACGCCAGCTCCCGCCGTTGTATGTCTTCATTCATCACGTGTCTCGACTGCGTACAATACATCGCAGTTTGCAGTAACGTTGTTAGGGAAGCAGGAGGAATGCGATCCATGTGCGTGTGAGAAGGGCCACCGGCACAAGGACACCCGCAAATGGAAAGTCTTCCAGGTTAGTTCAAAAGGTGTACCATATAAAAAGTCGGTTAGAATGCGTCCGCCAGGCCCTTGCCCGTTCTTGGTGTGGGCCGAGGGATCCCTAGACCACAGTGCAACGCTCACCACCATGCCGCCTAGATCTTCGGCCATTGCCACCAGCCTGTTCACCTCCCCGAGCGTACCCGTCTCGCTGAGTCCCGTGCCGGGAGAAGAGCGATTGATGCCCAGCGCTTCAACAAGCTGTCTAACCTGCTCCAGGCTTTTATGCCTCCCTCCACACAGCGTGCTCAACGCCGAAAAAGAAGAAATCTGAGCCTGAGTCATGTCGTCCATATCTGCCTCCCGTGACGAACCAGATATGGGTCCAGTGGTAGCTCTATCTGGCTTCCCGGGCTTGTCGCCTTGTGTCGAGGAACTGGTGCGTGCAGCGGGGTTTTCCGCTTTTGTGTCTTCGCGTTCAGCTGCCTGCTCCTGCTGCCGCAGTCTTGCCCTCCACGAATCAAGACTCTCGTCTTTCGCCGGCCCTCCTGAATCGCACGAACACCAGTCAAGAGTGAAATGATACGCGTTATCCCCCTTATGAGCACACTCCACTCGTCACGACGCTGGACGAGTCATTCAATACTTCTACTCAACAACAAGAGCCCCGATACATTTCTATCAAATCATTGTTGATGTCGTTTCCCCACTTTAATGTATTTTCATTGATTTTGCTTTTGCACGACCTTCCCGGCCGCATCCTTGCCATCATTGAGATACATGCGCCCTTGGAGTTAATGGGAGAGATAGAGAGAGAGGGAGGGAGAGCGGAAAGAACCAGAGCCTCCATGTGCCTGATCGAGTGTCTGCACCAAATTTGTGGATAACAGAAATACACTGCCTCGGATCCAACACACTTCCCCCGATTATTTCTTCGCATTCATGGTGCTCTGCCTGCAGCAAAGAAGGCGACTTTTCGGCAACATTCTGAAACACTGCATCATCGACAATACCCGACCTAAGGGCATATAGCCCACAAACGTCTCTGGAAACGTTATGGTTTTCCTGGGACGCCACCGGTTGCACCATCAAATTCTGTCTACTTTGCAACCATCGTCTCATGAAACAACGCATCGGCCATCACCGATAGACAACTTGATACATCCGAGCTGAATGTTTCGTGGGTAAAACTAGCCCAGTCGTGTGTACAGGTGAAAGCTCGAGGGTTGGGACAAGATGACGGTGAAAGAGTTCAAACGCCAATCAAAAGTTCACTGGTTCGGATCTTGCACTCAAACCCATCTCCGTGGATGCTGTCCCGCCTTCACGGTAGTTCAATGGCCGGTGTTGGGTACCTTTGTTAAAAGTCAACAGGTTGTACGGCCTCCCTTGCTTTGTGGTGCATTTGGAGTTGCGTGCAATGTCCTCTCTTGAAAGAGAAGCGCGGCCTAAGCATTCTCACTCGTCGTTTCACCACTATAATAGTACAAGCTTCGTGACGGCTTTCCGGGTTTTCCCCGGAACGCAGCCACACAAGGAACATCGCACCCATACAATCACATGCTTCCGTGGGAGTGAAATGTGGCAATTGATTTTCTTGCTGCCACAGAGTTACGGCTCCACAGAATCTTGAAAAACTCCATGGCCTTTTCGGTGTCCAAGAGGCAATGAATGCTCAACTACGGTTCTGCGTCTACTCTCCCTCACCGGTCAGGTAGTTGCTGTCGATCTCAAGCCTCTTCAAGTTGCGCAGAGCTCCAAACTCGTGAGGGATGGAACCTGGACAAATATGCATCGCATGCTATTTAAGGCTCGTCATCGTCCCGCCGGACGTTGCGGGTAACATACGAATGAAGGCGCCGGCTGTACGACAGCGGTCCGTCTACGGTGTTCAACCAACACGAGGTTTTATCACTGCCAGAGCACTTTCGAGGATGTGAATTGCACGACGAGCACCGCCGGGTCAGACATGTCCTAGCATACGACGGTCTTAATGCACTTGTCAACGGCTCCCATTAAATGCCATCATCAAGCCACCAATCCTAGGGCTGCGACCGGAGGCTGCGAGATTCCGCACGGTCCTTCACGTGTTTCCGCGAGGACCCATTTCGTATTCCTTGTCTCTATGTTTTGCCGCTGGCTATGCTAAGACAAGGCAAGGTTGAAAACGGAATAGCGATTTATCAGTTCTAGTTCCATGTTCGCATTTTGTTTACGGTTCAAAACACCTCCCTGAACCGAATGTTTGACCTACTGCAAAGTGTGCGAAGTATAGCAATTGGTTCTTGCTCTTCACACATGATATGGCGTCACTTTACTCCCTGGGAAAAATCACGGCATTTCCGGTGTACACTCAGCTATGCAATGCATGCCCAATGTCCGCGATACTGTTTTGTATTTTAGACCCGGTTCTCCGTCGGCTTTCCCTCAACGGTCAGGCAACATGTTTGGGACGGACAAAGCGGCGTATTGGGGATACCAGTGTTCCATCTAAACAAGTTCCCTGGAAATCTACCCCCCAAAGGAAAATACGCAACGTTCACCTTCTTCAGCTCGCCAGGGCTCCAGTGACCTCTTGGACAAACTTAGAAACACACCAAAAAATAAAACCAATAGGGGCAGCACGCCGAAACGAACCTCTTGCTCTTGATTTTACGGACATCACCTTAGCCGTGCGGCAATGAATTGAGCGATACAGAGACAGGGCGGCGGCAAAAGCCACCCACCCGAGCTATGTATTTGGTTTTCACAAGGATGGATTGGCAATGGTTGGGCACTGTGACATCGTCATCCCCTTGTGACAGTCCTCGGAACCGCCACAAAGAGAGATCAACCCGTCGCATTCTTCCTCTTTCCTCGGACATTCAACCGGCGGTCGGTTCGGCGTATTGGGTACCACATTGTGGCACAACGGAAGGGCGAAGGCAGTAGCCACTACCTGAGCTGTGTGATCGTGTGCACATCGCGTTTCCCGCAGGTTGAGGCTGTGAGGAAGATTAGGCTTCGTCGACGATGTATCGCACTGCTTTCAATTCGAACGGAAATCACGCCGCTTGACGACCGCGGTCATTTCGATTTTGAGTGTTTCGGTGGTAGCTTTAGAGGAAAAGGGCGGAGTACCTTGAAAAGCCACCGCCAGATACAAACAGTATACTAAATCAAGTTTATCATGAAAGGTTGTGAGATAAAACAACCCATCATCTATTGCATCGTAGGCTGGGCCGGCCTTGGTGCGAATGAAGCTGATACTGATTTCTGATTTCACGTCACCTATAGACGGTTGCCATGGAGATGAACACGTGCCAACGTGGCTAGAGCTCGACGTGTTTCGGGAGTGGGACATATATAAATCACATGGCAAATGCTACACTCTTTGCCTCGTCACAGTCAGTCACGGCGTGATGAAAGATGAACGATGCCGCCGCCGTAATGAACGTCCGTCGTGCCTCCCCGCGTTGGCGAGACTCGAAAAGAACCGATTTTACCACGACATCCTCTCTCACCAGTGATCTTGTTGCCGTTGATGAGAAGCATCTCCAGCTTGCTGAGGGCTCCAAGCGCCTTGGGAATGGGTCCTGCGTAAGACAATTACAAAATGTGTCATACCCATGATCAAATTGAAACTGTTGACCATGACATGAGTGCCGCCCACGCCTTGTGCGTGCGGGAAAACTTCTACAAGCTACAGTAGTCTTACCAGAAGCCGAGCAACACCGATTGATATGTAGTCAACATGTTTTACCAGTAGGCTGTTGTTGATTGCGGCCAACGAGTTCAGCAGATCAGCCCCACACTCAGGCCAAGCACCCCAAGCTCCCCAACTTGAGAGTATTTGTCATCGTGTGCTTGCTGGCTACCGGCGTGGTGCGTCCCCGGTGAAGAGGGACAGGACCTTCCGCTTCAATGACATCGGTTCTGGCTGGGTTTAGACGACATCTCCAGGGACACAGATGCAGCGCGCAGGAGCAAAGGCAACCGCCTGAGCCATGCCTTATTTGGCCTCCACGATGCACAACGATTGGAAGCTCGGAGGCCACCATTCTTCTGAAAAACATGCTTGCATGTACATGGAACAAACAGAGGTCAACCCAATTCCTGTAGCCTCGATATACAGTGCATATTCGATAGGTTCCGAGGGAAAGCGCAAACGAGATGAACAATACATGTTATCAAGCTGTGACGCATGGCGCGTCCTGAGCTGCGATGACGACGCGCCGCGGGGTTGTGACTGTCTCACAGCAACCTGCTTGAACCCCTACGAAGACCGACCGCTGTGCTGCCGCGGTGAACATTGTAGGAAGTGCCTCGCACAGTCACCACATACTGTACGCGCGGTTAGATTAGGGCCGTTTTAAACATGCAAAGCACATTCTTACATAAATTTTATGTTTCCAAGTTTGGAAACTTTGCGCGGCGAGTTCGAAGGCAAAATCTTCGGAACCTTTCCGAACATTTGGAAGCTACCGTTCCAAAGTTTTGGGGCCCTCATCAATTTCAAATTGTTTATGACTTCCAAATTTTAATTTTTGGAATTTGGAAATTTGGAAAAAAACGCTATCACTAAAACGGCCCTTATGCAGTGTTGTTGACTCCAACCCCGTGTGGAGGGCAGTGCCGCGAGGGCTAAAACGACCTGAACCGTAGCCCAACCTCCACCGATGTACATAGATCAAAACGCGGCCACGATATCGCAAAACGCGTTTTGTGTGTTTTCGTCCTATTTATGATGGCGACAGTCCCCCCACTTTTCGTGTTGACGTGCACTACATGTATGTAGAGAACTGCACTTTTCAGTGTATTTTTCGTACAACTACAACCAGCCAGGGTCACACAGGAGGGGGTAAGCACCGGGGCTTATTGCTTTTATATTTTTTCTATTTTCGTGCCCCACCTAAATCCTGTTAAGCGTGCTGAAAATATATTTTTATTGCGAGAAGGGATAGCCGTCCCTTTCCCTCGTCAACGGTGCTAGTGTCGAAGCTTGGTACTCACGACGTTTTCAGCCTTTCCTTTCTCTTTCACCCGCAAAAGTTGTATATACATTCAACCCATGGGGACTCGAACTCACGACGACTTTGCCACAAGCGGTTTCGAGGTTACCACTAGACGACCGGGACGACCAGTGGCACAGTGTCGAGAAATACCCAACAGGGGGTCTACAGGCGGAATACATCCCCGGCACCTTGGGGACGAGCCCTGATATAGTACAATCGCCAGACATAAAGCAGACACGTTCGTCTGTATGAGGATTGCGCGATGCTATACGAGCCAACCAGACAACTTACTGGAACCCGAGCAAGGCCGACTGGCAGTCAAACCCTGTTGCCGGTGAGCTCGCTTGGGTCTGGACTACCGCAACCAATACATCGACCCGATAATCAGGTCATTCGTCTCAAGCTCTCAAACGTTAATATCCTGCCGATGGTCTCACTGTTCTGACTACCAGTATTGTTGCAGAACACCAAGGTCCGCCTACTCCCAAGAGCATCGGTTCCGGGTTTTGGGCAACAACTCCAGAAATACAGAAGCATAATACAAGGGGAAACGTCCCCCGCCCGAACCATGCCTGCGCCTCTACGATCACCAAGTACAACGGCTCGAATGTGTGCGAGTGTTTATCATTCAAACAGAAATGTTTTCAAGTATGGACAAACAGAGGCAACGCTTTGGCCCAAGACGCCGCCATATGCATCATTCAAACTGAGGGACTTGAATAGGCAGGCAGAGTGACGTCAAATACAACAGCGTCATACATGGCCGAGGTCCTTCGGGACGAAGGGGTTCCAGTATTTACCGCCAGATGCAAACAACTGATATCAAACGATATCATGAAGTTGGAGCGGGTCCACAGCAAACCATCACCTGGAGCGTCGTACGCGGCATTGTTCCCACATCACGCTGAGTTTACTCTCCCTCACCAGAAAGTGCGTTGCCGCTGAGCCCAAGCCGTTCCAACTTGCCGAGATCTCCAAGTACTCCGGGGATGGACCCTGCACAAACCAAAAAAGAGCCAAATGGTGATCTCGTTAAGGAGCCGCTGATGGGCGAGGTGTAGTGAAACATACATGGTGCGGCGGGCTGGTCAACAAAACGGTCCGACCTACCGCGTGGGCGAGACACGAAAGGAATCAATCTTCCCACGCCATCCTATTTCACCAGGTGAGCTTGTTGTGGTACATGGAAAAAATCGTCAGTTCGTTGAGAGCTCCAAGCGCCTCGGGGATGGGACCTGCAGCAGACAAAGGGACAACGAGTCACATTGCCTGGTCAAATTGAAAATGTAACGCAAGACATGATGTGTCGCTCACGCCTTGTGTGTACTGTACGGAGGTGCTCTACAACCTAGCAAAACACCAGAAGCCAACACCAGCCATGAGACAACGCCTACTATTGTTTCCCTCATAATTCAGCTTGGTTCGGATCGCGACCAACACGATCAGCATATCGCACTGACACGTAGGTCAAGCATCCACATCTCTCAAACATCCCCCGTGATGCTAAACGTTCTCGGTTCAACTATTCTACCGGATTTATTGCGGGCACCAATGCCTCCCGACCCTGGCGAGAGATTAGCCATCTTTCCACGGGCATCAGCTACGGATTCCGGAGACGAATCCGGGGGGGAAGATGCAGAGAGAAACGGAATAAGACTTTCGCTAGAGGTATGCCGGTCGAGTGCTACTACTAGACACAACGACTCGAAGCTGCGGGGTCGGTATCGTCGAACGCAATGGTTGGAAATACATGGCACAAGCTGATGTCAACCCGTTAGGAGCTTCCTGTGGCCTCGAGTTCCAGTGTCTAGTCTCCGACGATAGGCGAGAGCGAAGTGAAATGGAAATAGCCATTCCTTTGAGGGACAAAGCAGCAACTTGAGTTGCGTCTACAATGCACCGTGAGGTTGTCGACGTCACACGGCAAGCTGTGACGACACCCCAGCACATCAGCAAGAAGAAAACCACCGATGTGCTGTCGCTGCCTTGACTGAGCAAAGTGTCACGGCATAGTCGCCACTTCGGTATGGGCCAACAGACATACCGCGTATATATTTGTACAGCCTTGCCGCGTCCAAAAGCCCCTGTTTGGGGAAACATCGCTTGAAGCAACCAAGAAAAGCTACAGCAAAACCTCCACTAGGACACCTATGAAAGTGCCCACGGTATGGTATCGTGCAAAACGTGTTGCCAAATACCGAACAACGTGTACATGAACGGATATGAGCTGCGAGCTGCTTGAAACGTTATCTTTGCGACAGCAACCAAACCAATACACAAACAACGAACACAAGACATCATCATCAATGTCGTGCGATTCTACGCCGCTGGTGGGCACGGCGTACTGAAACATGTAAGATGCGGCCGGCTGGTTGAAAATCGGTCCGACCTACCGCGTGGGCGACACACGAAAGGAATCAATCTTCCCACGCCATCCCATCTCACCAGTGAGCTTATTGTCGTGCATCATAAGCTGTTGCAGCTCGCTGAGAGCTCCAAGCACCTCGGGAATAGTCCCTGCTCGAGACAAAAGCACAATGAGTCACATGTCGTGATGAAATTTCAAATGCAACGCAAGACACCATGTATCAACCACGCCCGGTGTGTACTGTACGCAGATGCTCCACAAGCGACTCCAGAAACCGAGCAACACCAGCTAGCGTTAACGCCGTTTGCTTCGCTCAGAATTCAGCTTGGTTCGGATCGCGACCAACACGATCAGCATATCGTACTGACACGTAGGTCAAGCATCCACGTCTCTCAAACATCCCCCGTGATGCTAAACGTTCGACTGTTGTACCGGATTTGTTGCGGGCACCAATGCCTCCCTACCCTGACGAGAGATTAGTCATCTTTCCACGGGCATCAGCCACGGTTTTCGGAGACGAATCCGGGGGGGAAGATGCAGAGAGCAAGGGAAAACGACTCTCGCTAGAGGTATGCTCGCGAGTGCTACTACTAGATACAATGACTCGAAGCTGTGAGGTCGGTATCATCGAACGCAATGGTTGGAAATACATGGCACAAGCTGATGTCAATCCGTTAGGAGCTTCCTGTGGCCTCGAGTTCCAGTGTCTAGTCTCCGATGATAGGCGAGAGCCAAGTGAAATGGAAATAGCCATTCCTTCGAGGTATAAAGCATGGAGCATCCTGAGTTGCGCCCACAATGGACCGTAAGGGTGCCGACGTCACACGGAAAACTGCGCCGACACCCCAGCACACCAACAACAAGGCCACCGACGTGCTGTCGCTGCCTTGATTGAGCAAAGTGTCACGCAAAGACGCCACTTCGCTATGGGCCAACAGACATACCGCGTATATACAGCCTTGCCGAGCCCACGCCCGTGTATGGGGAAACATCGCTTCAAGTGAAGCAAATATGATAATGCTACAGCAAAACCTCCACCTAGGACACCTATTAAAGTGCCCACGGTATGGTATCGTGCAAAACGTGTTGCCAAATACCGAACAACGTGTACATGAACGGATATAAGCTGAGCTGCTTGGAGCGTTGTCTTTGCGACAGCAACAAAAACAAGACACAAACAACCAACATCAAGACACCATCATCAATGTCATGCGATTCTACTGCACACTATCCTCCGCGGCATCGTGAGCGGGATTGGTCCCGCTTCGCAACGTGTTCCATTCTCCCTCACCGGTCAGCTGGTTGCCGTCGAGTCGAAGAATTTGCACCTTTCCGAGGCCTCCAAGCTCTCCGGGGATGGAACCTGCACGGGCGTACAGCAGGTGGCCCACTGGTTATGCTGCTGCTGATGTACTGAGCATGATGAGGAGACATGTGTGATGCCGCCGGCTCGTTCAACATCGGACCCGCCTACATCGTGGGCGAGACACGAAATGATGTCCCCACGCCATCCTCCCTCACCGATGAACTTGGCGACGTTCACCACACAAGTTTCTTCAGCTTGCGATGTACGTCTCACGTGTCATCGACTTGCATGCGTTCTCCAAGATGAGAATGTCTCCACCGTTTCGTGGGTTCGGGGGACCCTATGCAAGCCAACTATAATAGACCACCTATTGGTACCCTCTGATGGCAACCAAACGCTCTTGCCGGTGAGCTCGCTTGCGTCCGGACTACCGCGACCAACGCATCGACCTGACACTCACGTCGAAAGTCGCAAGCTCTCAAACCCTTTTGTTTCCTTCAGAATTCAGGTTGGTTCGGATCGCGACGAACACGACAGGCATATCGCACTGACACTTAGGTCAAGCACCCAATCTCCCAAGCGGCCCTGGTGAAAAAACCCGCTGATCGTCTAGCGGTCTGAATGTTGCAGGCACCAATGTCGTCCTACCCGGGCGAGATGTGACCTATCTCTCCACGGGCATCAGTTCCGGATTTCGGAGACAATTCTCCGAGGGGTACACGCCGCAGAGAGAAAGGGGAAAAGACCACCGCTCAAGGAATGCCGGTCGAGTGCTACTAATATACTAACCGCAACGACTCGAAGCTGCGGGGGTGGTATCGTCGAACGCAATGGTTGGAAACACATGGCACAAGCGGATATCAATCCGTTAGGAACTTCCCGTGGCCTCGAGTTCCAGTGCCTAGTCGAAAGGCCTCGATGATGGCGAGAGCGAAGTTGAATAGCCATTCCTTCGAGGTGTAAAGCATCGAGCATCCTCAGTTGCACTACAATGTACCGTGAGACTGTTGACGTCACACGGCGAGCTGTCATGACACCCCCGCACCACCAAGAACAAGACCACCGATATGCTGTCGCCGCCATGAGTGACGAAAGTGTCACACACAGTCGCTAAATCGCTATGGGTCAACTGACATACCGCGAATATACAGCCTTGCAGAGTCCAAGCCCCTGTGTAGGGAAACATCGCTTAAAGTGCAGCAAATATGGAAAGCTACGACACGCCTAAGCCAAGACTTCGCCACATGCACCAATCCAGCTGAGCGACTGAGAAGGAGGCAGGGAGAGTGTCGCCAAATAACGGACAAGGGGTACAACAGCGGCATACAGCGCCGAGGTCCTTTCGGTACAGACGGGTCCCAGTACAGCACGACCGCCAGATACAAACGTTAGCATGAAGGCTGTAAGATCCTAAAGCACACCATGATCTAGGGCGTCGTAGGCGGCCTTGTTCTGACATCGCGCTGAGTTGCATTCTGTCTTACCTGAGAGCTGGTTGCCGTAAAGAAAAAGCTGTTCCAACTTGCCGAGAGCTCCAAGCACTCCTGGGATGGACCCTGCACAAAACAAAAGAGCCAAACGGTGAACTCGTCAGTTCGCCGCTGGTAGGCGCGGCATGGTGAAAAGGTATGATGCGGCCGGCTGGTTGAACATCGGTCCGACCTACCGCGTGGGCGACACACGAAAGGAATCAATCTTCCCACGCCATCCCATCTCACCAGTGAGCTTGTTGTCGTTCATGCAAAGCGTCTCCAGCTCGCTGAGAGCTCCAAGCGCCTCGGGAATAGTCCCTGCTCGAGACAAAAACACAATGAGTTACATGTCCTGATGAAACTTCAAATGCAACGCAAGACACCATGTGTCAACCACGCCCGGTGTGTACCGTACGGAGATGCTCCACAAGCGACTCCAGAAACCGAGCAACACCAGCTAGCGTTAACGCCGTTTGCTTCCCTCAGAATCCAGCTTGGTTCGGATCGCGACCAACACGATTAGCGTATCGCACTGACACGTAGGTCAAGCATCCACATCTCTCAAACATCCCCCGCGATGCTAAACGTTCTCGGTTCGACTGTTGTACCGGATTTGTTGCGGGCACCAATGCCTCCCTACCCTGACGAGAGATGACCCGTCTTTCCACGGGCATCAGCTACGGTTTTCGGAGACGAATCCGGGGGGGAAGATGCAGAGAGCAAGGGAATAACACTTTAACACTTTCGCTAGAGGTATGCCGGTCGAGTGCTACTACTAGATACAACGACTCGAAGCTGTGAGGTCGGTATCATCGAACGCAATGGTTGGAAATACATGGCACAAGCTGATGTCAATCCGTTAGGAGCTTCCTGTGGCCTCGAGTTCCAGTGTCTAGTCTCCGATGATAGGCGAGAGCAAAGTGAAATGGAAATAGCCATTCCTTTGAGGTATAAAGCATGGAGAATCCTGAGTTGCGTCTACAATAGACCGTAAGGGTGCCGACGTCACACGAAAAACTGCGCCGACACCCCAGCACACCAACAACAAGGCCACCGATGTGCTGTCGCTGCCTTGACTGAGCGAAGTGTCACGCATAATCGCCACTTCGCTATGGGCCAACAGACATACCGCGTATATACAGCCTTGCCGAGCCCACGCCCGTGTATGGGGAAACATCGCTTCAAGTGAAGCAAATATGATAATGCTACAGCAAAACCTCCACTACTGTAGGACACCTATGAAAGTGCCCACGGTATGGTATCGTGCAAAACGTGTTGCCAAATACCGAACAACGTGTACATGAACGGATATAAGCTGAGCTGCTTGAAACGTTGTCTTTGCGACAGCAACCAAACCAATACACAAACAACCAACACAAGACACCATCGTCAATGTCGTGCGATTCTACTGCACACTACCCTCCGCGGCATCGTGAGCGGGATTGGTCCCGCTTCGCAACGTGTTCCATTCTCCCTCACCGGTCAGCTGGTTGCCGTCGAGTCGAAGAATTTGCACCTTTCCGAGGCCTCCAAGCTCTCCGGGGATGGAACCTGCCCGGGCGTACAGCAGGTGGCCCACTGGTTATGCTGCTGCTGATGTACTGAGCATGATGAGGATACATGTGTGATGCCGCCGGCTCGTTCAACATCGGACCCGCCTACGTCGTGGGCGAGACACGAAATGATGTCCCCACGCCATCCTCCCTCACCGATGAACTTGGCGACGTTCACCACACAAGTTTCTTCAGCTTGCGATGTACGTCTCACGTGTCATCGACTCGCATGTGTTCTCCAAGATGAGAATGTCTCCACCGTTTCGTGGGTTCGGGGGACCCTATGCAAGCCAACTATAATAGACCACCTATTGGTACCCTCTGATGGCAATCAAACGCTCTTGCCGGTGAGCTCGCTTGCGTCCGGACTACCGCGACCAACGCATCGACCTGACACTCACGTCGAAAGTCGCAAGCTCTCAAACTGCTACATTATGCGAATCGTTTCAAATCCTGACCACCCGCGGTATTGTTGCAGGGCACCGAGGCCTCCCTACTCAGACGAAATTGGATCTATATCTCCAAGAGCATCGTTCCCGGGTTTACGCCACAACTCCAGGGATACCGATGCATGATGCAAGGGGAAATGTCCCCCGCCCCAGGCATGCCTTTGGTGCCTCTACGATGTAGAACGGTTCGAAGGTGGAGATTGTTATCGTTCAGAGAGCAAGGGTTTCAAGTACGGGCAAACAGAAGTCACGCCATTTCCAGCCTCCTGTGGCCTCGCTTTCCGATGGATAGTCGATAGGTTCCGAGGAAGAGCGGAACAAAAATGAAACGACCACCTCTTAGAGGCGCATTGCATGGCACGTCCTGGTTGCAAGCATAATGTATCGTAAAACTGCTGTGGAAGGCATAAAACGAAGACGACACATGAAACGAGAAGCCACTGATAGGTTGCCTTCATATTTGGAGGACGTAAAGTCCCCACGTCGTTACGGGGCATCTGGCATCCGTGAATTTACAATCATGTCGCGTGTCGTGCAGGCGACACCACGAGTCTCATTTCATAGACCAACTGCAAACCTAAGCTAACACTGCGTCACCTATATCAATCCAGCTGAGCGACTGAGAAGGAGGCAGGGAGAGTGTCGCCAAGCGACGGACAAGGGGGTACAACAGCGGAATACAGCGCCGAGGTCCTTTCAGTGCGGACGGGTCCCAGTACAGCACGACCGCCAGATACAAACGTTAGCATGAAGGCTGTAGGATCCTAAAGCAAACCATGATCCAGGGCGTCCTAGGCAGCCTTGTTCTGACATCGCGCTGAGTTGCATTCTGTCTTACCTGAGAGCTGGTTGCCGTAGAGAAAAAGGTGTTCCAACTTGCCGAGAGCTCCAAGCACTCCTGGGATGGGCCCTGCACAAAACAAAAGAGCCAAACGATGAACTCGTCAGTTCGCCGCTGGTGGGCGCGGCGTGGTGAAAAGGTATGATGCGGCCGGCTGGTTGAAAATCGGTCCGACCTACCGCGTGGGCGACACACGAAAGGAATCAATCTTCCCACGCCATCCCATCTCACCAGTGAGCTTGTTGTCGCCCATGTCCAGGTTATTCAGCTCGCTGAGAGCTCCAAGCGCCTCGGGAATAGTCCCTGCTCGAGACAAAAGGACAATGAGTCACATGTCGTGATGAAATTTCAAATGCAACGCAAGACACCATGTGTCAACCACGCCCGGTGTGTACTGTACGGAGATGCTCCACAAGCGACTCCAGAAACCGAGTAACACCAGCTATGCGTTAACGCCGTTTGCTTCCCTCGGAATCCAGCTTGGTTCGGATCGCGACCAACACGACCAGCATATCGCACTGACACGTAGGTCAAGCATCCACATCTCTCAAACATCCCCCGTGATGCTAAACGTTCGACTGTTGTACCGGATTTGTTGCAGGCACCAATGCCTCCCTACCCTGACGAGAGATTGGTCATCTTTCCACGGGCATCAGCTACGGATTTCGGGGACGAATCCGGGGGGGAAGATGCAGAGAGCAAGGGAATAACACTTTCGTTAGAGGTATGCCCTCGGGTGTTTCTACTAGATACAACGACTCGAAGCTGCGGGGTCGGTATCGTCGAACGCAATGGTTGGAAATACATGGCACAAGCTGATGTCAACCCGTTAGGAGCTTCCTGTGGCCTCGAGTTCCAGTGTCTAGTCTCCGATGATAGGCGAGAGCAAAGTGAAATGGAAATAGCCATTCCTTTGAGGGACAAAGCAGACACTTGAGTTGCGTCTACAATGCACCGTGAGGTTGTCGACGTCACACGGAAAACTGTGACGACACCCCAGCACACCAACAACAAGGCCACCGATGTGCTGTCGCCGCCTTGACTGAGCAAAGTGTCACGCATAATCGCCACTTCGCTATGGGCCAACAGACATACCGCGTATATGCAGCCTTCCCGAGCCCACGCCCGTGTATGGGGAAACATCGCTTCAAGTGAAGCAAATATGATAATGCTACAGCAAAACCTCCACTACTGTAGGACACCTATGAAAGTGCCCACGGTATGGTATCGTGCAATACGTGTTGCCAAATACCGAACAACGTGTACATGAACGGATATGAGCTGCGAGTTGCTTGAAACGTTGTCTTTGCGACAGCAACCAAACCAATACACAAACAACCAACACAAGACACCATCATCAATGTCATGCGATTCTACTGCACACCACCCTCCGCGGCATCGTGAGCGGGATTAGTCCCGCTTCGCAACGTGTTCCATTCTCCCTCACCGGTCAGCTGGTTGCCGTCGAGTCGAAGAATTTGCACCTTTCCGAGGCCTCCAAGCTCTCCGGGGATGGAACCTGCCCGGGCGTACAGCAGGTGGCCCACTGGTTATGCTGCTGCTGATGTACTGAGCATGATGAGGATACATGTGTGATGCCGCCGGCTTGTTCAACATCGGACCCGCCTACGTCGTGGGCGAGACACGAAATGATGTCCCCACGCCATCCTCCCTCACCGATGAACTTGGCGACGTTCACCACACAAGTTTCTTCAGCTTGCGATGTACGTCTCACGTGTGATGGACTTGCATATCGCTCTCCCGTGGCGCACCAAAGTGATGGCTTTGGTGCTACCGTTGGTACGGGTAGCCAGAGCGCGAGTGGCCCCCCACACGCTGCTTTGCTTCTAAGTCCGAGTTGCGGGGGGTGATTGGTTCGTTGTTGCTTATCTGCGAGGTCGTGCGGCCTGGTAAATATTTTGTTGGCCGCATGCCTAACCAGTTGGGGCTACCGCCGGTGCAATTGACCGCCCGGGGGGTGGCACGGAAACGGATCGGCCCGAGTTTCATGCCGACATGCGGTTTTGGCGTGTGATGGTCGAAGGGGGCCTGGGATCGCCGTCGCGGTTGTTAACAGCCCCACGTGTATGTTTTTTCGATCAACCATATTCGTGTATTTTGTGGTCGGACATGCGATGGGAGGGTATTTCTTGCATGCCGAATTCCGTTCTGGAGTGTGGTGGCGTTTTGATTTTAGTCAAGAAGTACGGGAGAGGCTTCGCCAGCAGGTCGAGGGGCGCGACGATCTGAGCATCAACATGCTCGAACTCCTCGCGATGGTAGTTGGCGCCTGGGTGTTCATTGTACAATCGGACGTGAGGCCAGAGTACGCCCGCAATAGCATCCGTATGATGGGAGACAACTCTTCGAGTGTGGCGTGGGTGAACAAATGTCGGGGGGGGAGCGAGCCCCGATCGGGGGCACTCATGCGTATGCTAGGATGTTTGGAGATGGGCAGCGGATGGTGTTTTGAGGCGGCTCATGTTCGGGGGGTCGATAACACGATTGCAGATGGTATTTCACGCTGGGAGCCGGCGACCATTGACGCTCGTCTTCGCCTGTCCCGTCCCAATGTCGCCTGGCGCCAACAGGTCTTGAGCCCGGAGGTCGCCGATCTTTGTACCGGCGTCTTAGCGGCGATTACGTCCGCGAGTCAGTTGCGCAGTCGTCTCGAAGAACTTACCTGTCGGGTTGGCGGGCTTGGTGTGCTTTTCGCCGCATGATTGGCGAGTCGGAGTACCTCTCGGGGGATGTGGATGGTGCTGGGCTGAAACAAGCACTTTTGGAGTTTGTGGTGTGGTGTTGTGCAGATAAGGGTAACATTGCACCGAGCATATCCGGCAAGCTCGCCGCGGTACAGTACTTTCATCGAGTTGACAAGCAGCTTGAGTTGCCTACCGGTGCGCCTCTTATCAAACGGAGTTTGTTGAGTGTCGCACGTGTTCACGTTCGAGCGGGTACGAAGAGTCGGAGTCGTGTTCCCGTCTCGTGGGAGACGTTGGTGGAAGAACAGCAGTTGACGGCGTCGTGGGGTTCAGGTGGCCGCGTGATGTGGCTGTGTTTGGCGTTGTCGTACTTCCTGGTGGCGCGTTCGGATGAGGTTTTTGCCACACTGTCGGGACAATGCCACCAGGTGCATTGTTTGCGGCGTAGCGACGTCGAATTCTTTGATGGGGAGTACGTGCTAGCCCCGTTGCACTGGCACAAGGCCACAGGAGTTCGGGTTCGGTTTCGCGGCCACAAGGGGGATCAGTCGGAGACGGGGGCGTGCGTTACACGGGTGCGCGATGTAGCACGAGGCGCGAGTTCTCAGATTGGAGCCGGTGGCGTTGTCGTGGCGGTGTTGGTGGAATTGATGGCGTGCCATCTTGCTTTGCCTGAGAAAGCCCCTCTGTGCTCGTTTCGCTGCAGTAGGAGCAGTACGGTTAAGGTTTGGGGATATTCCAAAGCTCTTAGCGCCCTTCGCCAGATTGTGGAGAAGGCAGGTGGCGACCCGAGACAGGTTGGCTTGCATTCGTTGAGAATCGGGGCCGCCACCACGTTGGCAGCAGGAGGAGACGTACCGGACAGAATTATGCAGAGAGAGGGTAGATGGAAGGAAGGTTCGGGTACGTTTGAAATATACACTAGGGATAATATGGTGGACGTAGACATGGTATCCCAAAAACTAGCGAAGGGGAAGAAGACGGAGCAGAAGAAGGGTTAGCATACACGAAGGTACGGGCAAGGGGACAGAATGCCATCCCACTAAACGTCGATGTTGGTGGGTGTAATGGTATGGAGTACCATTGGGGGTCTCGGTGTATTGAGACGGCATTTTTTTAGGGCCTGCCAGTTGACATGGAAGGGGAACTTGGACTCTGGAGGAGAGAGGGAAGCGATCGGTGTCGTCCCCTCATTATTGGCCAGAGAGTTACCTTCCAGACTTCGTGGAAAATAATAATAAAAATGACATTTTCGGGAAAATATAATAAAGCGAGTATTTCAGATGGATCCAACCTAAGGGGGGAGGAGTCTGAAATTGGTGTTTATTGGAGTTAATGAGAAGTGAGCATTTATTATTATGTGCCAAAGAGGATGTCTGCGTGCGTATAGAAGAGGAGGCATGCGCACCGAGAGAAGGCAGCTGCTCGCAGGACATTCCGTTTGCGCCCGATCACGTTGAAGCATCATCAGTGCCGGAACACAGGGACTGCTAAACGTACGAGTGGACAACACTGCCAGCTACTACCTGTTAAGACGTTCTGTTCCGGGGAGCTAGTGTTGTCGTCTTTCCCACCCACGCCACCCTCGATTTGTTTCCCGAAAGATGGCGCAGAGTCCAAGCCCCTGTGTAGGGAAACATCGCTTAAAGTGCAGCAAATATGGAAAGCTACGACACGCCTGAGCCAAGGCTTCGCCACATGCATCAATCCAGCTGAGCGACTGAGAAGGAGGCAAGGAGAGTGTCGCCAAGCGACGGACAAGGGGTACAACAGCGGCATACAGCGCCGAGGTCCTTTCGGTACAGACGGGTCCCAGTACAGCACGACCGCCAGATACAAACGTTAGCATGAAGGCTGTAGGATCCTAAAGCACACTATGAACTAGGGCGTCGTAGGCAGCCTTGTTCTGACATCGCGCTGAGTTGCATTCTGTCTTACCTGAGAGTTGGTTGCCGTAGAGAAAAAGCTGTTCCAACTTGCCGAGAGCTCCAAGCATTCCTGGGATGGACCCTGCACAAAACAAAAGAGCCAAACGGTGAACTCGTCAGTTCGCCGCTGGTGGGCGCGGCGTGGTGAAAAGGTATGATGCGGCCGGCTGGTTAACACAACGGTCCGACCTACCGCGTGGGCGACACACGAAAGGAATCAATCTTCCCACGCCATCCCATCTCACCAGTGAGCTTGTTGTCGTTCATGCAAAGCGTCTCCAGCTCGCTGAGAGCTCCAAGCGCCTCGGGAATAGTCCCTGCTCGAGACAAAAGCACAATGAGTCACATGCCGTGATGAAATTTCAAATGCAACGCAAGAAATGCATGCGTCAACCACGCCCTGTGTGTACCGTACGGAGATGCTCCACAAGCGACTCCAGGAACCGAGTAACACCAGCTATGCGTTAACGCCGTTTGCTTCCCTCGGAATCCAGCTTGGTTCGGATCGCGACCAACACGACCAGCATATCGCACTGACACGTAGGTCAAGCATCCACATCTCTCAAAACATCCCCCGTGATGCTAAGCGTTTTCGGTTCAACTATTCTACCGAATTTGTTGCGGGCACCTAACGTGACGAGTGATGACCCATCTTTCCACGGGCATCAGCTACGGATTTCGGAGACGAATCCGGGGGGGAAGATGCAGAGAGCAAGGGAACACGACTCTCGCTAGAGGTATGCCGGTCGAGTGCTACTACTAGATACAACGACTCGAAGCTGCGGGGTCGGTATCGCCGAACGCAATGGTTGAAAACACATGGCACAATCGGATGTCAATCCGTTAGGAGCTTCCTGTGGCCTAGAGCAGTGTCTACTGTAGTCTTCGATGATATGTAGGCGAAAGCCAAGTGAAATAGAAATAGCCATTCCTTTGAGGTATAAAACAGTTACTTGAGTTGCGCCTACAATGCACCGTGAGGGTGTCGACGTCACACGAAAAACTGTGACGACACCCCAGCACACCAACTGGCTACCTCCCTTCTCCCTCGGCCTGCTCCCCGGCCGGGGCCAAAATCGACCTAGTGAGTCCCTCCCGGCCGAACCAGGCCACAACAGATAGTAGGCGGGTGGTGTCCCAAGGTGCAACTCACCGCCGCGCTGGCTCAGCGCGGCGGTGAGGATGCACAGGCGGTGGTAGTGGCAAGAGGTGTGCATGGACACTGTTCCCGCGGCAGCAATGCAAAGCGGCAAACTGCACCTAGCAACCACCGTCGCGGAAAGCGTGGCCCACGAAGCTGGAGGAGTAGAGAGATTCGTAAACACTACGTCAGTAAGCACCGCTCGCGGGAGAAGGGAGACAACCGCGGGCACCGCGGGGAGGGAGTGCTGCACCCTCCTCGTCAAAACACCACAGGCAAGAACCGAGCCCTGCAGAGATAGGATTGATGCGAGGAAACTCGCCGCTCGGAAAAAACGGAAGAAACTACACCCGCAACGCGAGGCGGGCCGAGAGAGACAGGAGACAGCAGCGGCCGTCAAGGCGGCTGCGAAGAAGAAGGCACGGGAGGGCGACCTATCGTTCGGGACGTTCAACGTACGCACGCTCGCCTACAGCGGTAGGAACTCCATCGGTCACAACGTGATGACGATCATGCAGATCTGCTCCGCGACCGGCTGTGATGTGATAGGACTTCAGGAGACCCGACGAGAGGGGCAAGGTTCAATTGCACACGACGGGTACGTGATCATCTGGAGTGGCGCCCGTGCTGGCACCAAGGACAAGAGGGGCGTGCATGGTGTGGGCATAGCGATCAAGGAGGCCATATGGGAGAGTGTGGGCGAGGAAGGTAGGACGGTGGAGTGCATTAGCCCGAGGCTGAGGAAGGTGCGTCTACAAATTGGCCTCACCTGCGGAGTAACTTTCGTGGTGGGGTACGCCCCCACGGAAACTGTCCCCACCACCGCGGGCGGTGATATTAACGCCAAGGACTCCTTCTGGACTGCTCTCGACGCAGCGATCCGGGAGACTCACAGCCGTGACCATCTCGTGGTGCTAATGGACGCCAACGCACGCACTGGCAGGAGGCGAGACGGGTGTTGCGATGCCAAGAGTATGGGCGCGTACGGACGGGACATTACGAACAACAACGGGGAACGACTCCTTGGACTGGCATCAGACAACCAACTCTCCCTGATCAACACCTACTTTCGAACACCGAAAGGTGGAGTGCAGCACACGTTCCAGAGCTCCAACAACGGGAAGGAGAAGTCCCGCCTCGACTTCATCCTCATGCGTCAGACGGACCGGCGTTTCGTGCGTAATGTCTCCGTCAAACATGTCGATTTCAAGGACTCTGACCACAACCTCGTGCTTACGACTGTCCGCCTCCCCCCCCGTGTCGCACCCAACCGACGAGTGCGGGGGAACAGCGGGAGCAGCCGGATCCGTATCGACCTCGAGCAGTTAAGGAAGGACAAACATCTCCGGACCGCCTTCCAAGACAGGGCCTCCAGCCGCCCTTCGCCCACGGCGCTCAGGCGGCCAACGGGAGAGACCGCCGCTGAGCTGACGGATATGGTGATGTCGGCCGCTGCCGAGACCGCGCCGCTGGCGAGGTGCGCACGAGGGCAGAGAGGCTGGTACACGAGCGAAGCGCGGCACGAGATCTCCGAAGCGTCTAAAGAGATTAGGGCGGCCCAGCAGCAACTGCGTGGGGCCTCAAAGAACAGCGCCTTCGAGGCGACCCTGAAGGCGATGCTCAAGGCGGCGCGGAAGAAGCGCAGCATCGCGAGGTGGAGAGCACTGGAAACGTTCTTCGAGGGTTATGTACGGCAGCTCGAGAAGAAGAGCCGCGAGGGGGATCAGGCGGGTTTCTACAGGCACCTGAAGATGATCGACATCGAAGGTAAGAGGTCGTTCACCTCTCAGAACATCAGGGACGAGGACGGCAAGGTCCTTCGGGACCCCACCTTTATTCGCCAACGGTGGGCGCGGTGGTTCCACAAGCTTCTCAACACCAAGTCGCCGACCATCGATCTGCATGCGGTTGACAAGGTCAAGCAGTGGCCCACGTGCGTGCCACTCGACGACATCCCACCTCTATTCGAGGTTGAGGAAGCGGTACGGGAAATGGCCAACAGAAAGGCCGTCGGGCCGGACGACCTACCGGCTGAGCTGATCAACCTTTTCCTGGACAGAGATCAAGGCCTCCTCCGCGAGTTCCACGCCATCGTCGTGGACGTGTGGCAGACGGGGGACATACCACAGCAGTGGAAGGATGCCACCAGCAAAGTGCGGTTCAAGAAGGGGGATACGATGGAGTGCGGCAACTACCGGGGCATCTCTCTCGTCGCACACGCCGGCAAGGTGCTGCTTAAGGTCGTCGCTACACGACTGAGCCACTACTGCGAGCGAGAGGGCATCCTCCCGGAGGAGCAGAGCGGTTTCCGCCCACACCGGTCGACGCTCGACATGCTGTTCGCGATCCAGCGGCTCCATGAGCTCGCGAGGAAGAAGAGTACTGCGGTCTTCGCGTGCTTCGTCGACCTCACCAAGGCGTACGACTCGGTGGACCGAGACCTACTGTGGGACGTGCTCCGACGCTTCGGCGTGCCCCCGAAGATGCTGGCGGTCATTCGCCACTTCCACGAGGGCATGAGGGCGCGCGTCCAAACGGACGAAGGGCAGTACTCGGAATGGTTCGACATGGGCCAAGGCCTCCGACAGGGATGCAACCTGGCCCCGCTGCTGTTCAGCTTGTTCCTTGCCGCGATGCTCATGGTCGCCGTGGCCGAGTTCGACAAGGACCCCAAGGTAACGGCGGACATGGTCAAGATCGGGACACAAGTGGAGTACACGGGCAAGAAGGGCAGGGCGGCGGGGAAGAAGACGACGGTGGTGACGGACGTGGAGGCCCTGTGGGCCATGCTCTACGCTGACGACGCGGCTATCGTCTCGCTCTCGCCGGAGAGCCTCGAGAAGAGGATGTCGGTCATCGTGCGCGTAGCCGGCCTGTTCGGACTGATGGTATCGGAGCCAAAGACGGAGATCATGTGCATGCTGCCGAAAGGGATCGAGGAACGACCGTTCACGGTCAGCGCCGCCGGCCAGACGTATTGTACAAGCAGACAGATCGGTTTGTGTACCTCGGACGTACCATCTGCGCGGACGGGAAGGCCGACCGGGAGATCACGAGCCGCACCTGCCGAGCGTGGAAGCGCTACCGCCGGAACACTGCTTCGATGTACGACAGGCGATGGGCCGACCGCCAGCTCAAGATCCGGCTACTCCAGGTTGAAGTGGTGGAGACTCTCCTGTACGGGTGCGCCTCGTGGAGCCTAACAGCGGAGCACTACACGAAGCTCAATGGGACCCACCGCCAGTTCCTGACACGGTGCATCGGCTGGAGCAAGCGCAAACGCTCAGACCGCCCCCTGTCCTATGCCCAGGCCCTCATCCAGGCCGGCTGCGAGGAAACCATCGAGGTCACCGTGTGCAAACGGAGACTGTGTTTTGCGGGCTTCGTTACGCGCATGGAGGACAACCGCCTCCCCAAGCGGATGCTGGTAGGGGTGATGGCGGGGGGCGTGGAATACCGGGGCGGGCAGGAGAGCGACTGGATGTCTCGTCTAGGAGAGGACCTCGTGGCGTTCAACATGGGAGACGAAAAGGAAGGGGGGAAATGGAAAGAGAGCGCCAAGGATCCGGAGGCGTGGTACAACAAGGTCGAGGACGGGGTGGCATGGTTCATGAGGAAATGGCACAGACAGGAGGCGGAAGCGTCCGCGAAGCGCCAGCGCGCTAGGGAAGCAGAAGCAGGGAGTACGGCCATCTCGGGATCGAAGAGAAAGAGAGTCGGGGAAGTGTTTTTTTTTTCATGTCCTCCCTGCCTACTGTGCCTTGTTGGGTACCTTGATCTCCCTTTTGCCGTTGCTTTTGCTTTTATATAGATGGTTGTCTGCCCATCTGCCGCCTCTTTGTTCTGTTGCCCCCATTACTCCCATGCCCTGGTGCGTAGTGCCTGATGCTGGTACGGTACCCTTTGATTTTTTTAGGCGGGTGTGGGAAGCGCTCCTTTTTCCCTTTTATTTTTGCCTTTATTTTTGTTTAGTTTTATTTTGATCGGTTTCCTAGGGCTCCTTTTCTCGACTGGTCGGTGCGGTAGCTGTTCTTTTCTTTCTATCATTTTGTTTTCTTTTTCCGAGTGGTTTCCCTGCGGCGTCGTATGTGCCGGGTTGTGCGACCACGGGTTCCACATTTTTGTGGACTATAGAGTTAATGTGAGAGATACAACAAAACCATACAACAACAAACCAACAACAAGGCCACCGACGTTCTGTCGCCGCCTTGACTGAGCAAAGTGTCACGCATAGTCGCCACTTCGCTATGGGCCAACAGACATACCGCGTATATGCAGTCTTGCCGAGCCCACGCCCGTGTATGGGGAAACATCGCTTCAAGTGAAGCAAACATGATAATGCTACAGCAAAACCTCCACTCCTATGGGACACCTATCAAAGTGCCCACGGTATGGTATCGTGCAATACGTGTTGCCAAATACCGGACAACGTGTACATGAACGGATATGAGCTGCGAGTTGCTTGAAACGTTGTCTTTGCTACAGCAACCAAACCAATACACAAACAACCAACACAAGACACCATCATCAATGTCGTGCGATTCTACGGCACACCACCCTCCGCGACATCGTGAGCGGGATTGTTCCCGCTTCGCAACGTGTTCCATTGTCCCTCACCGGTCAGCTGGTTGCCCTCGAGTCGAAGAATTTGCACTTTTCCGAGGCCTCCAAGCTCTCCGGGGATGGAACCTGCACGGGTGTACAGCAGGTGGCCCACTGGTTATGCTGCTGCTGATGCACTGAGCATGATAAAGAAACATGTGTGATGCCGCCGGCTTGTTCAACATCGGACCCGCCTACGTCGTGGGCGAGACACGAAATGATGTCCCCACGCCATCCTCCCTCGCCGATGAACTTGGCGACGTTCACCACACAAGTTTCTTCAGCTTGCGATGTACGTCTCACGTGTCATCGACTTGCATGCGTTCTCCAAGATGAGAATGTCGCCACCGTTTCGTGGGTTCGGGGGACGCTATGCAAGCCAACCAGACCACCTATTGGTACCCTTTAATGGCAACCAAACGCTCTTGCCAGTGAGCTCGCTTGCGTCCGGACTACCGCGACCAACGCATCGACCTGACACTCACGTCGGAAGTCGCAAGCTCTCAAACTGCTGCATCATGCGAATCGTTTCAAATCCTGACCACCCGCGGTATTGCTGCAGGGCACCGAGGCCTCCCTACTCAGACGAAGTTGGATCTATATCTCCAAGAGTATCGGTTCCGGGTTTAGGCCACAACTCCAGGGATACAGTTGCATGGTGCAAGGGGAACTGTCCCCCGCCCGAGGCATGCGTTTGGTGCCTCTACGATGTAGAACGGTTCGAAGGTGTGCGATTGTTATCGTTCCTACACTGAAGCAAACGTTTGCAGAATGGACGCAGAGAGTTCACGCCATTTCCAGCCTCCTGTTGCCTCCCTTCCCGGTGCGTGCTAGAAAGATTCCGAGTAAAGGCCAAAGGGGGATGAAACCTCGACCTCTTAGAGGTGCACTGCATGGCACGTCCTGAGTTGCAAGTACGATGCACCTTGAAGCTGATTTGGCAGGCATAAAACAAGCCGTGACAACACCCCAACACATCAAACGAGGAGCCACTGATAGGTTGCCTTCATATTTGGAGGAAGTGTCACGTGTACTCCCCACGTCGCTACGGGCCATCTGGCATTCCGCGTACATACGATCACGTCGCGTGTCGTGCAGGGGACACCACGAGTCTCATTTCATAGACCAACGGCAGACCTAAGCTAAGGCTGCGTCACCTATATCAATCCAGCTGAGCGACTTGAAGAGGCAGGGAGAGTGTCGCCAAATAACGGACAAGGGGTACAACAGCAGCATACAGCGCCGAGGTCCTTTCGGTACAGCCGGGTCACAGTACAGCACGACCGCCAGATACAAACGTTAGCATGAAGGCTGTAGGATCCTGAAGCAAACCATGATCTAGGGCGTCGTAGGCGGCCTTGTTCTGACATCGCGCTGAGTTGCATTCTCTCTTACCTGAGAGCTGGTTGCCGTTGAGCCAAAGCTCTTCCAACTCGCCGAGAGCTCCAAGCACTCCGGGGATGGACCCTGCACAAAACAAAAGAGCCAAACGGTGAACTCGTCAGTTCGCCGCTGGTAGGCGCGGCGTGGTGAAAATGTATGATGCGGCCGGCTGGTTAACACAACGGTCCGACCTACCGCGTGGGCGACACACTAGATGGATCAATATTCCCACGCCATCTCGTCTCACCAGTGAGCTTGTTGTCGTGCATAAAAAGCGTCTTCAGCTCGCCGAGAGCTCCAAGCGCCTCGGGGATGGGTCCTGCACGAGACAAAAGCACAATGAGTCACATTTCGTGAGCAAATTACAAATGCAACGCAAAACACAATGTGTCGCCCACGCCCTGTGTGTAATGTACGAAGATGCTCTACACCCTAGCCATACTGTTTACCAGAAGCCGAGTACACCAGCTATGAGTCAATGCTTTTGGTTCCCTCAGAATCCAGGTTTGTTCGGATCGCGACGAACACGATCAGCGTATCGTGCTGCCAGCTAGGTCAAGCATCCCAATCTCTCAAACGTCTCGTAAGAAAACCCGCCGATCTTCTCACGGTCCGAGTACCCGACATGTTGCAGGCACCAATGTCTCCCTACCCAAACAATATGTGACCTATCTCTCCACGGGCATCAGTTCCGGATTTAAAGAGACAAGTTCTGGGAGGAACATGCAGAGAGCAAGGGATAAAGACTCCCGCACGAGGTATGCATCTGTGCCTCTAAGATGTACAACGGTTCGAAGGTGTGAGATTGTTATCGTTCAGAGAGCAAGGTGTTGATTATGGACACAGAGAGGTCACGCCACTGCCAGCCTCCTTGGCATCGCTTTCCGGTGCTTCGTTGATAGGCTCCGAGGATTTGCAAAAGGGAAATGAAACGGTCACCTGCAGGAGGTGCATTGCATGGCACTTCCTGAGTTGCAAGTACGATTCACCGTGAAGTTGCTGTGGAATGCATAGAGCAATCCGTGACGACACCCCAACACACGGAACGAGGAGCCACCGATAGGTCGCCTAAATGTTTTGGAGACGTGTCACGTGTAGTCGCCACGTCGCTACGGACCATCTGGCATGCCGCATATTGACAATCACGTCGCGAGTGGTGCAAGCGACACCACGAGTCTGATTGAACGGAGAAACGGTACGCCTAGGCCAAGGCTCCGTCACATACATCAATCCAGCTGAGCTACTTGAATAAGCAGGGAGAGTGTCACCAAATACCGGACGAGGGCCGAGGTCCTTCGGTACGGACGGGTTCCAGTACAGCACGACCGCCAGATACGAAAATCATCATGAAGTTAGTAGGATTCTAAAGCAAACCATCATCTAGGGCGTCGTAGTCGGCATTGTTCTCACATCACGCTGAGTTGCATTCTGCCTTACCTGAGAGTTGGTTGCAATGGAGCCAAAGCTGTTCCAACTTGCTGAGAGCTCCAAGCTCTCCCGGGATGGACCCTGCTCAAAACAAAAGAGCCAAAAGGTGAACTCGTACGTTGGCAGCTGTGGATCTGGGTGCAGTGTGTGTGTTGTGTTTTCGTCCTATGTACTATGGCGACAGTTCCCCCATTTTTCGTGGTGAGACGTGTACTACACTTTTAATTGTATGTTTTTCGTACAACTACAACCATCCAGGGTCACACAGGAGGGGATAAACGCCGGGGCTTGTCTCTTCTTGGCCCCACCTTCCTCCTGCGGTGCGGGCTGAATTTTGTTGTTTATCGCGAGAGGGTTCCAGCCGTTCCTTTCCCTCGTCGACGCTGCTAACGTCGAAGTTTGGTACTCACGAGAGTTTTTTAGCTTTCTTTCGCTTTCACCGCGCAAGCGTTGTATCTTTTCACCCCATGGGAACTCGAACTCCCGACTTTGCCACAAGCGGTTTCGGGGTTACCACTAGATCACCGGGGCGACCGACTGCGACACATGAACATTGCGGCCGGCTGGTAAAAAACATTCGTCCGACCTACCGCGTGGGCGAGACACGAGATGGATCAATATTCCCACGCCATCCTATCTCACCAGTGAGCTTGTTGTCGTGCATAAAAAGCTCCTCCAGCTCGCTGAGAGCTCCAAGCGCCTCGGGGATGAGTCCTGCACGAGACAAAAGCACAATGAGTCACATTTCGTGGGCAAATTACAAATGCAACGCAAAACACAACGTGTCGCCCACGCCCTGTGTGTAATGTACGAAGATGCTCCACACCCTAGCCATACTGTTTACCAGAAGCCGAGTACACCAGCTATGGGTCAACGCCTTTTGGTTCCCTCAGAATCCAGGTTTGTTCAGATCGCGACGAACACGATCAGCATATCGTGCAGCCAGTTAGGTCAAGCATCCCAATCTCTCAAACGTCTCTCGTGATGAAACCTGCCGAACGTCTAGCGGTCCGAGTACCCGACATGTTGCAGGCACCAATGTCTCCCTACCCAGACGAGATGTGACCTATCTCTCCACGGGCATCAGTTCCGGATGTAGGAGACAAGTTCTGGGAGCAACATGCAGAGAGCAAGGGATAAAGACTCCCGCACGAGGTATGCCTTCTGTGCCTCTAAGATGTACAACGGTTCGAAGGTGTGAGATTGTTATCGTTCAGAGAGCAAGGTTTTGAAGTATGAACACAGAGAGGTCACGCCACTGCCAGCCTCCTGTGGCATCGCTTTCCGGTGCTTCGTTGATAGGCTCCGAGGATTGGCAAAAGGGAAATGAAACGGTCACCTGTAAGAGGTGCATTGCATGGTACGTCCTGAGTTGCGAGTACGATGCATCGTGAAGCTACCGTGGAAGGCATAGAACAAGCCGTGACGACACCACAACACATGGAACGAGGAGCCACCGATAGGTCGCCTAAATGTTTTGGAGACGTGTCACGTGTAGTCGCCACGTCGCTACGGACCATCTGGCATGCCGCATATTGACAATCACGTCGCGAGTGGTGCAAGCGACACCACGAGTCTGATTGAACGGAGAAACGGTACGCCTAGGCCAAGGCTCCGTCACATACATCAATCCAGCTGAGCTACTTGAATAAGCAGGGAGAGTGTCACCAAATACCGGACAAGGGCCGAGGTCCTTCGGTACGGACGGGTTCCAGTACAGCACGACCGCAGCATTGTGAAGCAAACCATCATCTAGGGCGTCGTAGGCGGCATTGTTCTCACATCACGCTGAGTTGCATTCTGCCTTACCTGAGAGTTGGTTGCCGTCAAGCCAAAGATGTTCCAACCTGTCGAGAGCTCCAAGCTCTCCCGGGATGGGCCCTGCTCAAAACGAAAGAGCCAAACGGTGAACTTGTAAGTTGGCAGCTGTGGATCTGGGTGCAGTGTGTGTGTTGTGTTATCGTCCCTTTACACTTATTATTGCGACAGTCCCCCCATTTTTCGTGGTGAGACGTGTGCTAAACTTATTCAGTGTAGATTTTGCGTACAACTACATCCATCCAGTGGTACACAGGAGGGGATAAACACCGGGGCTTGTATCTTTATGTAGATTTTCGCGCCCCACCTTCCTCCTGCGGTGCGGGCTGAATTTTGTTGTTTATCGCGAGAAGGGTCCAGCCGTCCCTCTCCCTCGTCGACGCTGCTAACGTCGAAGTTTGGTACTCACGTGGGCTTTTTAGCTTTCTTTCGCTTTCACCCGCAACGCTGTACCTTTTCACCCCGTGGGGACCCGAACTCATGACTTTGCCACTTAGGGGTTTCGAGGTTACCACTAGATCACCGGGGCGACCGACTGCGACACATGAACAATGCGGCCGGCTGGTAAAACCCATCCGTCCGACCTACCGCGTGGGCGAGACACGAGATGGATCAATATTCCCACGCCATCCTATCTCACCAGTGAGCTTGTTGTCGTGCATAAAAAGCTTCTTCAGCTCGCTGAGAGCTCCAAGCGCCTCGGGGATGGGTCCTGCACGAGACCAAAGCACAATGAGTCACATTTCGTGGGCAAATTACAAATGCAACGTAAAACACAATGTGTCGCCCACGCCCTGTGTGTAATGTACGAAGATGCTCCACACCCTAGCCAAACTGTTTACCAGAAACCGAGCACACCAGCTATGAGTCAACGCCTTTTGGTTCCCTCGGACTCCAGGTTTGCTCGGATCGCGACGAACACGATCAGCATATCCCACTGCCAGTTAGGTCAAGCATCCCGATCTCTCAAACGTCTCTCGCGATGAAACCTGCCGATCTTCTCACGGTCGTCCCACTGGATAGTCGATGTTTCATGCCACACATGTTTCCCCGCTCAGAAGAGATGAGGCCATTCTCTTCAAGGGTATCGGTTCTGGTTCTAGGAGTAGAGATGAAGGGAGCTACGAAGCGGTGCCGTGAATCATGCCTTGTTTTACTTTTATTATCTATTCGGGAATTGTGAGGTTGGTATCGTCCCGAAAGTAATGCTTGGGAGCTCATGGACGCTCATGGCGTGCTAGCTAAACACGGGAGCTAAGGGCGTCAATTCGCATCAATGAACATAGGAAAGATCATCCAATGACAACTCGATGCCGACACCAAGCAGATGGCACAGTTTGAGCAAATTCATAACGCGGACTAGACATTGCAATACCGTGGAGGTTGTTGTTCGGCAGAGACAGCCCCACCACACGGCCCGCGTGGTTAACTTTGACCCCCTCCCAAGTAGCTAGCCCCGCGTCCGTGTTCCAGTTGCTGTTCGTCTTCCAATTCGCTCCATCAGTCGAACGAAACAACGCAACCAGTGCGGCACGATCCATGGAAGACACCAGCTCCGAGGGGCTGCTTTGGAATGCACGACGGAAAAAAGAAACACGATCCATGGAAGACATCTGCTCCAGGGGCTGCTTCGGATTGCACGAGGGCGGAAAGGAAGATACCTGCGACGAGAGGGAGACAAAGGGACAAAAACAAAAGACGCGAGTCACAGTGGCTTCAATTGTACCTATGGTCAGACTTACTTCCGGAATGCCAACTCGTATGGCGCTCGGTTACATGACAGTGGCTATGTTGCGACGAGGTTCAGTGGGAAAACTCGTTAAACCTTCTGACTCTAGATCATGGGACCAAATCTGCCGGGAGTGACCAAACGTACAGCGACAAAGAAGTGATAAGCGCGTAGTAGCGAGTACATCAAACAACACGGGAGGGGCTGCTGAACCATTCTCGCGTGATAATTGAAGTCAACAAACACCGAAGGAGGAAAGATACAGACATCCTCGTGTGTGAGCCCGGCCGGTCCTCAAGCGGATATACAGGATGGCTGGCGCCCAGAACAGATGGTACGAAACAAACCATCGTGAAGGACGCGGGGCATAATTCCTTTGAAAACTTCCGGTGGGTTCCTCTCAATGCGGCCGATGCAAGCTGCCTCCACAGTGAGATTCCTCGCGCAAGACGACTTCAGTCGGGACCAGGGCGTCGGATTCTCCGGACTTGGTGACAATGAGTGCCACATCACTCACCATATGGTTTCGGCCGGTTTCGCCACCATGCGCCACGAATCGATTTCAGCATGCTTCCAGCATAGACTCGTCACCACAACGTATGCACTCATGGGTGTGCATAAGGACAAACATGGACCAGGTACGTAGTGTGTGCAATCACATGGGCTTTTCAATGCACATACATGAGGTTCGGCGTTGATCACGCATTTTCTTACTGGTGGCCAATGGGCGCCTGGCGATACGGTGTGTGTGGATCTTAGAACTTGATAATATCTAGATATCTGTTCCGTGCATTCGACTTTTTCACAACAAGAGTTGTGTCGGAAGCATCGTAGCAGCAGGACAGAGGGAGAGATCTATCATCACTCTACTTGATGCTTGGCGTACATAAGGTTTGACGTAGATTGTGCTTTTGTCGGCGAGTGGCCAACGGGGTGCCTTGCGTGTGGGTCTTACAACCCGAGACCCATTTGTTCATTGCGTTTGCTCGACCATCACCACAACAATCTCCGTCCCCTTGAAAACGTGCAAAATATGGCGATTGAAGTGTGCCCCACTTGGAGGCCGAGGGGACCTTGCGCCTTTGCGTCGGTGATGGGGTTGAAACGCGGTAGCTGTCATTTGTGGGATGGAGTGAGCATGCCAATGCCCAACGCTCCACCCAACGCATATTCTGTGTCCGCTCGGCCTGTGGTGGGTGCACAATATTCTGTCACGCACGGGCTCGCGCAAAACTAGGCTTGCCGGGATTGCACATCATGAGCGAAAGAACTGTTTCATGATCGAAAGAGCCCTCTACCCTCGTCGCGAAAGAAAGTTCTTGGCGTCATAAATGAGGTCTTATCGACTGTATCCTCTGCTGGTGATGCAGAAGCTGCACATACTCAAGCAGGGACTCACTCACCGGAGTGTTATCACAAAGTTAAGTATCATCGGCTGGGACCAAAGGTATCGTGTGGTTGTTGTGTGCTTTCCTCCGGTCTACTCTGTTGTGGCGCCAGTCTACGCCTTTCGGCACACCTAGTACATTTCACGCACAAGCCAGGGTCGCACCAGAGGCAGTAAAACAACGGACCTGTTTGAATTTTTGCTCTGTATTTCCCTCCGCGGTGCTTTCCTTCAAGCGTTAACGCGAGAAGAGTTTGCTTTTACTCACGGCTGCGCGGTTCAGGTTGCAATTGGGATACAGACTTTTGAAGTCGGCCTGCAAATCATCACCCTATGAACCCTTTTGAAACTCCACAACCCTAACACTCGTACGGCGCTCTTGCAGTTCTAGCGCCACTCGCTGACAGGACGGGGTCCTCGGTCCTTACAAGAACACAACCGGTCCATCGCCACATACCTACAGAAAAACGCGGGGGAAAATAGTGCGATGAGTTTTATCCGTTGGGCAAGAACCGCGATCCCTGCACCGGATAAGCTTAGCCCCAACGGCTAACTGCAAACCAGCATCCAAGACCAACATGCTACCGGTCGCCTCGCCTACACTGCTACATGTAGCAGCAGGTTGACGCCGAGTGAAAAATATGCGTCTTGGGTCGGCAAGCGACTACCTACTTCGTGAGGAAAGTACAACCTGGTACAAGGTAGGGATTGCTGTTGTTGCACCCTTTCTCTCGCGTAAATATGCGACCGCAGTCACCACCATTCAGGGCGCGTTGTGGAACGAAACAAGCAGGCCCTCGCTTCGTACCTGTCTGTGTGACCCGGCCGGTACGCTGTGTTTTTATTTCTATCATAGCCATCCATTTATTCGGGACGTCGGTAATCTTACGCCTCATCAGCCGGGTCACGCTTGAGGAAGGCCACACAGGTATTTTTCTTCGCCACTGCTGTGCTTGCCTTGCTTAACCTTCGTCGCGAGAAGGTTTAGCTGCCGTTCCTTTCCCTCGTCCACCGTAAAGTCGAATTTTTGTTTCCACACGAAAGGTATCGTTCTTCACAACTCTCCATGATGTTTGGTGGCATGCATGCGGAATAAACCCCAGTGTTCGTGTCAGTGCGGCGAGATTCGGACCCACGTCAACGTCAGCAAGCAGCCAGCCGGCTGGGAGGTAACCTATTTACCTACTGCTGTGAACTACCAGTAGTTACCTTTTATGCGCGGCCGAGAAAATAACACCGACACGAAACAGGCGTGGTGAGTTGCTGGCCTGGGACCACGAAAGAAAGCCGTCCGTTTCAGTTGGACCGGTACAGATACTAGGAAGGTACTGAGCAGAGGTCGATGTTTCTATGCAAAGACGATGCATCTCAGCATCAACCTCAACGCGATTGCGCCAGAAATAATAAATAGAAGATCAGAAGATCGGAGAAATGCATACGACCCGAACCTCGGAAAAAAGCCGCCCCCATATCCCTACTTCCAAGTATACTTCGAAATAGAAGTATTCATGTTTGGGCGAACAATTCTGTTGCGAATGAGTGTGTCGGCTGGGTCTGTCGGCTGGGTCTTTTGGTCTTTACACTGCAGAGGTTCACCAATATCTGAGCAAGGCTCCAGGCCGCACAGCAGTGTCTCGAGGCTACTTGTATACGTTTCTGACATGAAAACCTTCAAACCGTCCCAGGAGTTGCAGCTTTTTTTTTTTTTTTTTCTTAATATGACACAACGAAACCATCTCTATCATAGAAAGTCTGAGACAGATTAGCAATGGATTCATAGCGTCAGAAAGTACCTGTATGTCTACGATTTCCCAGACAGCATATAGGGACATCTCCCCTGCGGGTAACAGGCTCAACAAGACAGTTTGGTAGCTGTCTTGTGTGTCTCATATATGTTATGTTGGGAAGGTGCAGATGATATGTGTTAGGTACTGGTTTTTGGATTGTTGACCTTAGACTACTACGGCGGTGGAGGCTTCACTGACGCCGGCCGAATCAAAACGCAGACCTTCCCTTGCATGACTCTGCTACCACGCCACAACGACACGGGTCGTGTTCTGTACAATCTGGTACGCACACAAGCAGAAAGAAAGATTGAACAACACCTGCTGGACACGGAAATCCTGCCTCGTCGCACACGCCCAACCAACAAACAGCGAGGACAAAAGAGTCGCTTTGGGTGGAGTCGCGCCGCACAACACAAATTGTGATCTGCGCCGGCGTCTGAGTGTGTGCCTCGGCGGCAAACTCTGTGAGGTAAGCCGCATCTCATCGGCTCCACGGCAAGCTGGGCTCCTACGAGAAATGATTTGCCAGCGAATGGCGTAGCAGTTCTTGTCAGCCCTGCTTCTCGTTGGCGGCAAGCCTCGCGTTGGGCGGGCGATGTGATGCTAGAAATGTGCGCATTGCTGTAGATGAACCATGTGTGAGAAGTCAAAAGTGTTTGGAACGTACCCACAGCGACACCCACAAGGAGCAAGCCGACGACTCCGCGAACGGCTTATTCGTGAACCCCTGAACTGCGAGCACTCAATCAAATCATTGTGGCAGGGATAGAGAGGCGGGCGCTTCTAGCTTCTCTCTTCAACGTACGGGGGGAAAACCATGACCCTACTTTGCTGTACCAAATCCCACCTCCCTTGTCACCGGCGACGGATGAGATGTGCCAGAAGCAGGCACAGGGGTGTGTGCTACAAGTCAACGGGATTCGACACGGAGTATGTAGCTGCACACTTGACCCAGTGTAGCTCCTTCCTCAGACTCCTTCCCGAAGACACAACTGCGGGATACGACACAGCAGCAGAAGTGCCGAGGGTGAAGATGTTGGCCTCCTCCCATTTGCCTCGCTGGTGCCACACTCGCGTGCGAAACTGCGGAATGTTCCGGGAAAGAGATGAGGAACCTTTAGAACGTTCTCCCGCACAGAACGTGAAACGGTTGTAACGGTTTTCCGATGGCTCCCTCCATGCGCAAAACAAGTGGGCCTTCGTCGGATCACGACGTGTGAACGCCTTGTTTTTAGGGTCGCCCCCGAACCCTGCACGCTGAAGGTATCTTGCTGCTTGTAGATGTCCAGGCGTGTGACGCGTTTGACAGAGTTTCAAAATCAGTTGTGCATACAGGGCATTTTGCCTGACTGACTTGTTGTTGTTGTTGTTGTTGTTGTCTTCACATCAAAAACCGTTCCGATCTCTCTCTACCCAGTACCTTCGTATGTCCGTACTGATCCAACACTCGACGCGGTCGATTCCCGTGGCCACAGGTTAACTTACCCTAAAAAGGTACACTCAAATAAACTGGCCCCGAGGGGTCCGCAATTCAATAGAAATCAACGACAGATATTCTGGAATCCTCCACTCCCTCTGCGCACCTGAGAAGACTGTGAAAGGAATACACCATTGGAACAGGGTTTCAGCCTTACCCCGGATTGTAGCTGCCCGATAGAGAAACATCTACATGCTGTTGTGTGTGTCAGAGGTACAATCGTTCTCACCCGCGGTGCGAGATTGGGATTAAAGATACATCTCGCACGTCATCACACTGCTGCTGTATTGGCTAGACCGAAAAATATTCAATGTCCGCCGTGCTTCGCACGGGGCTTACGCCTCTACATAGAAAGTGAACAATGCGACCATGTGGACCCCTCTGCGCTTGCTATTGGCAATCGGCTTCGGCTGATGATGTACAAACAACCGCAGCCCGAGGTTTAATCATGATCTAAACACAAACGTATTACGGCAATTTTCGCCTGTACGTTACCCGTCGTTGTCGCCTTGTCGCCTGCTTCCCGGGCGGGGGCGTCCCAATGCACCCACCTATGTCTGTATCACCTTCAACCAGACGACACCGACTGCATGAAACTGCGACAATATACCCCTTGACGAACAAAACGCCTCCACCTCCTCTGCCCTTCATTTGACACCTCTGTTACTTTCTGTTGTGCTTGGTTTCCTCGCGAATTATGGACTGACAAGCTTACAACCCACCGTGAAAAAAATTAGTTCGTTTGAACAAACTTATTCACGAGAATTACAATCTCTCTGCCTGCGATATCGTGAGAATCAAACTGAGCACCGGAGGGCTAGATGCAACGACTGCGAGCGGGAATACCGACACACGTATCGGGACCACGGGGAGCCCAAGCATTCCTCCAAATGCACGCAAGAGAGGTCGGAAGTCGGAAGGTCTCCCCCAAGAGGCAAACTCCGCGTTGATGCGACGACATACAAGTAGACTATTGTGCCATGTAGTCAACGAGGTGTGTGCATGACTCCGTTTTTTCGCCTCTCAAAATATCAGTTCCGTAACACGGCAGGCGCAACAGTTGAGAATCAGTTCAGTCATCACAAATATGGCATGCGCGACAAGACACAACAACCAATCTCCTTGGACATCTCAGCTCCTCGTCGCCAAGAGACCTGCACCATTCCCCCAAAAGGTCCTCGGCGCTCGATTCAAGGTGACAATTCAAGGTAGTATCGTCTACTACGATGCCTTGACGTGGGCATCTATCAATCAATCAATCCTCGTCGCGATGCCGGTCGCGAAACCACGCACAGCCGAACGGACGAAGCTCCGGTCATGACCGGCTCGATGGTTGGTAGATAGCATGCGGAGGATCATCGGCACGCTGCCGAAGAGTAGTACCGGCAGCAGAAGACACAAAAAGGGAACCCTGCACGGCGCAGTTGTGGGAGCAGTAGCGGTGGTCGATTTTAGTGTCGTGTACGTATTATTGTCACACCCGTTTGCGGCATAGAGTCTGAGAGTCAAAACCATGTATGAGTCGTGAGAGTCCTGTCCTGCCATGGTGCGTAAGCAGCAATCTATGCAGTACAGGCAGAACAAGCATATCGGGCAGTCGACAACGTACGGTGCGTGAGTCTTCAACGAAGGAGGCGACGTTTTTGTTCAACCCGTTGAGCGCAAGCGATGATATGACTGAGGTAAACGCGCAGTGAGCATGCGTCAGATACGAGAAAACAATCGATCTCGCGTGCAAAAAAGCGAGCATAGAACATCGGCTCCCAAGGGACCTGCGCCACGATATCTGTGCCGTTATTCGCTGATGTGCTCGTACAGCGGGGCCGAGTCGAAACTAGGCGAATGCCACGAGAACTTTCGTTTCAACAACCCTCCAACGAGAGGTACACGGCGTTCTACCCAACGGTACAATGTGGCAGAGCGCGAGGACGTGCGTTCCTGGATATTGGTGATCAGCATCGATGGGAATGGCCATGAGGATTGCTCAATACCGATAGGAACAACACGTGTAGCACGAGCATTCATCCGCGTTGATCGAAGTGCCATTATTTTTTAATCGCACATGTAATGTAATGGGTGATGTAGCCCATACTTTCAGATACAACTCGGCGGAGGTCGATCAAAGTTGATAGCGTCCGTGCAAATGACGCTGGGTGTTCTGACGTGGAGTCCTGTGACATCCAGCACAAAAGTTCTTGTGTACACTGTGAGGGAAGAGAGTGCTGCGCTCCTCTCGCATCAAAAATCGCAAGCACCACAGGAGGGGTTGGGTCGGGGGGCTCAGGGAGAGGAACTCTTCTGTGTGGCCATCGATTGGACCTACCTAAAAGAAATGCTGTGAGCAAAGAAAAAAAGCGACAAAAAAATAAAATAAAACAACTGCCATCACAACTTCTGATAAAATTCGAGCTCACATTCTGCTGTTCGATTATCAAATTGCCAACCACAAGCATGTCGATCCAACCTCAACCAAATCCCCAAGTATGAAAACTCACAAATGTTTCGTTGTTGTGGGCGCTCATCCTCTGAAGCTATCTGTTAATAGCACTGCGTTCGCGAAGCAGCTCGTCATGGAGTGCCAATATCTCTCTCAGCTCGTTCTGGGGCACCAGGTCATTACTCACAGCCGCCACTGATGCAAGCAACGCCCCATGAAGTTCCCAACCGTACACCGGAAAACGAGACACGGCACGCATGAACTAAAGTGGCACGAGGGTCTCAAGCGTAAATGCGAAGGAGAATGTTCAGCCGCTTGGTTGTGCAACTACGCCAGAACAGGTGGGGTATCGCGACGTGAAAACACGAAAACGGCACCAAGCGTTTGGGGATACAAGTGAACGCCAAGCTCGCCGGGATGACCAAACACCAATCAAACAAACCACAAGACGCACAAAAACGCTTCGACTAGTCAAGGTGACCATGGTCCACCAAACAAGTCAAACTCCGACATCCGGTCGAGAACCACGTTCGAACACCATCAGAGGCAATGATTCCACGCGGCCCCGTTAGCGCGCCGATAATACGCTTGTGAGTGAGAAAATTGCGCAACGGAGAGAGGCGGGGCCCACTACGTTATGAACCTAGAAAATACCGAGTTTGAAATGAACGTTTGCCTTGCCGCGAAGCCGCGACAAGAGCGGAACATATGTCCTCCGCACGCAAGAGATAGCGGAAAGCCTGTGGAACGACTTTTGCCCGTAGTTGCTCACGAGGCGAGGCCCAAATGAAAGCATGCGAATGCTGAGTTTGGTTGTTCTCAATCACTATAGAAAGAGACGCATGAGTGGTCGTGAACACGATTCTAACGTACATTTGCGGGTGATCCTGTCAACTGCCCTCTGAAAACGGCTCAGTTTGGCATCATGCTCGCGATGCAGCTCATCGTACTTGCTATGCACTTCCTTCAGGAGTTCCACGGCCTCTGTCAGCTGCCCCAAGGTCACCACATCATTGCCCGCAGCCGGTGCTGATGTACAAACAACACCCCGTCGAGTAGGAAAACGCAACCAACAGATCAAGTGAGAGGGCGACATCGATGTCTTTGGCATGAGCGTCTCAATTTCCGAACGTGGGATGGGGAGGGCGTGTTTGGTGAGATGGGGGGCAAAGTAAATTCGAACCGGGTAAGTGGGCAAAACACTTTTTCACCGGCGAAGCGTTCGACATGAGAAGGGGCCATGCAAAACAGAGTAATCAAACTACTCAATGCTCGTGCACAATGGTATTATCCAACATGAGGGGAGAGGGCTAGCGAAACACGGCGACGCCTGTACCGAGCATTTGATGAGGTCAGGATTAGACGTTAGTCGCGCTGAGATGAATGAATCTTCACTCAGACACGAACGCATCGATGCACGAAATGTCCGTGCAAGTCCGACGTTTGCTCTTCCAAAGCAACGAGTACATAGATAGTCTATTTCCCTGTTCACTTGGTCGTGTCTGGACCAAAAACAAACGCCTCTTCGGCATTAGTGCTTCGACTCAAAGCCACCACACACACTGCCGGCGCAGAACAACGCGATAGCGTCGCCACCTCGAGCCCCGTACAGGAGATTGGGAATTTACCTCTCTCTTGAGCCCTCTCGAGAAAGTCATCCACTGCTGTCTCGGTGACAGCTTGCCGCTGCTTCAAAGCTAGCCCCCCCCCTATCGATGGTCGTGGATTGCACCCGAACATGACATGACGTGCGGCAGCGGTAAATGTGGGTAAAGTGCGTATTGACTGGTGGCGTAGGATGAGGCTTCATTTTACATCACAATCGGCTGCCAGCGAAACGATATATGATGTTTTCTCACACGTGACGAAACAATCAGACAAAAACGAACAGGCGTACAGCCATGGGATAAATCTGCTGACACCGTGCCCCCCCCGGCCTGGGGTTGGCAGGTAAACGGCGAAGGCACACGGCACGCACAGACAACAGCAGTGCTACCTAAGTCATGGCAATATTCCTCCTGCACTATATACAACAGCGAGATGCGAGCAAGGAGGCTATCACAATAGGTTCCCGGGTTCCATCGCCTCAAGCACGGCGAAATTGTGTTGACAATGGCACTTTCCAACTCTAAGTTTGGTCTGGGTGATACACAATGGCACAAGGACCACCATTGTAAGCATTCTCCACGACGGAATATTTGCCGACCAAGTGTTTAGAATCAATGAGGACTCTGTTTCTCTTTGACCATCCAGAAAATTTCCGCAGAGCATGCCACCTCTACACCTTGATTTATTGGTATTTCGCTGAAATTCGTGGCGGTGAGGATATCTACAGTGAAACAGTATCTAACCATCGCCGATGACGTTCTCGTTGGCAACTATGGACGGTCGGGTGGTCTATCCCTGTTGATACATCCCTACGTTTACGTGTGGGTGATACGGGATTGTGGCCAAGAGTAAGGCGGCCTTGCTCAATTTGCACGAAAAAGATTCCGCACCCAACGGGAAAATGCCACAGCGTGGCGTATTTTGCATCCAGCTGGCCATCCCACTTACCGCTCGCTACCAAGCTATCCGAGTCCGGCCCAGGCTTCATCACCTTTTTGTTCAGGATTTTCATCTGGAAAACAAACGCGGCAGCATTCACAGCATGCTGGTGTCAAACGTAGACATCGGCCGGTGAACATCGACGTGGTTCTGACGAGCTATGTTCAACGACGGTGGAACTACTCAACGACCGTGTGCATGCTTGATGGTGAGCTTCTCGACTAAAAAAGACTGGCAAAAAATGATGAAAGAGAGGTTTCTGGACGTACTGTGTACTGTATAGCACAGTCACCGTACCTCAGACTCCAGCTTGGCGTTTTTTGCATTTGCCTCTTCCAAACCGTCTCTGAGCCTAGCGTTCTCTTCTTTGGCAGCTTCTAGACCAGATTCTAGCTCGACATGTTTCGCATGAGAAGCTTCCAGGCCGGCTTTAAGCTCTTCGTGCGTTGCTTCCGTCCGAATGCGCATGGAAGCCATGCGCTCCATCAACGCTGCCACGTCAAGATCATTCTTGGCAGCACCGTCAGGAGCGGCCGGACGAGTGGCTGCAGCATGCGACTGCCGTGAAGCTGGTTGGGCGGAGCTAGCGTCGTGATTGGTACGCTCCTGCGTGCCGTGAGATGTCGAACCAACTTTCCGCTCGGCCTCTGGGAGTATAATCCCGACAAGAACTTTCACCTGGGGATTAATCATGTTTCATCAACGTGCCCATTTCCATCAGATTTCACTCCCGTTAAATAATACCGCGAGTGCGTGACGTTCTACGAGCGGGTCCAAGCATCTGCTTGAAAAACCGACAGTACCACAAGCTAGTCGCCGCAATCCTTGTCCCTTCGGGTGAAGTAATCTCGCTTGGTTCACTAGGGAATCTCTCCGAAGCAAGTGCACAAGGGTGGAAGTTGCTTGATGTATAGCGTATGACGGTGAACGTAAACGGCTCCAATGACAAGAGGAGGATCAACCAACGTTTTACTTGCTTGTTGCCGGAACTACGCTGGTTTTGGTGATATCGGACTACTTAAGTTGACCTGCCAAAGACGGCGAGGGTCGCCTACAATTGACAACGTGTACGGATTTTACAAAAATAAATTAGGAACTCAACACGGCCGACGAAAAAACATCAGACACGCGTGGACGACCTGTACCAAAAAACGTTCCTAACTCACGACACAGAGGAAAATACCAAAAGACGGATACAGGCGGTGTTTGGATTCCTCGCATGCATAGCTCCAAGCACGCGCCAAGGTAGTTATCCATCCCCTTTTCAAATCGGATTCCCGTTCTTTCTGACTGCAGAATACCGTCTAACCAAATCTGTACTTTACCTTCTCGTCAGGAGTGTTTGTGCCGCGGAGGCAATCCCGCCCAACCGCCTTTAGAAGAGTCTGGAGGTGCCTTGTCCCAAGCTTCCTCCCAGCCTGGAAAGGACGGCGGCGAAAAGAAAGAGCGGTGAGGATCTCGTAGCTGGCAAAAATACGGCGTCCACGATGGCTGCTGTCGATGTGATCATTTTCTACCCGCAGGACTGGAGACGCAAAGAGTTCGACGGCAATAGAGCGCTCAGAGGCCTTCGTATACCTGTACGGCAGCAGTCGTTTTCCTTGCATCGAGTTTGTTCGGCTCGTAGTCCGCCACTTCTTCGACAAACCAGTCCATGACGGCTTCCTCGGTCGCAGAGTCTGGCGAGGCGCCAATATCTTGGCTCCATCCGCACTCGCCTGAAATGCAAACAACCCACCGTACCCCGTCCGAGCACAAGATCTCACCGTTGGCTTGGAACACTGATCCCACATAAAAACTCGTTGCAGTTGCGTGAGGCCGTGGCAATGCCCTTGTAATTGGGCTCACGGTGGGTTCGATGGGTGTCGCGACAACACCCCAAGAAATATCTCACTCGCTGCCGCAAATACGCCAAACACATGGATGAATGGAAGGCCAGACACCTAATGGGGGCTGGGTGCACCGAAAATCAAGGTGGTGGAATAACAGCTTTCTGGATCGTCTACTATCTTCAACAGGGCAAGGTGGAGCGGATGGTTTCGTGAACACCGTACTCATCGCACGAAGTTAGGCCAAACAGCAAGGCGTTAAGGGTGAACGTGTTTCTACCAATACCATCGCGGTTCCATCAATACAATTGCCCACAAAATAATTGGGGCGTACACACACTATGTTGCAGGACGGCGGGCTCAGCCACCCAACCAACCAGCCTCAGTAAAGCGGCGTTGGCAGCCAAGGGACAAGCCGATTGCGCTGTGGATCCTCACCCTCAACACCACCCATGCCTGCTGTGGTGTGCGTGCCACGTTCTTCAGCCGTGTCAATCGTGGGGAGGGTGCCGTCCACATACCCATCCGAGAGTTGCAACGCCAACGCCCTCGCCAGCAAACAACAGTCAGTCGAGTCGGGCGCCATGTCGCAGATCTGCCAGAGTATCCGAGACGTCGTGGGTGCGTCAGTGTCGACCATAGCACAAGCCAAGGGGCGGGCGCATCTTACGTAGAACCACCGAGGCACCGTACTCGTGAAACAAGCTCACCTTCGACACTCGCCGAGTTTGCAGATAGCGGTCTCCCGCCTTCAAGGCTGCGGCAGCCAAGCCCGCAAGCCCACTGACCACAGGCACCGCGCTCGACAGAAACTCCAAGGTCTTCCCTGCCTGCAAGAGGAAATGGAACAACGACATCCGATTGACACTCATGCAAAGTAACAGGGCGAGTATTGCGACACAGATACGAAACACTACAAGCCCAAATGCAGCAACTTGCGGAGGCCTAAGCGGCGGCAGCACTCACCGTACCCATGCGACCGGTCTTGCTTGTGCAAACCAAGCTACTGGAGACGACGCTGGCTGCGAGGTAGGCGTTACACAGACCAGTTCGGATTGCCGTGTAGTATGCCTTGGGACCCGGGGGCAACGCCAGCTCCCGCCGTTGTATGTCTTCATTTGTCACGTGTCTCGACTGCGCACCAGGACAATACATCGCAGTTTGCAGTAACGTTGGGCCAAAACATCGTTAGGGAAACAGGAGGAAGGCGACCCATGTGCGTGTGGGAAGGGCCACCGGCACAAGGACACCTGCAAAATGGAAACTCTTCCAGGTTAGTTCAAAAGGTGTGCCATATGAAAAGTCGGCTAAAATGCGTCCGCCAGGCCCTTACCCGTTCTCGGTGTGGGCCGAGGGATCCCTAGACTGCAGTACAGCGCTCACCACCATGTCGCCTAGATCTTCGGCCATTGCCACCAGCCTGTTCAGCTCCCCGAGCGTACCCGTCCCGTTAAGCCCCGTGCCGGGAGAAGAGCGATTGATGCCCAGCGCTTCAACAAGCTGTCCAACCTGCTCCAGGCTTGCTTGACTCCCTCCACATAGCGTGCTCAACGACGAAAAAGAAGAAATCTGAGCCTGAGTAATGTGGTCCATATCTGCCTCCCGTGATGAACCAGATATGGGTTCAGTGGTAGCTCCATCTGGCTTCCCGGGCTTGTCGCCCTGTGTCGAGGAACTGGTGCGTACGGCGGGGTTTTCCGCTTTTGTGTCTTCGCGTACAGCTGCCTGCTCCTGCTGCCGCAGTCTTGCCCTCCACGAATCAAGACTCTCGTCTTTCGCCGGCCCTCCTGAGTCGCACGAACACCAGGCAAGAGTGAAACGATATGCGTGATGCCCTCATGAGCACACTCCACTCGTCACGACGCTGGACGAGTCATTCAATAATTCTCCACAAGAAGAGCCCGATACATACATTTCTATCAAATCAATGTTGATACAAAAGTCGTTTCTCCGCTTTACTGTATTTTCATTGATTTTCTTTTGCGCGACTTTCCCGGGCGTATCCTTGCCAGCACTATCATACATTCGCGCTTTGCGGTTGCAGAGAGAGAGATAGAGAGAGAGAGAGAGAGAGAGAGAGCCTGATCGAGTGTCTGCAGCAAACTCGTGGACAACAGATTGTTGGTTCGCATTCATGGTGCTCTGCCTGCAGCAAAGAAAGCGACTTTGAGACAACATTCTGAAACATTGCATCATCGTTATGTCTTTCCTGGGACGCCACCTGTTGCACACTATTAGCCCACCAAATTTTGTCTACTTTGCAACCATCGTCTCATGAAACAGCGCATCGGCCATCATTGATAGGCAGCTTAATACATCCACACAAGTAGTGCGAGGTGTATGTTTCGTGGGTAGATTTACATAGGCCAGACCCTCTCCCTGCACAGGTGAGTCGTGTGTACGGGTGAAAGCTCGAGGTTGGGACAGGATGCCGGTGAGGAGTTCAAACGTCAATCAAAAGTTCAATGGTTCGGATCTTGCGCTCAAATCCATCTCCGTGGATGCTGTCCCGCCTTCACGGTCGTGTAATGGCCGGTGTTGGGCACCTTTGTTTAAAGTCAAAAGGTTGTACGGCCTCCCCTTGCTTTGTGGTTCATTTGGAGTTGCGTGCAATGTCCTCTCTTGAAAGAGAAGCGCGGCCTAAGCATTCTCACTCGTCGTTTCACCCCTATAATAGTGCAAGCTTTGTGACGGATTTCCGGACTTTCCCCGGAACGCAGCCGCACAAGGAACATCGTACCCATACAATCACATGCTTTCGTGGGAGTGAAATGTGGCAATTGATTTTCTTGCTGCCACAGAGATACGGCTCCACAAAATCTTGAAAAATGCATGGCCTTTTCGGTGTCCAAGAGGCAATGAATGCTCATCTACGGTTCTGCGTCTACTCTCCCTCACCGGTCAGGCTGTTGCTGGCGATCTCAAGCGTCTTCAAGTTGCGCAGAGCTCCAAACTCGTGAGGGATGGAACCTGGACAAACATGCATCGCATGCTATTTAAGGCTCGCCATCGTCCCGACGGGCGTTGCGGGTAACATACGAATGACGGCGCCGGCTGTACGACAGCGGTCCGTCTACGGTGTTCAACCAACACGAGGTTTTATCACTGCCAGAGCACTTTCGAGGATGTGAATTGCACGACGAGCACCGCCGGGTCAGACATGTCCTAGCATACGACGGTCTTAATGCACTTGTAAACCGCTCCCATTAAATGCCATCATCAAGTCACCAAATCCTAGGGCTGCGACCGGAGGCTGCGAGATTCCGCACGGTCCTTCACGTGTTTCCGCGAGGACCCATTTCGTATTCCTTGTCTCTATGATTTACCGCTGGCTATGCTCAAGACAAGGTTGGAAACGGAATAGCGATTTATCAGTTCTAGTTCCATGTTCGCATTTTGTTTACGGTTCAAAACACCTCCCTGAACCGAATGATTGACCTACTGCAAAGTGTGCGAAGTATAGCAATTGGTTCTTGCTCTTCACACATGATATGGCGTCAATTTACTCCCTGGGAAAAATGACGGCATTTCCGGTGTCCACTCAGCTATGCAATGCATGTCCAATGTCCGCGATACTGTATTGTATTTTAGACCCGGTTCTCCGTCGACTTCCCCTCAACGGTCAGGCAACATGTTTGGGACGGACGAAGCGGCGTATTGGGGGTACCAGTGTTCCATCTAAACAAGTTCCCTGGAAATTCAGCCCCCAAAGGAAAATGCGTAACGTTCACCTTCTTAAGCTCGCCAGGGCTCCAGTGACCTCTTGGACAAACTTAGAAACACACAAAAAAAAAAAAAACAACAGGGGCAGCACGCCAAAACGAACCTCTTGCTCTTGATTTAACGGACATAACCTTAGCCGTGCGGCAATGAATCGACCAATACAGAGACAGGGGGGCGGCAAAAGCCACCCACCCGAGCTATGTATTTGGTTTTCACAAGAATGGATTGGCAATGGTTGGGCACTGTGACGTCGTCATCCCCTCGTGACAGTCCTCGGAACCGCCACAAAGAGAGACAAAACCCGTCGCATTCTTCCTCTTTCCTCGGACATTCAACCGGCGGTCGGTTCAGCGTATTGAGTACCACATTATGGCACAACGGAAGGGCGAAGGCAGTAGCCACTTACTGAGCTGTGCGATCGTGTGCACATCGCGTTTCCTGCAGGTTGAGGCTGTGAGGAAGATAAGGTTTCGTCGACGATGTATCGCACTGCTTTCAATTCGAACGGAAATCACACTGCTTGACGACCGCGGTGATTTCGATTTTGAGTGTTTCGGTGGTAGCTTTGGAGAAAAAGGGCGGAGTACCTTGAAAAGCCACAGCCAGATACAAACAGCATACTAAATCAAACTTATCATGAAAGGTTGTGAGATAAAACAATCCATCATCTATTGCAGCTCGATGAGAGCTCCAAGCGCCTCGGGGATGGGTCCTGCCCGAGACAAAAGCACAATGAGTCACATGTCGTGATGAAATTTCAAATGCAACGCAAGACACCATGTGTACTTTACGGAGATGCTCCACAAGCGACTCCAGAAACCGAGTAACACCAGCTATGTGTCAACGCCGTTTGCTTCCCTCAGAATTCAGCTTGCTTCGGAGCGCGACCAACACAATCAGCATATCGCACTGACACGTAGGTCAAGCATCCACATCTCTCCAACATCCCCCGTGATGCTAAACGTTCTCGGTTCCAACCATTCTACCGGATCTTGTTGCGGGCACCAATGCCTCCCTATCCTGACGAGAGATGGCCCATCTTTCCACGGGCATCAGCTGCGGTTTTCGGAGACGAATCCGGGGGGGAAGATGCAGAGAGCTAGGGAATAAGAGTCTCGCTAGAGGTATGCCCTCGGGTGTTACTGCTAGACACAACGACTCGAGGCTGCGGGGTCGGTATCGTCGAACGTAATGGTTGGAAACACATGGCACAAGCTGATGTCCATCCGTTAGGAGCTTCCTGTGGCCTCGAGTTCCAGTGTCTAGTCTCCGATGATAGGCGAGAGCAAAGTGAAATAGAAATAGCCATTCCTTCGAGGTATAAATCAGTAACTTGAGTTGCGTCTACAATGCACCGTAAGGGTGTCGACGTCACACGACAAAGTGTGACGAGACCCCAGCACACCAACAACAAGGCCACCGACGTGCTGTCGCCGCCTTGACTGAGCAACCTCAGCTAAGACTGCGTCACCTATATCCATCCAGCTCAGCGACTGAGGAGGAGGCAGCGAGGGTGTCGCCAAATAACGGACAAGGGGTACAACAGCGGCATACAGCGCCGAGGTCCTTTCGGTACAGACGGGTCCCAGTACAGCACGACCGCCAGATACAAACGTTAGCATGAAGGCTGTCGGATCCTAAAGCAAACCATCATCTAGGGCGTCGTAGGCGGCCTTGTTCTAACATCGCGCTGAGTTGCATTCTGTCTTACCTGAGAGATGGTTGTCGTTGAGCCAAAGCCTTTCCAATTTGCCGAGACCTCCAAGCACTCCTGGAATGGACCCTGCACAAAACAAAAGAGCCACACGATGAACTCGTTAGCTCGCCGCTGGTGGGCGCGGCGTGGTGAAAGGTATGATGCGGCCGGCTGGTTAAACATCGGTCCGACCTACCGCGTGTGCGAGACACGAAAGCAAGCAATCTTCCCACGCCATCCCATCTCACCAGTGAGCTTGTTGTCGGACATGTCAAGGTTCTTCAGCTCGCGAAGAGCTCCGAGCGCCTCGGGGATGGGTCCTGCACGAGACAAAAGCACAATGAGTTACATGTCGTGATGCAATTTCCAATGCAGCGCAAGACGCCATGTGTCAACCACGCCCGGTGTGTACTGTACGGAGATGCTCCACAAGCGACTCCAGAAACCGAGTAACACCAGCAACGCGGTAACGCCGTTTGCTTCCCTCACAATTCAGCTTGCTTCGGATCGCGACCAACACAATCAGCATATCGCACTGACACGTAGGTCAAGCATCCATATCTCTCCAACATCCCCCGTGATGCTAAGCGTTCTCGGTTCCAACTATTCTACCGGATCTTGTTGGGGGCACCAATGCCTCCCTACCCTGACGAGAGATGACCCGTCTTTCCACGGGCATCAGCTACGGTTTTCGGAGACGAATCCGGGGGGGAAGATGCGGACAGCAAGGGAATAAGACTCCCGCTAGAGGTATGCCCTCCGGTGTTTCTACTAGATACAACCACTCGAGGCTGCGGGGTCGGTATCGTCGAACGCAATGGTTGGAAACACATGGCACAAGGTGATGCCAATCCGTTAGGTACTTCCTGTGGCCTCGAGTTCCAGTGTCTACTGTAGCCTCCGATGATAGGTGAGAGCAAAGTGAAATGGAAATAGCCATTCCTTCGAGGTATAATGCATAGAGCATCCTGAGTTGCGCCTACAATGCACCGTGAGGGTGTCGACGTCACACGACGAGCTGTGACGACACCCCAGCACACCAACAACAAGGCCACCGATGTGCTGTCGCCGCCTTGACTGAGCAAAGTGTCACGCATAGTCGCCACTTAGCTATGGGCCAACAGACATACCGCGTATATACAGCCTTGCCGAGTCCCACCCGTGTATGGGGAAACATCGCTTCAAGTGAAGCAAAAATGATAATGCTACAGCAAAACCTACACTACCGTAGGACACCTGTGAAACGATCCACGGTATGGTATCGTGCAAAACAAGGCGCCAAATACCGAACAACGGATACATGAACGGATACAAGCTGCGGGTTGCTTGAAACGTTTTCTTTGCGACAGCAACCAAACCAATACGCAAACAACCAACACAAGACACCATCATCAATGTCGTGCGATTCTACTGCACACGACCCTCTACGGCGTCGTGAGCGGGATTGCTCCCCCTTCGCAACGTGTTCCATTCTCCCTCACCGGTCAGCTGGTTGCCGTCGAGTCGAAGAATGTGCACCTTTCCGAGGCCTCCAAGCTCTCTGGGAATGGAACCTGCACGGGCGTACAGCAGGTGGCCCACTGGTTATGCTGCTGCTGATGTACTGAGCATGATGAGGAGACATGTGTGGTGCCGCCGGCTTGTTCAACATCGGACCCGCCGACGTCATGGGCGAGACACGAAATGATGTCCCCACGCGATCCTCCCTCACCGATGAACTTGGCGACGTTCACCACATAAGTTTCTTCAGCTTGCCATGTAAGTCTCACGTGTGATCGACTTGCATGCGTTCTCCAAGATGAGAATGTCGCCACCGTTTCGTGGGTTCGGGGGACGCTATGCAAGCCAACCAGACCACCTATTGGTACCCGCTGATGGCAACCAAAAGCTCTTGCCGGTGAGCTCGCTTGCGTCCGGACTACCGCGACCAACGCATCCACCCGACACTCACGTCGAAAGTCGCAAGCTCTCAAACTGCTACATCATGCGAATCGTTTCAAATCCTGACCACCCGCGGTATCGTTGCAGGGCACCGAGGCCTCCCTACTCAGACGAAATTGGATCTGTATCTCCAAGAGCATCGTTTCCGGGTTTAGGCCACAACTCCAGGGATACAGATGCATGATGCAAGGGGGAATGTCCCCCGCCCCAGGCATGCGTTTGGTGCCTCTACGATGTACAACGGTTCGAAGGTGTGGGATTGTTTTCGATCAGAGAGCAAGGATATCAAGTACGGGCAAACACAAGTCATGCCATCGCCAGCCTCCTGTGGCCTCGCTTTCCGATGGATAGTCGATAGGTTCCGAGCAAGAGCGAAACAATAATGAAACGACCACCTGTTAGAGGTGCATTGCATGGCACGTCCTGGTTGCAAGCATGATGTATCGTAAAGCTGCTGTGGACGGCAAAACATAGCTGTGACAACACACCAACACATGAAACGAGGAGCCACTGATAGGCTGCCTTCATATTTGGAGGAAGTGCCACGTGTAGTCCCCACGTCGCTACGGGCCATCTGGCATCCCGCGAATTTTCAATCACGTCGCGTGTCGTGCAGGCGACACCACGAGTCTCATTTCATACACCAACTACAAACCTGAGCTGAGACTGCGTCACCTATATCAATCTAGCTAAGCGACTGAGGAGGAGGCAGGAGAGTGTCACCAAATAACGGACAAGGGGTTCAACAGCGGCATACAGCGCCGAGGTCCTTACGGTACAGACGGATCCCAGTACAGCACGACCGCCAGATACAAACGTTAGCATGAAGGCTGTAGGATCCGAAAGCAAACCATCATCTAGGGCGTTGTAGGCGGCCTTGTTCTAACATCGCGCTGAGTTGCATTCTGTCTTACCTGAGAGCTGGTTGCCGTAGAGACAAAGCTCTTCCAACTTGCCGAGACCTCCAAGCTTTCTCGGGATGGACCCTGCACAAAACAAAAGAGCCACACCGTCAACTCGTTAGGAAGCCGCTGGTCGGCGCGGCGTAGTGAAAAGGTATGAAGCGGCCGACTGGCCGAACATCGGTCCGACCTACCGCGTGGGCGAGACACGAAAGGCATCAATCTTCCCACGCCATCCCATCTCACCAGTGAGCTTGTTGGCGGACATGGAAAGGTTCTTCAGCTCGCTGAGACCTCCAAGCGCCTCGGGGATAGTCCCTGCTCGAGACAAAAGCACAATGAGTCACACGTCGTGATGCAATGTCAAATGCAACGCAAGACACGATGTGTCAACCAAGCCCGGTTTGTGCTGTACGGAGATTCTCCACAAGCGACTCCAGAAACCCAGTAACACCAGCTATGTGTCAACGCCGTTTGCTTCCCTCAGAATTCAGCTTGCTTCGGATCGCGACCAACACGACCAGCATATCGCACTGACACGAAGGTCAAGCATCCACATCTCTCCAACATCCCCCGTGATGCTAAGCGTTCTCGGTTCCAACTATTCTACCGGATTTGTTGCGGGCACCAATGCCTCCCTACCCCCACGAGAAACGGCCCATCTTTCCACGGGCATCAGCTACGGATTTCGGAGACGAATCCAGGGGGGAAGATGCAGAGAGCTAGGTAATGAGACTCTCGCTAGAGGTATGCCCTCGGGTGTTACTGCTAGACACAACGACTCGAGGCTGCTGGGTCGGTATCGTCGAACGCAATGGTTGGAAACACATGGTGCAAGCTGATGTCAATCCGTTAGGAGCTTTCTGTGGCCTCGAGTTCCAGTGTCTAGTCTCCGATGATAGGCGAGAGCCAAGTGAAATAGAAATAGCCATCCCTTCGAGGTATAATGCATAGGGCATCCTGAGTTGCGCCTACAATGCACCGTAAGGGTGTCGACGCCACGCGACAAGCTGTGACGACACCCTAGCACACCAACAAAAAGGCCACAGCCGTGCTGTCGCCGCCTTGACTGGACAAAGTGTCACCCATAGTCGCCACTTCGCTATGGGCCAACTGACATACCGCGTATATAGAGCCTTGCAGCGTCCACGCCCGTGTATGGGGAAACATCGCTTCAAGTGAAGCAAATATGATAATGCTACAGCAAAACCTCCACTACTGTAGCACACCTATGAAAGTGCCCACTGTATAGTATCGTGCAAAACGTGTTGCCAAATACCGAACAACGTGTAAATGAACGGATCTAAGCTGCGAGTTGCTTGAAACGTTGTCTTTGCGACCTAACCCCAACCAATACACAAACAACCAACATCAACACCTCATCATCATTGACGTCATGCGATTCTACTGCACACTACCCTCTACGGCATCGTGAGCGGGATTGTTCCCGATTCGCAACGTGTTCCATTCTCCCTCACCGGTCAGCTGATTGCCGTCGAGTCGAAGAATGTGCACCTTTCCGAGGCCTCCAAGCTCTCCGGGGATGGAACCTGCACGGGTGTACAGCAGGTGGCCCACTGGTTATGCTGCTGCTGATGTACTGAGCATGATGAGGAAACATGGGTGATGCTGCCGGCTTGTTCAACATCGGACCCGCCGACGTCATGGGCGAGACACGAAATGATGTCCCCACGCCATTCTCCCTCACCGATGAACTTGGCGACGTTCACCACACAAGTTTCTTCAGCTTGCGATGTGAGTCTCACGTGTGATCGACTTGCATGCGTTCTCCAAGATGAGAAGATGAGAATGTCGCCACCGTTTCGTGGGTTCGGGGGACGCTATGCAAGCCAACCAGACCACCTATTGGTACCCTCTAATGGCAACCAAAAGCTCTTGCCGGTGAGCTCGCTTGCGTCCGGACTACCGCGACCAACGCATCGACCTGACACTCACGTCGAAAGTCGCAACCTCTCAAACTGCTACATCATGCGAATCGTTTCAAATCCTGACCAACCGCGGTATTGTTGCAGGGCACCGAGGCCTCCCTACTCAGACGAAATTGGATCTGTATCTCCAAGAGCATCGTTTCCGGGTGTAGGCCACAACTCCAGGGATACAGATCCATGATGCAAGGGGAAATGTCCCCCGCCCCAGGCATGCGTTTGGTGCCTCCACGATCTACAACGGTTGGAAGGTGTGAGATTGTTATCGATCAAAAAGCAAGCATATCAAGTATGGGCAAACAGAAGTCACGCAATTTCCAGCCTCCTGTGGCCTCGCTTTCCGATGGATAGTCGATAGGTTCCGAGCAAGAGCGAAACAACAATGAAACGACCCCCTCTTAGAGGTGCATTGCATGGCACGTCCTGGTTGCAAGCATAGTGTATCGTAAAGCTGCTGTGGACGGCAAAACATAGCTGTGACAACACACCAACACATGAAACGAGGAGCCACTGATAGGCTGCCTTCATATTTGGAGGAAGTGCCACGTGTAGTCCCCACGTCGCTACGGGCCATCTGGCATCCCGCGAATTTTCAATCACGTCGCGTGTCGTGCAGGCGACACCACGAGTCTCATTTCATACACCAACTACAAACCTGAGCTGAGACTGCGTCACCTACCGTATAAGACACAAGATAACACACCCCCTGGACCGATTTTCAAAGCTCCATTACTCCACGACGAAGAGGATGCATGAATGAAACAATACGTTTTCGAACAGCTCTCGACGAGACGGTTCCAACGCCGCCGTTTTCGGCGCTGTGACTCTTCCTGCTGTTGAGAAATCGAGCTTTGAAAATCGGCCAAGGGGGTGTGTTATCTTGTGTCATATACGGTATATCAATCTAGCTAAGCGACTGAGGAGGAGGCAGGAGAGTGTCGCCAAGTAACGGACAAGGGGTACAACAGCGGCATACAGCGCCGAGGTCCTTTCGGTACAGACGGGTCCCAGTACAGCACGACCGCCAGATACAAACGTAAGTATGAAGGCTGTAGGACCCTAATGCCAACCATTATCTAGGGCGTCGTAGGCGGCCTTGTTCTAACATCGCGCTGAGTTGCATTCTGTCTTACCTGAGAGATGGTTGTCGTTGAGAAAAAGTATTTTCAACTCGCCGAGACCTCCAAGCACTCCTGGAATGGACCCTGCACAAATCAAAAGAGCCAAACGATGAACTCGTTACTTCGCCGCTGGTGGGCGCGGCATGGTGAAACATGTATGATGCGGCCGGCTGGAAAAAAACATCGGTCCGACCTACCGCGTGGGCGAGACACGAAAGGAATCAATCTTCCCACGCCATCCCATCTCACCAGTGAGCTTGTTGTCGGACATGTCAAGGTTCTTCAGCTCGCGAAGAGCTCCGAGCGCCTCGGGGATGGGTCCTGCACGAGACAAAAGCACAATGAGTTACATGTCGTGATGCAATTTCCAATGCAGCGCAAGACGCCATGTGTCAACCACGCCCGGTGTGTACTGTACGGAGATGCTCCACAAGCGACTCCAGAAACCGAGTAACACCAGCAACGCGGTAACGCCGTTTGCTTCCCTCACAATTCAGCTTGCTTCGGATCGCGACCAACACAATCAGCATATCGCACTGACACGTAGGTCAAGCATCCACATCTCTCCAACATCCCCCGTGATGCTAAACGTTCTCGGTTCCAACTATTCTACCGGATTTGTTGCGGGCACCAATGCCTCCCTACCCTGACGAGAGATGACCCATCTTTCCACGGGCATCAGCTACGGATTTCGGAGACGAATCCGGGGGGGAAGATGCAGAGACCTAGGGAATAAGACTCCCGCTAGAGGTATGCCCTCGGGTGTTACTACTAGACACAACGACTCGAGGCTGCGGGGTCGGTATCGTCGAACGCAATGGTTGGAAACACATGGCACAAGCTCATGTCAATCCGTTAGGAGCTTCCTGTGGCCTCGAGTTCCAGTGTCTACTGTAGCCTCCGATGATAGGTGAGAGCCAAGTGAAACAGAAATAGCCATTCCTTGCAGGTATAATGCATAGAGCATCCTGAGTTGCGCCTACAATGCAACGTGAGGGTGTCGACGTTACACGACAAACTGTTACGACACCCCAGCACACCAACAACAAGGCCACCGACGTGCTGTCGCCGCCTTGACTGAGCAAAGTGTCACGAATAGTCGCCACTTCGCTATGAACCAACTGACATACCGCGTATAAACAGTCTTGCCGAGCCCACGCCCGTGTATGGGGAAAAATCGCTTAAGTGAAGCATAAATGATAATGCTACAGCAAAACATCCACTACCGTAGGACACCTGTGAAACGGTCCACGGTATGGTATCGTGCAAAACGTGTCGCCAAATACCGAACAAGGGGTACATGAACGGATACAAGCTGCGGGTTGCTTGAAACGTTGTCTTTGCGACCTAACCCAAACCAATACGTAAACAACCAACACAAGACACCATCATCAATGTCGTGCGATTCTACTGCACACTACCCTCTACGGCGTCGTGAGTGGGATTGTTACCGCTTCGCAACGTGTTCCATTCTCCCTCACCGGAAAGCTGGTTGCCGTCGAGTCGAAGAATTTGCACCTTTCCGAGGCCTCCAAGCTCTCCGGGGATGGAACCTGCACGGGCGTACAGCAGGTGGCCCACTGGTTATGCTGCTGCTAATGTACTGAGCATGATGAGGAAACGTGTGTGATGCCGCCGGCTTGTTCAACATCGGACCCGCCGACGTCATGGGCGAGGCACGAAATGATGTCCCCACGCCATCCTTCCTCACCGATGAACTTGGCCACGTTGACCACACAAGTTTCTTCAGCTTGCGATGTGAGTCTCACGTGTGATCGACTTGCATGCGTATTCCACGATGAGAATGTGGCCACCATTTCGTGGGTTCGGGAGCCGCTATGCAAGCCAATCAGACCACGTATTGCTACCCTCCAATGGCAACCAAAAGCTCTTGCCGGTGAGCTCGCTTGCGTACGGACTACCGCGACCAACGCATCCACCTGACACTCACGTCGAAAGTCGCAACCTCTCAAACTGCTACATCATGCGAATCGTTTCAAATCCTGACCAACCGCGGCATTGCTGCAGGGCACCGAGGCCCCCCTACTCAGACGAAATTGGATCTGTATCTCCAAGAGCATCGTTTCCGGGTTTAGGCCACAACTCCAGGGATACAGATGCATGATGCAAGGGGAAATGTCCCCCGCCCGAGGCATGCGTTTGGTGCCTCTACGATCTACAACGGTTCGAAGGTGTGGGATTGTTATCGTTCAGAGAGGAAGGGTTTGTAGTATGGGTAAACAGAAGTCACGCCATTGCCAGCCTCCTGTGGCCTCGCTTTCCGATGGATAGTCGATAGGTTCCGAGGAAGAGCGAAACAATAATGAAACGACCACCTCTTAGAGGTGCATTGCATGGCACGTCCTGGTTGCAAGCATAGTGTATCGTAAAGCTGCTGTGGACGGCAAAACATAGCTGTGACAGCACACCAACACATGAAACGAGGAGCCACTGATGGGCTGCCTTCATATTTGGAGGAAGTGCCACGTGTAGTCCCCACGTCGCTACGGGCCATCTGGCATCCCGCGAATTTTCAATCACGTCGCGTGTCGTGCAGGCGACACCACGAGTCTCATTTCATACACCAACTACAAACCTGAGCTGAGACTGCGTCACCTATATCAATCTAGCTAAGCGACTGAGGAGGAGGCAGGGAGAGTGTCACCAAATAACGGACAAGGGGTTCAACAGCGGCATACAGCGCCGAGGTCCTTACGGTACAGACGGATCCCAGTACAGCACGACCGCCAGATACAAACGTTAGCATGAAGGCTGTAGGATCCAGGATCCATGCAAACCATCATCTAGGGCGTTGTAGGCGGCCTTGTTCTAACATCGCGCGGAGTTGCATTCTGTCTTACCTGAGAGCTGGTTGCCGTTGAGATAAAGCTCTTCCAACTTGCCGAGACCTCCAAGCTTTCTCGGGATGGACCCTGCACAAAACAAAAGAGCCACACCGTCAACTCGTTAGGAAGCCGCTGGTCGGCGCGGCGTAGTGAAAAGGTATGATGCGGCCGACTGGCCGAACATCGGTCCGACCTATCGCGTGGGCGAGACACGAAAGGCATCAATCTTCCCCCACGCCATCCCATCTCACCAGTGAGCTTGTTGGCGGACATGGAAAGGTTCTTCAGCTCGCTGAGACCTCCAAGCGCCTCGGGAATAGTCCCTGCTCGAGACAAAAGCACAATGAGTTACATGTCGTGATGCAATTGCAAATGCAACGCAAGACACGATGTGTCAACCACGCCCGGTTTGTGCTGTACGGAGATTCTCCACAAGCGACTCCAGAAACCCAGTATCACCAGCTATGTGTCAACGCCGTTTGCTTCCCTCAGAATTCAGCTTGCTTCGGATCGCGACCAACACGACCAGCATATCGCACTGACACGAAGGTCAAGCATCCACATCTCTCCAACATCCCCCGTGATGCTAAGCGTTCTCGGTTCCAACTATTCTACCAGATTTGTTGCGGGCACCAATGCCTCCCTACCCCCACGAGAAACGGCCCATCTTTCCACGGGCACCAGCTACGGTTTTCGGAGACGAATCCGGGGGGGAAGATGCAGAGAGCTAGGTAATGAGACTCTCGCTAGAGGTATGCCCTCGGGTGTTACTGCTAGACACAACGACTCGAGGCTGCGGGGTCGGTATCGTCGAACGCAATGGTTGGAAACACATGGTGCAAGCTGATGTCAATCCGTTAGTAGCTTCCTGTGGCCTCGAGTTCCAGTGTCTAGTCTCCGATGATAGGCGAGAGCCAAGTGAAATAGAAATAGCCATTCCATCGAGGTATAAAGCAGTTACTTGAGTTGCGTCTACAATGCACCGTAAGGGTGTCGACGTCACACGACAAGCTGTGACGACACCCCAGCACACCAACAACAAGGGCACCGACGTGCTGTCGCCGCCTTGACTGAGCAAAGTGTCACGCATAGTCGCCACTTCGCTATGGGCCACCTGACATGCCGCGTATATACAGCCTCTAATGGCAACCAAAAGCTCTTGCCGGTGAGCTCGCTTGCGTACGGACTACCGCGACCAACGCATCCACCTGACACTCACGTCGAAAGTCGCAACCTCTCAAACTGCTACATCATGCGAATCGTTTCAAATCCTGACCACCCGCGGTATTGTTGCAGGGCACCGAGGCCTCCCTACTCAGACGAAATTGGATCTGTATCTCCAAGAGCATCGTTTCCGGGTGTAGGCCACAACTCCAGGGATACAGATGCATGATGCAAAGGGAAATGTCCCCCGCCCCAGGCATGCGTTTGGTGCCTCTACGACCTACAACGGTTCGAAGGTATGAGATTGTTATCGTTCAGAGAGCAAGGGTTTCAAGTACGGGCAAACAGAAGTCACGCAATTTCCAGCCTCCTGTGGCCTCGCTTTCCGATGGATAGTCGATAGGTTCCGAGGAAGAGCGAAACAATAATGAAACGACCCCCTCTTAGAGGTGCATTGCATGGCACGTCCTGGTTGCAAGCATAATGTATCGTACAGCTGCTGTGGACGGAAAAAAACAAGGACGACACATGAAACGAGGAGCCACTGATAGGCTGCCTTCATATTTGGAGGAAGTGCCACGTGTAGTCCCCGCGTCGCTACGGGCCATCTGGCATTCCGCGAATTTACAATCACGTCGCGTGTCGTGCAGGCGACACCACGAGTCTCATTTCATAGACCAGCCGCAAACCTCAGCTAGGACTGCGTCACCTATATCAATCCAGCTGAGCGACTTGAATAGGCAGGGATATTGTCACCAAATCGGGCGTCGTAGTCGGCACTGGTCCCCCGTCACACGGGGTTTCACTTTCCCTTACCGGTAATTTCGTTGCCGTTGAGCCACAGCGTTTCCAACTTGCCGAGACGTCCAAGCTCTCTCGGGATGGACCCTGCACAAAACGAAAGAGCCAAATGGCGAATGCGTTACGGAGCCGCTGGCGGGCGCGGCGTAGTGAAACATGTGTGATGTGGCGGGCTGGTTATACATCGGTCCGACCTACCGCGTGGGCGAGACACGAAAGGAATCAATCTTCCCACGCCATCCCATCTCACCAGTGACCTTGTTGTCGTGCACAAAAAGCTTCTTTAGCTCGCTGAGAGCCCCAAGCGCCTCGGGGATGGGTCCTGCTCGAGACAAAAGCACAATGAGTCACATGTCATGCAATTTCAAATGCAACACTAAACACGATGTGTCATCCACGCCCTGTGTGTACTGTACGGAGATGCTTCGCAACCTAGCCAAACTGTTTACCAGAAACCGAAGAACACGCTGTGAGCCAACGCCTTGTGTTTCCCCCAGAATTAAGGTTGGTTCGGATCGCGACGAGCACGATCAGCATATCGCAATCACAGTTAGGTCAAGCATCCCGAACTCTGAAAACGTCTCTCGCGATGAAACCCACCGATCTTCTCACGGTCGTTCCACTGGATAGTCGATGTTTCATGCCACAAACGCTTCCCCGCTCAGAAGAGATGAGGCCATTCTCTTCAAGGGTATCGGTTCCGGTTCTAGAGGTACAGATGAAGGGCGCTACAAAGCGGTGCCCTAAATTACGCCGTGTTTTACCTCTGTTATCTTTTCGGGAATTGTGAGGTTGGTATCGTCCCGAAAGTAATGCTTGGAAGCTCATGGACGCTCATGGCGTGCTAGCTCAACACGGGAGCTAAGGGCGTCAATTCACATCAATGAACATAGGTAAGATCATCCAACCACCACTCGATGCCGAAATCAACATGGTACAAATAAGAGCAAATTCACAACGCGGACTAGACATTGCAATACCGTGGAGGTCGTTGTCCGGCAGAAACAGCCCCACCACACGGCCCGCGTGGTTAACTTTGACACCCTTCCAAGTAGCTACCCCCGCGTCCGTGTTCCAGTTGCTGTTCGTGCTCCAGTTCGCTCCATCAGTCGAACGAAACAACGCAACCAGTGCGGCACGATCCATGGAAGAGGAAGACACCTGCTCCGAGGGTCTGCTTCGGAATGCACGACGGGAAAAAGGAACACGATCCATGGAAGACATCTGCTCCAGGGGCTGCTTCGGATCGCACGAAGACGGAAAGGAAGATACCTGCGACGAGAGGGAGACAAAGAGACAACAACAAAAGAAGCGAGTGGCTTCAATACCTATGGCCAGACTTCCGGAATGCCAAATCGTGTGGCGCTCGGTTACATGACAGTGGCTATGTTGCGACGAGGTTCAGTGGGAAAACTCGCTAAACCTTCTGACTCTAGATCATGGGACCAAATCTGCCGGGAGTGACCAAACGTACAGCGACAAAGAAGTGAAACCGTATAGCAGTGAGTACATCAAACAAGACGGGAGGGACTGTTGAACCTTTGTCGCGTGATCATTGAAGGCAAGAAACATCGCAGGAGGAAACATACAGACATCCTCGTGTGTGAGCCCGTCGGGTCCTTGCGTGTGGGTCTTACAACCCGAGACCCATTTGTTCATGGCGTGCGGTCGACCATCACCACAACAACCTCCCTCCCCTTAAAACTTGCAAAATATGGCGATTTTGTGCCCCACTATTATAATAGGAGGCCGAGGGGATCTTGCGCCTTTGCGTCGGTGATGGGGTTGAAACGCGGTAGCTGTCATTTGGTTGGGTGGAGTGAGCACGCTAATGTCCAACGCTCCACCCCACCCACATTCTATGCCCACTCGGCCTGTGGTGGGAGCACAACATTCTGTCACGCACGGGCTCGCGCAAAACTAGGAATGCCGGGATTGCACATCATGATCGAAAGAAATGTTTCATGATCGAAAGAGCCCTCCACCTCGTCGCGAAAGAAAGTTCTTGGCGTCATAAATGAGGTCTTATCGACTGTATCCTCTGCTGGTGATGCAGAAGCTGCACATATTCAAGCAGGGACTTACTCACCGGAGTGTTATCACAAAGTTAAGTATCATCGGCTGGGACCAAAGGTATCGTGTGGTTGTTGTGTGCTTTCCTCCGGTCTACTCTGTTGTGGCGCCAGTCTACGCCTTTCGGTACACCTGGTACATTTCACGCACAAGCCAGGGTCGCACCGGAGGCAGGTAAACAACGGATCTGTTTGTAATATTGCTCTGTATTTCCCTCCGCGGGGCTTTCCTTCAAGCGTTAACGCGAGAAGAGTTTGCTTTTACTCACGACTGCGCGGTTCAGGTTGCAATTGGGATACAGACTTTTGAAGTCAGCCTGCAAATCATCACCCTATGAACCCTTTTGAAATTCAACAACCCTAACACTCGTACGGCGCTCTTGCAGTTCTAGCGCCACTCGCGACAGGACGGGGTCTTCGATCCTTACAAGAACACAACCGGTCCATCGCTGTCCACAGATATTGTACAGAGTCCGGGACAATAGCTGCGCGATCCCTGCACCGGAAAAGCGTATAGCCCCGACGGTTAACGGCAAACCAGCATCCAACATTCAATATGCTACCAGTCGCCCCGGCGGTCTGAATATAAATGCGCAAAGTCACGTGCACTAGATACTAGGAACAGGTTGCGTCATGAGTTTGAATCTCTCTCGGGAGTGAAAAATAAAAAACATTTCGGGTCGGAAAGCGACTACTTCCAACCTGGTACGAGGCAAGGATTGATTGCTGTTGTGGCACCCTTTCTCTCGCGCACAAATGCGGCGGCGGGAACAGCAATCAAGGGCGCGTTATGTAACGAAAAATGCACCCTCGTACTCCGTACCTGTCTGTGTGAACCGGGGTGGTGCGCAGTGTTTTTTATTATTGCCGTCCAATTTATTCGGGAAGGTCATCCTTCGCCTTATCAGCCGGTCACACAGGAGGACACACGGGATTTTTTCTCCGCCCTCTGTGCTTGCCTTGGTTAACCGTTGTCGAGAGAAGGTTCAGCCGCCGTTCCTTTCTCTCGTCCACCGTAAAGTCGACTTCGTCGTACTTACGAAAGCTATCGCTCTCCACAACTCTCCTTGTTTGGGCACTGTATGCATGTATATGTACCGTAAGCTACGGAGTTTCCCCCCCGGGGAGGGGATCGTTTTTTTTTTCTGAAACCAAACCCCCCGGGGGGAAATTGACGTACCGCGGGGGGTTAGTTTTTTTTTTTCCAACGATACCCCGGGGGGAAGCCCCCCCCTGGGAGGTTGTGCAAAATAATGATGGTCCACACAGAGAGTGGTGAAACTGAGACGGATGTGGTTTACGAGCAAGCGTTCGACAAGCAGGGGAAGGAGGAACGTAAGAGCAACAAAGACGAAGAGAAAACATACAGCAAGAGTTACCATTGCCTAAGCTCCTGCACAAGAATTCGCAGTTTGTCCGCAGGAAAAAGCTATTTTTATGCTTCGGTTCTACCTTGCGTTGTGAGATGCAAAAATGAATAAATACGAATATTTTTCCCCTTTCTGCGAAGGTTTCGTCAGCATGCTATATGGTACGTTTCAACTGACTCCAGGGACGATAAATGCAAGAAATAGACAAAGAAACGAAAGCATTTCACTCATAAGACAACGGCGAGGGCCAAGTGACAAACGGTACACCTAAAATCTCGCTCGAAGCGCAGATCTGCAAGTGGATTTTCCGTCCCATACTTCGAAATATCATGTTTTTGTGCTCCGCGATGCAACAAAATCGACTCAGAAAATAAGGGAAAAATACATCCCCCCCCCCCGGGGGGAAATTGACATACCCGGGGGCATTTTTTTTATTGTCGAAAACGATCTACCCCGGGGCTAAATCAACGAACTCATGCTTCCAGGCCGAAGAGGTATAATGGGGGGGGTGGAACTCTAATAACCCGGGGGTGGAACTCAGTAGTTTTAATCACGACAGTCGAACGGGACGCACAGACAACATTGCAAACAGCACGCGATTGCGCCAGAAATAATTCATGGGAGAACACAACCGAACCTCCAACACCCGCCGCCCCATGTACTGCTGCAGACTACGGTCATTTTTATTTTTATTTGTGGCTACACTTCAAATATGCGCTCACTCACAGCACTAGTAGTGCCGTTTACTCCAACCCGTGGCCACACAGAAGAGCCCCTCTCTACCCTCTCCTCCTGCGGTACTTCGCCTTCGATTTTTAATGCGAGAAGAGTTCATCACTCTCTTCCCTCTGTGTAAACACGAACTAGCGCTATCCACTAGGCCAGGAACGGAACCGAGAGAATAACTCATTTTGCAAGAAAAGCTCGCTTACGCCGGGATTTGAATCCCTGGCCTGACCTCTACAAGGTTTCGAGGATACCAACTACAGCAGTAGACCACCGGGGCGACGGTGGTCATGTATTTTTTTCGGGCACAATTTGTTGCGAATGAATGAATGCGCGGACGTGTTGGTATGTAGCACCTGTGCAGCAGAGGAATCACCGAAAATTGAGCAACAGGCTCAAGGCCGTTCAGCGGTGTCTCGAGGATTGAGCACATGCTAAGGAGCACGCAGGCTGTCCGTTTCTGACATGCAAACTTTCAAACCGTCCAAAGGGGTTGCAGCTTTTTTGGATTCTTGACCTCAGACTTCGGCAGTGGAGGGTCCACTGACGCCGGCCGAATCAAAACACAGACCATCCCTGCATGACTCCGCTACCACGTCACAACCACACGGATCGTGTTCTGTACCATCTGGTACAAGCAGCAAAGGTTGAATGACACATGCCGGACACGGGAATCCTTCCTTGTCGCACACGCCCAACGAACAGCGACAACAAAGAGTCGCTTTGGGTGGAGTCGCGCCGCACAACACAAATTGTGATCTGCGCCGGCGTCTGTGTGTGCCTCGGCGGCAAACTCTGTGTGGCAAGCCGCGTCTTATCGGCTCCACGGCAAGCTGGGCTCCTACGAGAAATGATGATGTGCCACCGAATGGCGCAGCAATTCTTGTCAGCCCTGCTTCTACAGTTGGCGCAAGGTAAGCGTTGAGCGGGCGATGCGATGCTATTGTGCGCATACTGCTGTTGATGCACCCATGCGTGAGAAGTCAAAGTGCTTGGTACGTACCTGCAGCGACACGCACAAGGAGCAAGCCGACGAATCCGCGAACGACTATATTCGTGAACCCCTGAACTGCGAGCAATCAATCAAATCATTGTGGCGAGGATAGAGAGGCGAACCCGTCTAGCTTCTCTCGGTTTGTACTGCGGGAAAACCATGACCCTACTTGTGTAGGTATTTTTTCCTACCTCTCTTGTCACCGGCGACGGATGAGATGTGCCAGAAGCAGGCACAGGAGGGTCAACGGGATTCGACACGGAGTATGTAGCTGCACTTGACCCAGTGCTGTAGCTCCTTCCTCAGACTCCTTCCCGAAGACACAACTGCGGGATACGACACAGCAGCAGAAGTGCAGGGTGAAGTTGTTGGCCTCCTCCCATTTGCGTCGCTGGTGCCACACTCGCGTGCGAAACTGCGGAATGTTCCGGGAAAGAGATGAGGAACCTTTAGAACGTTCTCCCGCACAGAACGTGAAACGGTTGTAACGGTTTTCCGATGGCTCCCTCCATGCGCAAAACAAGTGGGCCTTCGTCGGATCACGACGTGTGAACGCCTTGTTTTTAGGGTCGCCCCCGAACCCTGCACGCTGAAGGTATCTTGCTGCTTGTAGATGTCCAGGCGTGTGACGCGTTTGACAGAGTTTCAAAATCAGTTGTGCATACAGGGCATTTTGCCTGACTGACCTGTTGTTGTTGTTGTTGTTGTTGTTGTTGTTGTCTTCACATTAAAAACCGTTCCGATCTCTCTCTACCCAGTACCTTCGTATGTCCGTACTGATCCAACACTCGACGCGGTCGATTCCCGTGGCCACAGGTTAACTTACCCTAAAAAGGTACACTCAAATAAACTGGCCCCGAGGGGTCCGCAATTCAATAGAAATCAACGACAGATATTCTGGAATCCTCCACTCCCTCTGCGCACCTGAGAAGACTGTGAAAGGAATACACCATTGGAAGAGGGTTTCAGCCTTACCCCGGATTGTAGCTGCCCGATAGAGAAACATCTACATGCTGTTGTGTGTGTCAGAGGTACAATCGTTCTCACCCGCGGTGCGAGATTGGGATTAAAGATACATCTCGCACGTCATCACACTGCTGCTGTATTGGCTAAGACCGAAAAATATTCAATGTCCGCCGTGCTTCGCACGGGGCTTACGCCTCTACATAGAAAGTGAACAATGCGACCATGTGGACCCCTCTGCGCTTGCTATTGGCAATCGGCTTCGGCTGATGATGTACAAACAACCGCAGCCCGAGGTTTAATCATGATCTAAACACAAACGTATTACGGCAATTTTCGCCTGTACGTTACCCGTCGTTGTCGCCTTGTCGCCTGCTTCCCGGGCGGGGGCGTCCCAATGCACCCACCTATGTCTGTATCACCTTCAACCAGACGACACCGAAGGCATGAAACTGCGACAATATACCCCTTGACGAACAAACGCCTCCACCTCCTCTGCCCTTCATTTGACACCTCTGTTACTTTCTGTTGTGCTTGGTTTCCTCGCGAATTATGGACTGACAAGCTTACAACCCACCGTGAAAAAAATTAGTTCGTTTGAGCAAACTTATTCACGAGAATTACAATCTCTCTGCCTGCGATATCGTGAGAATCAAACTGAGCACCGGAGGGCTAGATGCAACGACTGCGAGCGGGAATACCAACACACGTATCGGGACCACGGGGAGCCCAAGCATTCCTCCAAATGCACGCAAGAGAGGTCGGAAGTCGGAAGGTCTCCCCCAAGAGGCAAACTCCGCGTTGATGCGACGACATACAAGTAGACTATTGTGCCATGTAGTCAACGAGGTGTGTGCATGACTCCGTTTTTTCGCCTCTCAAAATATCAGTTCCGTAACACGGCAGGCGCAACAGTTGAGAATCAGTTCAGTCATCACAAATATGGCATGCGCGACAAGACACAACAACCAATCTCCTTGGACATCTCAGCTCCTCGTCGCCAAGAGACCTGCACCATTCCCCCAAAAGGTCCTCGGCGCTCGATTCAAGGTGACAATTCAAGGTAGTATCGTCTACTACGATGCCTTGACGTGGGCATCTATCAATCAATCAATCCTCGTCGCGATGCCGGTCGCGAAACCACGCACAGCCGAACGGACGAAGCTCCGGTCATGACCGGCTCGATGGTTGGTAGATAGCATGCGGAGGATCATCGGCACGCTGCCGAAGAGTAGTACCGGCAGCAGAAGACACAAAAAGGGAACCCTGCACGGCGCAGTTGTGGGAGCAGTAGCGGTGGTCGATTTTAGTGTCGTGTACGTATTATTGTCACACCCGTTTGCGGCATAGAGTCTGAGAGTCAAAACCATGTATGAGTCGTGAGAGTCCTGTCCTGCCATGGTGCGTAAGCAGCAATCTATGCAGTACAGGCAGAACAAGCATATCGGGCAGTCGACAACGTACGGTGCGTGAGTCTTCAACGAAGGAGGCGACGTTTTTGTTCAACCCGTTGAGCGCAAGCGATGATATGACTGAGGTAAACGCGCAGTGAGCATGCGTCAGATACGAGAAAACAATCGATCTCGCGTGCAAAAAAGCGAGCATAGAACATCGGCTCCCAAGGGACCTGCGCCACGATATCTGTGCCGTTATTCGCTGATGTGCTCGTACAGCGGGGCCGAGTCGAAACTAGGCGAATGCCACGAGAACTTTCGTTTCAACAACCCTCCAACGAGAGGTACACGGCGTTCTACCCAACGGTACAATGTGGCAGAGCGCGAGGACGTGCGTTCCTGGATATTGGTGATCAGCATCGATGGGAATGGCCATGAGGATTGCTCAATACCGATAGGAACAACACGTGTAGCACGAGCATTCATCCGCGTTGATCGAAGTGCCATTATTTTTTAATCGCACATGTAATGTAATGGGTGATGTAGCCCATACTTTCAGATACAACTCGGCGGAGGTCGATCAAAGTTGATAGCGTCCGTGCAAATGACGCTGGGTGTTCTGACGTGGAGTCCTGTGACATCCAGCACAAAAGTTCTTGTGTACACTGTGAGGGAAGAGAGTGCTGCGCTCCTCTCGCATCAAAAATCGCAAGCACCACAGGAGGGGTTGGGTCGGGGGGCTCAGGGAGAGGAACTCTTCTGTGTGGCCATCGATTGGACCTACCTAAAAGAAATGCTGTGAGCAAAGAAAAAAAGCGACAAAAAAATAAAATAAAACAACTGCCATCACAACTTCTGATAAAATTCGAGCTCACATTCTGCTGTTCGATTATCAAATTGCCAACCACAAGCATGTCGATCCAACCTCAACCAAATCCCCAAGTATGAAAACTCACAAATGTTTCGTTGTTGTGGGCGCTCATCCTCTGAAGCTATCTGTTAATAGCACTGCGTTCGCGAAGCAGCTCGTCATGGAGTGCCAATATCTCTCTCAGCTCGTTCTGGGGCACCAGGTCATTACTCACAGCCGCCACTGATGCAAGCAACGCCCCATGAAGTTCCCAACCGTACACCGGAAAACGAGACACGGCACGCATGAACTAAAGTGGCACGAGGGTCTCAAGCGTAAATGCGAAGGAGAATGTTCAGTCGCTTAGTTGTGCAACTAAGCCAGGACAGGCGGGGTATTACGACAAGAAAACACGAAAACGGCACCAAGCGTTTGGGGACACAAGTGAACGCCAAGCTCGCCGGGATGACCAAACACCGATCAAACAAACCACAACGACACACATCAACACTTCGACTAGTCAAGGTGACCATGGTTCACCAAACAAGTCAAACTACGACATCCGGTCGCGAACCACGTTCGAACACCATCAGAGACAATGATTCCACGCGGCCCCGTTAGCGCGCCGATAATACGCTTGTGAGTGAGAAAATTGCGCAATGGAGAGAGGCGAGGCCCACTATGATATAAACGTAGAAAATACCGAGTTTGAAATGAACGTTTGCCTTGCCGCCAAGCCGCGACAAGAGCCAAACATATGTCCTCCGCACGCAAGAGATAGCGGAAAGCCTGTGGAACGACTTTTGCCCGTAGTCGCTCACGAGGCGAGGCCCAAATGAAAGCATGCGAACGCTGAGTTTGGTTGTTCTCAACCACTATAGAAACAGACACATATCACGTGGTCGTGAACACGATTCTGACGTACATTTGCGGGTGATCCTGTCCACTGCCCCCTGAAAACGGGTCAGCTTGGCATCATGCTCGCGATGCAGCTCATCGTTCTTGCTATGCACTTCCTTCAGGAGTTCCACGGCCTCTGCCAGCTGCCCCAAGGTCACCACATCATTGCCCGCAGCCGGTGCTGATGTACAAACAACACCCCGTCGAGTAGGCAAACGCAACCAACGGAGCAAGCGAGAGGGCGACATCGATGACTTTGGCATGAGAGTCTCAACTTCCGAACGTGTGACGGAGAGGGCGTGTTTGGTGAGATGGGGGGCAAAGTAAATGCGAACCAGGTAAGTGGGCAAAACACTTTTTCACCGGCGAAGCGTTCGACATGAGAAGGAGCTATGCAAAACAGAGTAATCAAACTACTCAATGCTCGTGCACAATGGTACTATCCAACATGAGGGGAGAGGGCTAGCGAAACACGGCGATGCCTGTACCGATCATTCGATGACATCAGGATTAGACGTCAGTCGCGCTGAGATGAATGAATCTTCACTCAGACACGAACGCATCGATGCACGAAATGTCCGTGCAAGTCCGACGTTTGCTCTTCCAAAGCAACGGGTCGATATGTTCCCTGTTCACTTGGTCGTGTCTGGACCCAAAACAAACGCTTCTTCGGCATCAATGCGTCGACTCAAAGTTTCCACCCACACTGCCGGCGCAGAACAACGCGATAGGGTCGCCACCTCGAGCCCCGGCAGGAGATTGGGAATTTACCTCTCTCTTGAGCCCTCTCGAGAAAGTCATCCAGTGCTGTCTCGGTGACAGCTTGCCGCTGCTTCAAAGCTAGCCCCCCCCCTATCGATGGTCGTGGATTGCACCCGAACATGACATGACGTGCGACAGCGTTTAATGTGGGTCAAGTGCGTATTGACTGGTGGCGTAGGATGAGGCTTCATTTTACATCACAATCGACTGCCAGCGAAACGATATTTGGTGTTTTCTCACCGGTGACACAACATTCAGACAAAAACGAACAGGCGTACAGCCACGGGATAAATCTGCTGACACCGTGGGCCCCCCGGCCTGGGGTTGGCAGGTAAACGGCGAAGGCACACGGCACGCACAGACAACAGCCGTGCCACCTAAGTCATGGCCATATTCCTCATGCAATATATACAACAGCGAGATGTGAGCAAGGAGGGTATCATAATAGGTTCCCGGGGTTCCATCGCATCAAGCACGGCGAAAACGTGTTGACAATGGCACTTTCCAACTCCAGATTTGCTCCGGGTGACCCACAAAAGCATAAGGACCACCATTGTAAACATTCTCCACGACGGAATATTTGCCGACCAAGTGTTTAGAATCGATGAGGACTTTGTTTCTCTTTGACCATCCAGAGAATTTCCACAGAGCATGCCACCTCTACACGTTGATTGGTCGGTATTTCGCTGAAATTCGTGGCGGTGAGCATGTTCCCAGTGAAACAGTATCTAACCATCGCCGATGACGTTCTCGTTGGCAACTATGGATGGTCGGGTGGTCTATCCCTGTTGAAACATCCCTACATTTACGTGTGGGTGACACGGGATTGTGGCCGAGAGTAAGGCGGCCTTGCTCAATTTGCACCAAGAAGATTCCGCACCCAAGGGGCAAACGTCACAGCGTAGCGTATTTTGCATCCAGCTGGCCATCCCACTTACCGCTGGCCACCAAGCTATCCGAGTCCGGCCCAGGCTTCATCACCTTTTTGTTCAGGATTTTCATCTGGAAAACAAACGCGGCAGCGTGCAGCATGCTGGTGTCAAACGTCGACATCGGCCGGTGAACATCGACGTGGTTCTGACTGCCCATCACGCAGGTCTGTTCCACGACGGTGGGACTACTCAACGACCAGGTGCATGCTTGATGGTGAGCTTCTCGACCAAAAAAGACCGGCAAAAAATGATGAGGAAAGGTTTCTGAACCTGCTGTGTTCTGTATAGCACAGTCACCGTACCTCAGATTCCAGCTTGGCGTTTTTTGCATTTGCCGCTTCCAAACCGTATTTGAGCCTAGCGTTCTCTTCTTTCGCAGCTTCTAGACCAGATTCTAGCTCGACATGTTTCGCATGAGAAGCTTCCAGGCCGGCTTTAAGCTCTTCGTGCGTTGCTTCCGTGCGCATGCGCATGGAAGCCACGCGCTCCATCAACGCTGCCACGTCAATATCACTCTTGGCAGCACCGTCAGGAACGGCTGGACGAGTAGCTGCAGCATGCGACTGCCGCGAAGCTGGTTGGGCGGAGCTAGCGTCATGATTGGTACGCTCCCGCGTAACGTGAGATGTCGAACCAACTCTCCGCTCGGCTTCTGGGAGTATAATTCCGACAAGAACTTTCACCTGGGGATCCATCATGTTTCATCAACGTGCCCATTTCCATTAGATTTCACCGCGAGTGTGTGACGAGCTACGAGTGGGTCCAAGCATCGGCTTGAAAAACCGAGAGTACCATAGGCTAGTCGCCGAAATCCTTGTCCCTTCAGGTGGAGACATCTAGGTTGGTTCACTAGGGAATCTCTCCGAAGCAATTGCACAAGGGTGGAAGTTGCTTCATGTATCGCGAATGCGGTGAATGTAAACGGCTCCAACGACAAGAGGAGAATCAACCAACGTTTTGCTTGCTTGTTGTTGGAACCACGCTGGTTTTCGTGCTACCGGACCACTTAGGTTGACCCGGAAAAGGTGCCGAACGTCGCCAACAATTGACAACGTGTACGGATTTTACAAAAACAATTAGGAACTCAACACGGCCGACGAAAAGTCATCAGACACGCGTGGACGACCTGTACCAGAAACGTTCCTAACTCACGACACAGAGGAAATGCGAAAAGACGGATACAGGCGGTCTTTGGATTCCTCGCATGCATAGCGCCAAGCACGCACCAAGGTAGTTAACCATCCCCTTTTCAAATCGGATTCCCGTTCTTCCTGACAGTAGAATAGCGTCCAACCAAATTTGTACTTTACCTTCTCGTCAGGAGTGTTTGTGCCGCGGAGGCAATCCCGCCCAACCGCCTTTAGAAGAGTCTGGAGGTGCCTTTTCCCAAGCTTCCTCCCAGCCTGGAAAGGACGGCGGCGAAAAGAAAGAGCGGTGAGGATCTCGTAGCTGGCAAATATACGGCGTCCACGATGGCTACTGTCGATGTGATCATTTTCTACCCGCAGGACTGGAGACGCAAAGAGTTCGACGGCAATAGAGCGCTCAGAGGCCTTCGTATACCTGTACGGCAGCAGTCGTTTTCCTTGCATCGACGTTATTCGGCTCGTAGTCCGCCACTTCTTCGACAAACCAGTCCATGACGGCTTCCTCGGTCGCAGAGTCTGGCGAGGCGCCAATATCTTGGCTCCATCCGCACCCACCTGAAATGTAATTAACCCACCGTACCCCGTCCGAGCACAAGATCTCACCGTTGGTTTGGAATACTCATCCCACATAAAACCCGCTGCAGGTGCGTGCGGCCGTGGCAATGCCCTTGTAATCGGGTTCACGGTGGGTTTGATGGGTGTCGCGACAAACCCCCAAGAACAACCTCACTCGCTGCCACACATTCGCCAAACACATGGATAAATGGAAGGCCAAACACCTAATGGGGGCTGGGTGCACCGAGAATCAAGGTGGTGGAATCATAGCGTTCTGGATCGTCTACTATCTTCAACAGGGCAAGGTGGAGCGGATGGTTTCGTGAACACCGTACCCATCGCACGAAGTTAAGCCAAACACCATGGCGCTAAGGGTGAACGTGTTTCAATCAACACTATCGCGGTTCCATCAACACAATTGCCCACAAACAATTAGGGCGTACACACACTGTGTTGCAGGACGGCGGGCTCAGCCATCCAACAAACCCGCCTCAGTAAAGCGGCGTTGGCTGCCAAGGGACAAGCCGATTGCAGTGTGGATCCTCACCCTCAACACCACCCATGCCTGCTGTGGCGTGCGAGCCACGTTCTTCAGCCGTGTCAGTCGTGGGGAGGGTGCCATCCACATACCCATCCGAGAGTTGCAACGCCAACGTCCTCGCCAGCAAACAACAGTCAGTCGAGTCGGGCGCGATGTCGCAGATCTGCCAGAGTATCCGAAACGTCGTGGGTGCGTTAGTGTCGACCATAGCACAAGCCAAGGGGTGGGCGCATCTCACGTAGAACCGCCGAGGCACCGTTCACGTGAAACAAGCTCACCTTCGACACTCGCCGAGTTTGCAGATAGCGGTCTCCCGCCTTCAAGGCTGCGGCAGCCAAGCCCGCAAGCCCACTGACCACAGGCACCGCGCTCGACAGAAACTCCAAGGTCTTTCCTGCCTGCAAGAGGAAATAGAACAACGATATCCGATTGACACTCATGCAAAGTAACAGGGCGAGTAGTGCGACACAGATATGAAACAATACAAGCCCAAATGCAGCAACATGCGGAGGCCTACGCGGCGGCAGCACTCACCGTACCCATGCGACCGGTCTTGCTTGTGCAAACCAAGCTACTGCAGACGACGCTGGCTGCGAGGTAGGCGTTACATAGACCAGTTCGGATGGCCGTGTAGTATGCCTTGGGACCCGGGGGCAACGCCAGCTCCCGCCGTTGTATGTCTTCATTCATCACGTGTCTCGACTGCGCACCAGACAATACATCGCAGTTTGCAGTAACGTTGGGCCAAAACATCGTTAGGGAAACAGGAGGAATGCGATCCATGTGCGTGTGGGAAGGGCCACCTGCACAAGGACACCTGCAATTGGGAAGCCTTCCAGGTTAGTACAAGAGGTGTGCCATATAAAAAGTCGGCTAAAATACGTCCGCCAGGCCCTTACCCGTTCTTGGTGTGGGCCGAGGGATCCCTAGACTACAGTGCAACGCTCACCACCATGTCGCCTAGATCTTCGGCCATTGCCACTAGCCTGTTCAGCTCCCCGAGCGTACCCGTCTCGCTGAGTCCCGTGCCGGGAGAAAAGCGATTGATGTCCAGTGCTTCAACAAGCTGTCTAACCTGCTCCAGGCGTTTATGACTCCCTCCACACAGCGTGCTCAACGCCGAAAAAGAAGAAATCTGAGCCTGAGTCATGTGGTCCATATCTGCCTCCCGTGACGAACCAGATATGGGTTCAGTGGTAGCTCTATCTGTCTTCCCAGGCTTGTCGCCCTGTGTCGAGGAACTGGTGCGTGCGGCGGGGTTTTCCGCTTTTGTGTCTTCGCGTACAGCTGCCTGCTCCTGCTGCCGCAGTCTTGCCCTCCACGAATCAAGACTCTCGCCCCTCGTTGGCCCTCCTGAGTTGCACGAACACCAGGCAAGAGTGAAACGATATGCGTGATGCCCTCATGAGCACACTCCACTCGTCACGACGCTGGACGAGTCATTCAATACTTCTCCACAAGAAGAGCCCAACTATACATTTCTATCAAATCAATGTCGATACAATATTCGTTTCCCCACTTTACTGTATTGGCATTGATTTGCTTTTGCACGACTTTCCTGGGCGTATCCTTGCCAGCACTATCATACGTTCGCGCTTTGCGGTTGCAGAGAGAGAGAGAGAGAGAGAGAGAGAGAGAGAGAGCCTGATCGAGTGTCTGCACCAAACTCGTGGACAACAGGTTATTGCTTTGCATTCATGGTACTCTGCCTGCAGCAAAGAAAGCGACTTTGAGACAACATTCTGAAACATTGCATCATCGTTATGGCTTTCCTGGGACGCCACCGGTCGCACACTATTAGCCCACCAAATTTTGTCTACTTTGCAACCATCGTCTCATGAAACAACGCATCGGCCATCACCGATAGACAACTTGATACATCCACACCAGTGCGAGCTGTATGTTTCGTGGGTAAATGTACATAGTCCAGACCCTCTCCCTGCACAGGTGAGTCCTGGTGTAGGTGAAGACTCGAGGTTGGGACAGGATGCCGGTGAGTGAGTTCAAACGCCAATCAAAAGTTCATTGGTTCGGATCTTGCGCTCAAGTCCATCTCCGTGGATGCTGTCCCGCCTTCACGGTCGTTCAATGGCCGGTGTTGGGCACATTTGTTAAAAGTAAAAAAGTTGTACGGCCTCCCCTTGCTTTGTGGTTCATTTGGAGTTGCGTACAATGTCCTCTCTTGGAAGAGAAGCGCGGCCTAAGCATTCTCGCTCGTCGTTTCACCACTACAATAAAACAAGCTTCGTGACGGCTTTCCGGGTTTTCCCCGGAACGCAGCCACACAAGGAACATCGCACCCACAAATCACATGCTTCCGTGGGAGTGAAATGTGGCAATTGATTTTCTTGCTGCGACAGGGATACGGCTCCACAACATCTTGAAAAATGCATGGCCTTTTCGGTATCCAAGAGGCAATGAATGCTCAACTACGGTTCTGCGTCTACTCTCCCTCACCGGTCAGGTAGTTGCTGTCGACATGAAGCGTCTTCACGTTGCGCAGAGCTCCAAACTCGTGAGGGATGGAACCTGGACAAATATGCATCGCATGATATTTAAGGCTCGTCATCGTCCCGCCGGACGTTGCGGGTAACATACGAATGACGGCGCCGGCTGTACGACAGCGGTCCGTCTACGGCGTTCAACCAACACAAGGTTTTATCACTGCCAGAGCACTTTCGAGGATGTGAACTGCACGACGAGCACCGCCGGGTCAGACATGTCCTAGCATACGACGGTCTTAATGCACTTGTCAACGGCTCCCATTAAATGCCATCATCAAGTCACCAATCCTTGGGCTGCGACCGGAGGCTGCGAGATTCCGCACGGTCCTTCACGTGTTTCCGCGAGGACCCATTTCGTGTTCCTTGTCTCTATGTTTTGCCGCTGGCTATGCTCAACACAAGGCAAGGTTGGAAACGGAGTAGCGATTTGTCAGTTCTAATTCCATGTTCGCATTTTGTTTACAGCCCCCTGAACCGAATGTTTGACCTTCTGCGAAGTGTGTAAAGTATAGCAATTGGTGCTTGCTCTTCACACAGCATACGGCGTCACGTTCACACCCTGCGAAAAATCATGGCATTTTCGGTGTCCACTCAGCTATGCAATGCATGCTCCGCTCCAATGTCCGCGATACTGTACTGTATTTTAGACCCGGTTCTCCGTCGACTTTCCCTCAACAGTCAGGCAACATGTTTGCGATGGACAATGCGGCGTATTGGGGGTACCGTTCCATCTAAACAAGTTCCCTGGAAAACATTCCCCCCAAAGGAAAATACGTAACGTTCACCTTCTTCAGCTCGCCAGGGCTCCAGTGACCTCTTGGACAAACTTAGAAACACACCAAAAGAAGGACCAACAGGGGCAGCACGCCAAAACGAACCTCTTGCTCTTGATTTTACGGACATCACCGTAGCCGTGCGGCAATGAATTGGGCGATACAGAGACAGGGCGGCGGCAAAAGCCACCCACCCGACCTATGTATTTGGTTTTCACAGGGATGGATTGGCAATGGTTGGGCACTGTGACATCGTCATCCCCTCGTGACAGTCCTCGGAACCGCCACAAAGAGAGATAAATCCGTCGCATTCTTCCTCTTTCCTCGGACATTCAACCGGCGGTCGGCTCAGCGTATTGAGTACCACATTATTGGCACAACGGAAGGGCGAAGGCAGTAGCCACTACCAGAGCTGTGTGATCGTGTGCACATCGCGTTTCCCGCAGGTTGAGGCTGTGAGGAAGATAAGGTTTCGTCGACGATGTATCGCACTGCTTTCAATTCGAACGGAAATCACACCGCTTGACGACCGCGGTTATTTCGATTTTGAGTGTTTCGGTGGTAGCTTTGGAGGAAAAGGGCGGAGTAGCTTGAAAAGCCACCGCCAGATACAAACAGTATACTAATCAATTTATCATAAGAAGATTGTGAGATAAAACAACCCATCATCTATTGCATCGTAGGCTGGGCCGGCCTTGGTACGAGTGAAGCTGATACTGATTTCACGTCACCTATAGACGGTTGCCATGGAGATGAACATGTGCCAACGTGGCTAGAGCTCCACGTGTTTCGGGGTTGCGACATATACAATCACATGGTAAATGCTACACTCTTTGCCTCGTCACAGTCAGTCACGGCGTGATGAGAGATGAACGATGCCGCCGCCGTAATGAACGTCGGTCGTGCCTCCCCGCGTGGGCGAGACTTTAAATGAACCGATCTTAACACAACATCCTCTCTCACCAGTGAGCTTGTTGCCGTTGATGACAAGGATATCCAGCTTGCTGAGAGCTCCAAGCGCCTTGGGAATGGGTCCTGCATAAGACAAATACAAAATGTGTCACACCCATGATCAAATTGAAACTGTTGCCCATGACATGAGTGCCGCCCACGCCTTGTGCGTGCGGAAATACCTCTACAAGCTACAGCAGTCTTACCAGAAGCCGAGCAACACCGATTAATAGTCAACATCTTCTACCAGTGGGCTGTTGTTGATTGCGGCCAACGCGTTCAACAGATCGGCCTCACACTCAGGCCAAGCACCCCAAGCTCCCCAACTTGAGAATATTTGTCATCGTGTGCTTGCTGGCTACCGGCCCCGTTACAGCGTGGTGCGTCCCCGGTGAGGAGGGACAGGGCCTTCCGCTTCAATGACATCGGTTCTGGGTTTGGACGACAACTCCAGGGACACAGATGCAGCGCGCAGGAGCAAAGGCAACCGCCTGAGCCATGCCTTGTTTGGCCTCCACGATGCACAAAGATTGGAAGCTCGGAGGCCATCAATCTTCTGAAAAACATGCTTGCAAGTACATGGAACAAACAGAGGTCAAGCCATTTCCTGCAGAGTGCTTAGTCGATAGGTTCCGAGGGAAAGCGAAAAGGAGATGAAAAATACATATTATCAAGCTGTGATGCATGGCGCGTCCTGAGCTGCGATGACGACGCGCCGCGGGGTTGTGACCGTCTTACAGCAACCTGCTTGAACCCCTACGAAGACCGGCCGCTGTGCTGCCGCGGCGAACATTGTAGGAAGAGCCTCGCACAGTCGCCACAATACTGTGCGTGCGGTTAGATTGAAGCCGTTTTAAACATTGCACATTTTGTCATCAATTTTATGTTTTCAAATTTGGAAACTTTGCGCAGCGAGTTCGAAGGCAAAATCTTTGGAAGCTTTCCGAACATTTGGAAGCTACCGTCCCAAAGTTTTGGGGCCCTCATCAATTTCAAAATTTTTCGATGACTTCCAAATTTTAGCTTTTGGAATTTGGAAATATGGAAAAAAACGCTATGATTAAAACGGCCCTTACGCAGTGTTGTAGACTCCAACCCCGTGTGGAGGGCAGTGCCGCGAGGGCTAAAACGACCAGAACCGTAGCCCAACCTCCACCGATGTACATAGATCAAAACGCGGCCACGATATCGCAAGACGCGTTTTGTATGTTTTCGTCCTATTTATGATGGCGACACTTCCCCCACTTTTCGTGTTGACGTGCACTACATGTATGTAGAGAACTGCACTTTTCAGTGTATGATTTGTACAGCTACAACCATCCAGGGTCACACAGGAGGGGGTAAGCACCGGGGCTTATTGCTTTGTTATTTTTTCTGTTTTCGTGCCCCACCTTAATGCTGCTAAGCGTGCTGAATTTGTATTGTTATCGCGAGAAGGGTTAGCCGTCCCTTTCCCTCCTCAACGGTGCTAGTGTCGAAGCTTGGTACTCACGACGATTTCAGCCTTTCCTTTCTCTTTCACCCGCAAAGTTGTATATACATTCAACCCATGGGGACTCGAACTCACGACGACTTTGCCACTACCGGTTTCGAGGTTACCACTAGACGACCGGGACGACCAGTGGCATAGTACCAAACAGTGGGTCTACAGGCGGGATACATCCCCGGCACCTTCGGGACGAGCCCTGATACAGTACAACCGCCAGACCCAAAGCAGACACGTTCGTCTGCATGAGGGTTGCGCTATACTGTGCGAGCCAACCAGACAACTTACTGGAACCCGAGCAAGGCCGACTGGCAGTCAAACCCTGTTGCCGGTGAGCTCGCTTGGGTCCGGACTACCGCAACCAATATATCGACCCGATATTCAGGTCATTAGTCTCAAGCTCTCAAACGTTAATATCCTGCCAATGGTCTCACTTTTCTGACTACCAGTATTGTTGCAGAACACCAAGGCCTGCCTACTTCCAAGGGCATCGGTTCCGGGTTTTGGGCAACAACTCCACAAGTAAAAAAGCAGGATACAAGGGCGAACGTCCCCCGCCCGAACCATGCCTGCGCCTCTACGATCACCAAGTCCACACGGCTCAAATGTGTGAGAGCGTTTATCATTCAAATAGAAATGCTTTCAAGTATAGACAAACAGAGGCAACGATTTTGCCCAAGACGCCGCCATATGCATCATTCAATCTGAGGGACTTGAATAGGCAGGCAGAGTGTCGTCAAATACAACAGCGTCATACACGGCCGAGGTCCTTCGGGACGGAGGGGTTCCAGTAAAGAAACACCGCCAGATGCAAACAACTGATAGCAAAACGGTATCATGAAGTTTGAGCGGGTCTACAGCAAACCATCACCTGGGGCGTCGTACGCGGCATTGTTCGCACATCACGCTGAGTTTACTCTTCCTCACCAGAAAGTGCGTTGCCGCTGAGCCCAAGCCGTTCCAACTTGCCGAGACCTCCAAGTACTCCGGGGATGGACCCTGCACACACCAAAAAGAGCCAAATGGTGATCTCGTTAGGGAGCCGCTGATGGGCGAGGTGTAGTGAAACATATATGGTGCGGCGGGCTGGTTAACACAACGGTCGGACCTACCGCGTGGGCGAGACACGAAAGGAATTAATCTTCCCACACCATCCTATCTCACCAGTGAGCTTGTTGCGGTCCACGGACAATCTCGTCAGTTCGCTGAGAGCTCCAAGCGCCTCGGGGATGGGTCCTGCACGAGATAGAAGCACAATGAGTCACATTGCCTGGTCAAATTGAAAATGTAACGCAGGACATGATGTGTCAACCACGCCCGGTGTGTACTGTACGGAGGTGCTCTACAACCTAGCCAAACACCAGAAGCCAACACCAGCTATGAGACAACGCCTACTATTGTTTCCCTCAGAATTCAGGATGATTCGGATCGCGACCAACACGATAAGCATATCGCACTGACACGTAGCTCAAGCATCCACACCTCTCAAACATCCCCCATGATGCTAAATGTTCCAGGTTCCAACTTTTCTACCGGATTTGTTGCGGGCACCAATGCCTCCCTACCCTGACGAGAGACGACCCACCTTTCCACGGGCATCAGATACGGTTTTCGGAGACGAATCCGGAGGGGAAGATGCAGAGAGCAAGGGAATAAGACTCTCGCTAGAGGTATGCCGGTCGAGTGCTACTACTAGATACAACGATCCGAAGCTGCGGGTTCGGTATCGTCGAACACAATGGTTGGAAATACATGGCACAGGCTGATGTCAACCCGTTAGAAGCTTCCTGTGGCCTCGAGTTCCAGTGTCTAGTCTCCGATGATAGGTGAGAGCGAGGTGAAATAGAAATAGCCATTCTTTTGAGGAACAAAGCAGCAACTTGAGTTGCGTCTACAATGCACCGTAAGGGTGTCGACGTCACACGACAAGCTGTGACGACACACCAGCACACCAACAACAAGGCCGCCGACGTGCTATGGCCGCCTTGACTGAGCAAAGTGTCGCGCATAGTCGCCACTTCGCTATGGGCCAACTGATATACCGCGTATATACAGTCTTGCCGAGTCCACGCCCGTGTATGGGGAAACATCGCTTCAGTGAAGCCAATATGATAATGCTACAGCAAAACCTCCACTACGGCTGTAGGACTCCTATCAAAGTGGCCACGGTATGGTATCGTGCAAAACGTGTTGCCAAATACCGAACAACGTGTACATGAACGGATATAAGCTGCGAGTTGCTTGAAACGTTGTATTTGCGACAGCGACCAAACTAATACACAAATAACGAACACAAGACATCATCATCAATGTCATGCGATTCTACTGCACACTACCCTCCACGGCATCGTGAGCGGAATTGTTCCCGCTTCGCAACGTGTTCCATTCTCCCTCACCGGTCAGCTGATTGCCGTCCAGTCGAAGAATTTGGACCTTTCTGAGGCCTCCAAGCTCTCCGGGGATGGAACCTGCACAAGGCAAAAGAGCCAAACGGTGATCTCGTTAGTTCGTCGCTGGTGGGCGCGGCGTAGTGAAAAGGTATGATGCGGCCGGCTTGCTCAACATCGGTCCGACCTACCACGTAGGCAAGACACGAAAGGCATCAATCTTCGCACGCCATCTTATCTCACCAGTGAGCTTGTTGTCGCCAATGTCAAGGTTCCTCACCTCGGTGAGAGCTCCAAGCGCCTGGGGAATACTCCCTGCTCGAGACAAAAGCACAACGAGTCACATGTCGTGATGCAATTTCAAATGCAACGCAAGACACGATGTGTCAACCACGCCCGGTGTGTACTGTACGGAGATGCTCCACAAGCGACTCCGGAAACCGAGTAACACCAGCTATGCGTTAACGCCGTTTGCTTCCCTCAGAATTCAGCTTGGTTCGGATCGCGACCAACACGATTAGCATATCGCACTGACACGTAGGTCAAGCATCCACATCTCTCAAGCATCCCCAATGACAAACGTTCTCGGTTCCAACTATTCTACGGGATTTGTTGCGGGCACCAATGCCTCCCTACCCTGACGAGAGATGACCCATCTTTTCACGGGCATCAGATACAGGTTTCGGAGACGAATCCAGGGGGGAAGATGCAGAGAGTAAGGGAATAAGACTCCCGCTAGAGGTATGCCCTCGCGTGTTTCTATTAGACACAACGACTCGAGGCTGCGGGATCGGTATCGTCGAACGCAATGGTTGGAAATACATGGCACAAGCTTATGTCAATCCGTTAGGAGCTTCCTGTGGCCTCGAGTTCCAGTGTCTAGTCTCCGATGATAGGCGAGAGCCAAGTGAAATAGAAATAGCCATTCCTTTGAGGAACAAAGCAGTTACTTAAGTTGCGTCTACAATGCACCGTAAGGATGTCGACGTCACACGACAAGCTGTGACGACACCCCAGCACACCAACAAGGCCACCGACGTGCTGTCGCCGCCTTGACTGAGCAAATTGTCACGCATACTCGCCACTTTGCTATGGGCCAACTGATATACCGGGTATATACAGTCTTGCCGAGCCCACGCCCGTGTATGTGGAAACATTGCTTCAAGTGAAGCAAACATGATAATGCTACAGCAAAACCTCCGCTACCTATGAAAGTGGCCACGGTATGGTATCGTGCAAAACGTGTTGCCAAATTCCGGACAAGGGGTACATGAACGGATACAAGCTGCGAGCTGCTTGAAACATTGTCTTTGCGACAGCAACCAAACCATTACACAAACAACCAACATCAAGACCCCATCATCATCGATGTCGTGCGATTCTACTGCACACTACACTTCACGGCATCGTGAGCGGGATTGTTCCCGCTTCGCAACGTGTTCCATTCTCCCTCACCGGTCAGCTGGTTGCCGTCGAGTCGAAGAGTTTGCATGTTTCCGAGGCCTCCAAGCTCTCCGGGGATGGAACCTGCACGGGCGTACAGCAGGTGGCCCCCTGGTTATGCTGCTGCTGATGTACTGAGCATGACGAGGAAACATGTGTGATGCCGCCGACTTGTTCAACATCGGACCCGCCGACGTCGTGGGCGAGACACGAAATGATGTCCCCACGCCATCCTCCCTCACCGATGAACTTGGCGACGTTCACCACACAAGTTTCTTCAGCTTGCGATGTACGTCTCACGTGTGATCGACTTGCATGCGTTCTCCAAGATGAGAAGATTAATATGTCGCCACCGTTTCGTGGGTTCGGGGGACGCTATGCAAGCCAACCAGACCACCTATTGGTACCCTCTGATGGCAACCAAAAGCTCTTGCCGGTGAGCTCGCTTGCGTCCGGACTACCGCGACCAACGCATCGACTTGACACTCACGTCGAAAGTCGCAAGCTCTCAAACTGCTACATCATGCGAATCGTTTCAAATCCGGACCACCCGCGGTATTGTCGCAGGGCACCGAGGCCTCTCTACTCAGACGAAATTGGATCTGTATCTCCAAGAGCATCGTTTCCGGGTTTAGGCCACAACTCCAGGGATACAGGTGCATGATGCAAGGAAAATGCCCCCCGCCCGAGGCATGCGTTTGGTGCCTCTACGATGTACAACGGTTCGAAGGTGTGAGATTGTTATCGTTCAGAGAGCAAGGGTTTGAAGTACGGGCAAACAGAAGTCACGCCATTGCCAGCCTCCTGTGGCCTCGCTTTCCGATGGATAGTCGATAGGTTCCGAGGAAGAGCGAAACAACAATGAAACGACCCCCTCTTAGAGGTGCATTGCATGGCACGTCCTGGTTGCAAGCATAATGTATCGTAAAGCTGCTGTGGACGGCAGAATAAAGCTGTGACAACACCCCAACACATCAAACGAGGAGCCACTGATAGGCTGCCTTCATATTTGGAGGAAGTGCCACGTGTACTCCCCACGTCGCTATTGGCCATCTGGCATTCCGCGAATTTACAATCACGTCGCGTGTCGTGCAGGCGACACCACGAGTCTCATTCAATAGACCAACTGCAAACCTCAGCGAAGACTGCGTCACCTATATCAATCCAGATCAGCGACTGAGGAAGAGGCAGCGAGGGTGTCGCCAAATAACGGACAAGGGGTTCAACAGCGGCATACAGCGCCGAGGCCCTTTCGGTACAGACGGGTCCCAGTACAGCACGACCGCCAGATACAAACGTTAGTAGGAAGGCTGTAGGATCCTAAAGCAAACCATCAAGGGCATCGTAGGCGGCCTTGTTCTAACATCGCGCTGAGTTGCATTCTGTCTTGCCTGAGAGCTGGTTGCCGTGGAGCCCAAGGTGTTTCAACTTGCCGAGACCTCCAAGCACTCCGGGGATGGACCCTGCACAAAACGAAAGAGCCAAACGGTGAACTCGTTAGTTCGCCGCTGGTGGGCTCGGCGTGGTGAAACATGTATGATGCGGCCGGCTAGTTCAACATCGGTCCGACCTTCCGCGTGGGCGAGACACGAAAGGTATCAATCTTCGCACGCCATCCTATCTCACCAGTGAGGTTGTTGTCGTTCATGGCAAGCGTCTTCAGCTCGCTGAGAGCTCCAAGCACCTCGGGGATGGGTCCTGCTCGAGACCAAAGCACAATGAGTCACATGTCGTGATGCAATTGCAAATGCAACGCAAGACACCATGTGTCAACCACGCCCGGTGTGTACTGTACGGAGATGCTCCACAAGCGACTTCAGAAACCGAGTAACACCAGCTATGCGTTAACGCCGTTTGCTTCGGATCGCGACCAACACGATCAGCATATCGCACTGACACGTAGGTCAAGCGTCCACATCTCTCAAACATCCCCCGTGATGCTAAGCGTTCTCGGTTCGACTGTTGTACCGGATTTGTTGCGGGCACCAATGCCTGCCTACCCCGACGAGAGATGACCCATCCTTAGACGGGCATCAGCTACGGATTTCGGAGACGAATCCGGGAGGGAAGATGCAGAGAGCAAGGGAATAAGACTCTCGCTAGAGGTACGCCCTCGCGTGCTACTACTAGATACAACGACTCGAAGCTGCGGGTTCGGTATCGTCGAAAGCAATGGTTGGAAACACATCGCACAAGCGGATATCAATCCGTTAGGAACTTCCTGTGGCCTCGAGTTCCAGTACCCAGTCGAGAGGTTTCGATGATGGCGAGAGCGAAGTGAAATAGCCATTCCTTTGAGGTGTAAAGCATGGAGCATCCGCAGTTGCGTCTACAACGCACCGGGAGACTGTTGACGTCACACGGCGAGCTGTCATGGGACCCCAGCACCACCAAGAACAAGACCACGGATGTGCTGTCGCCGCCATGAGTGACGAAAGTGTCACGCACAGTCGCCAAACAGCCATGGGTCAACTGACATACCGCGAATATACAGCCTTGCCGAGTCCAAGCCCCTGTGTGGGGAAACATGGCTCAGAGTGCAGCAACCATGAAAAGCTACGACACGCCGAAGCCAAGACTTCGCCACATGCATCAATCCAGCTGAGTGACTTGAAGAGACAGGGAGAGTGTCGCCAAATAAGAAAAACAAGGGGTACAACGGCGGCATACAGCGCCGAGGTCCTTTCGGTACAGACGGGTCCCAGTACAGCACGACCGCCAGATACAAACGTTAGCATGAAGGCTGTAGGATCCTAAAGCAAACCATCATCTAGGGCGTCGTAGGCGGCCTTGTGCTAACATCGCGCTGAGTTGCATTCTGTCTTGCCTGAGAGCTGGTTGCCGTGGAGAAAAAGCATTTCCAACTTGCCGAGAGCTCGAAGCACTCCTGGGATGGACCCTGCACAAAACAAAAGAGCCAAACGGTGAACTCGTTAGCTCGCCGCTGGTGGGCACGGCGTAGTGAAAAGGTATGATGCGGCCGGCTGGTTGAAAATCGGTCCGACCTTCCGCGTGGGCGAGACACGAAAGGAATATTCGCACGCCATCCTATCTCACCAGTGAGCTTGTTGCGGGGCATCACAAGCGTCTTCAGCTCGCCGAGAGCTCCAAGCGCCTCGGGGATGGGTCCTGCTCGAGACAAAAGCACAATGAGTCATATGTCGTGATGCAATTTCAACTGCAACACTAAACACGATGTGTCAACCACGCCCGGTGTGCACTGTACGAAGATGCTCCTCATCGTTTACCAGAAACCGAGTAACACGCTGTGAGCCAACGCCTTGTGTTTCCTCCAGAATTAAGGTTGGTTCGGATCGCGACCAGGACAATCAGCATATCGCACTCACAGTTAGGTCAAGCATCCCGATTTCTGAAAACGTCTTTCGCGATGAAACCCACCGATCTTCTCACGGTCGTCCCACTGGATAGTCTATGTTTCACGCCACAAATGCTTCCCCGCTCAGAAGAGATGAGGCCGTTTTCTTCAAGGGTATCGGTTCCGGTTCTAGGAGTAGAGATTAAGGGAGCTACGAAGCGGTGCCGTGAATAATGCCTTGTTTTAATTTTATTATCTCTTCGGAAATCATGAGGTTGGTTTCGTCCCGAAAGTAATGCTTGGAAGCTCATGGACGCTCATGGCGTGCTATAGCTAAACACGGTAGCAAGGGGCGTCATTTCGCATCACTCAACATAGTGAGGATCATCCAACCACCACTCGATGCCGAAATCAATATGGTACAAAACGAGCAAATTCATAACGCGGACTAGACATTACAATACCGCGGAGGTTGTTGTCCGGCAGAATCAGCCCCACCACACGGCCCGCGTGGTTAACTTTGACCCCCTTCCAAGTAGCTAGCCCCGCGTCCGTGTTCCAGTTGCTGTTCGTCTTCCAGTTCGCTCCATCAGTCGAACGAAACAACGCAACCAGTGCGGCACGATCGATGGAAGACACCTGCTCCGAGGGGCTGCTTCGGAATGCACGACGGAAAAAAGGAACACGATACATGGAAGACACCTGCTCCGACGGGCTGCTTCGGATTGCACGAAGGCGGAAAGGAAGATACCTGCGACGAGAGGGAGACAAAGGGACAGCAACAAAAGAAGCGAGTGGCTTCAATACCTATGGTCAGACTTCCGGAATGCCAAATCGTATGGCGCTCGGTTACATGACAGTGGCTATGTTGCGACGAGGTTCAGTGGGAAAACTCGTTAAACCTTCTGGCTCTAGATCATGGGACCAAATCTGCCGGGAGTGACCAAACGTACAGCAATACTGAAGTGAAACCGTATAGTAGTGAGTACATCAAACAAGACGGGAGGGACTGTTGAACCTTTGTCGCGTGATCATTGAAGGAAAGAAACATGGCAGGAGGAAACATACAGACATCCTCGTGTGTGAGCCCGTCGGGTCCTCAAGCGGATATACCGGATGGCTTGGACTGGCGCCCAGAGCACATGGTACGAAACAAACCAACGTGAAGAACGCGGGGCATGATTCCTTCGATGACTTCGGTGGAATCCTCTCAATGAGGCCGATGCAAGGTGCCTCCACAGCGAGATTCCTCGCGCAAGACGACTTCAGTTGGGACCAGGGCGTCGGATTCTCCGGGTTTGGTGAACATAAGTGCCACGTCAATCAACACATGGTGTCGGTCGGTTTTGCCACCATACGCCACGAATCGATTTCAGCATGCTTTCAACATCGACTCGTCACCACAATATATACACTCGTGGGTGTGCATTTGGAAAAACATGAACCAGGTACGTATTCTGTGCAATCACATTTGCTGCTTAAGTGCACATACATGAACTTCGACGTTGATCGCGCACTTTCTTACGGGTGGCCAATGGGCGCCTGGCGATACGGTGGGTGTGGATCTTAGAACCTGATTATCGTTTGTTCCGTGCATTCGACTTTCACAACAAGACGGGTGTCGCAAGCATCGTAGCAGCAGGACAGAGGGAGAGATCTACCATCACTCTACTTGATGCTTGGCGTACGTACACAAGGTTCGACGTGGATTGTGCTTTTGTGGACGAATTTCCAACGGGGTGCCTTGCGTGTGGGTCTTACAACCTGAGGCCCATTTGTTCATGGCGTGTGGTCGACCATCACCACATCATTCTCCCTCCCCTTGAAAACTTGCAAAATATGGCGATTGAAGTGTGCCCCATTCGGGGGCCGAGGGTACCTTGCCCGTTTGCGTCGGTGATGGGTTGAAACGCGGTAGCTATCCTTTGGTGGGGTATAGTGAGCATGCCAATGTCCAACGCTCCACCCCAGCCCCATTCTGTGCCCACTCGGCCTGTGGTGGGTGCACAATATTCTGCCACGCACGGGCTCGCGCAAAACTAGGCTTGCCGAGATTGCACATCATGAGCGAAAGAAATGTTTCATGGTCGAAAGAGCCCTCTACCTCGTCGCGAAAGAAAGTTCTTGGCGTCATAAATGAGGTATCGAGTGTATCCTCTGCTGGTGATGCAGCATCTGCACATATTCAAGCAGGGACTTACTCACCGGGGCGTGATCACAAAGTTAAGTATCATCGGCTGGGACCAAAGGTATCGTGTGGTTGTTGTGTGCTTTCCTCCCGTCTACTCTGTTGTGGCGCCAGTCTACGCCTTTCGGTACACCTGGTACATTTCACGCACAAGCCAGGGTCACACCGGAGGCAGTAAAACAACGGATCTGTTTGTATTTTTGCTCTGTATTTCCCTTCGCGGTGCTTTCCTTCAGCTTTAACGCGAGAAGAGTTTGCTTTTACTCACGACTGCGCAGTTCAGGTTGCAATTGGGATACAGACTTTTGAAGTCGGCCTGCAAATCATCACCGTTTGAACCCTTTTGAAACTCAACAACCCTAACACTCGTAGGGCGCTCTTGCAGTTCTAGCGCCACTCGCTGACAGGACGGGGTCCTCGATCCTTACAAGAACACGACGGGTCCATCGCTAAATATCTACAGAAAAACGTCGGGGACAATAGTGCGATGAGTTTTATCCGTTAGGCAAGAATCGCTGCGCGATCCCTGCCGGATGAACATATAGCCCCAACGGCCAACGGCAAACAAGCATCCAGGTCGCCCCGGTGGTGTGAAAAATGCGCAACCTCGCCTACGCTACTGTTTAGCAGCAGGTTGCGTCGTGGGTTTGCATCTCTCTTGGGAGTGAAAAATATGCAATTTCAGGCCGGAGAGCGACTACTTACTTCGTGAGGCAAGGACTGCTGTTGCATCCTTCATCTCGCGTCAAAATGCGACGGCAGGGACCGCAATTAAGGGCGCGTTATGCAAAGAAAAAAACAGTACTTGTCTGTATAACCCCGACTGGTACGCTGTGTTGTACTGCCATCCATTTTATCCTGGACGTCGGTAACCATACGCCTTATCAGCCTCACACTGGAGAAGGCGACACAGAAGTTTTTCCTCCGCTCTCTGTGCTTGCCTTGCTTAATTGATTGATTAACCATTGTCGCGGCAACGTTCAGCCGCCGTTCCTTTCCCTCGTCAACCGTAAAGTCGAATATTTGAGTACACACGAAGTTATCGCTCTCGACAACTCTCCTATCGCATGTATTAGAAATAATGAAATAATGAAATAATTCCCAGTGTTCGTGTGACCGCTGTGGCGAGATTAAACCCACGTCAACGTCAGCAGTCAGCTGGTGGGTCAGAGAAGGTCAAGGTTGTGCGACCGAGAAAACAAAAAAAACATAATACGTGCGTGGTGCGTGGTGAGTCGTTGGCCTGGGACCCGAAAACCGTCTGCTTCAGTTGGACCGGTGTGGATACTACATAGATAGATAGCTAAGCAGAGGCCGGCGTTGTTTAAAGGCACAGACAATCAATATTGCGGACTTCGGAAATACAAAGCAGAAAAAACCATTTATTTGGAGATATAATCACGACAGTAGTCGAACGGGATGCACAGACAACATTGCAGCCAAGCCAACGCGATTGCGCCAGAAAAAATCATGAGATAACACAACCGAACCTCAAATACCCGCCGCCCATAGGCTTCTTGCAATAGCCCCGCCTTTTTTACAAAACGCCTGTGGGGGGGGGGGGCATACGCTTTTTTGGGTACTCTAAAACCAAGACGAATTGGGGAGGGCTTTTCAAAACTTGAAGCCGCTGGCTTGACAGCTGCGGAGGCCGTGACACCACTCACCGAACAACGATAACGCCAGGATAGGACAGCAGAACACTCCTACGCCCCTTGGCATGCTCTAGACATTCCCATCACGAAGGAGAGCTCGGCGTACTGCTTCGTTTTAGTCAGCTCATTTAGCGGCGAGATTTGGGGACTCCGCGCAGAATTTTTGATTTTTGAATTTACATCACGTGAAATTTAAATCAAACTGCAAGACCGTAGCCGCCGCCCGGCCTGCTTCGGTGGTGCATCAGCGCGCGCACACGCACAGCGCCCGGCAGAAGAGTCACGTAGGGTTAAACGGGGGTGGTCTAGGGTTAGGACCATGGCCCTTCCATCGCAAGCCGGCGGTGCTGCAGGGGCGGAAGCCGATGGGTCGGCTCGTTGCTACATCCTGGGAGGCTGTATCTGCGCAGGCCTTCCCGGTGGCCAACACCACTGCAGAACGTGTGGCCACCTCGTCCACAACCGTGCCTGCAGTATCTCCTCGGCACCGATGACAGCAGTGACGCTGGAATTTTCTGCGGGGGCCTCGCCTGCATGACGACCATGGGCGAGGAGGACAAGTCTAGGCAGATAGCTGCCGGGCAGAGAGCTCGCATTGAGAGAGATGAGCGGCAGAGAGCCGAGCGCGAGCAACGATGCGGCGCAGGGGATCGTTGCGTTGGTGGAGCTGACAAGATCTGCGCTTCGTCCTCTTGCTGTGGTTCCCGGCGCCACTTCAAATGTACGGGACTGCCGTGTCAGTCGGGCTGCTCGGCGGAAGGTGAGCTCGTGTATAGGAACATGTTTACCAGGAGGGACGCCCTCCTTGGGCTGTTACTAGAATATGACAAATTTGAATATCACCGCTCGCTAACCACAGACCACAAGGACTACGCGCTTGGATGTGGCTTCCAGTTTGAACTGCTTGTGTTTGTAGTGTCTCCACGGCAGGCTTGCTTCAGCCGGTTACACAGAACAGCGTAAGACCGTCCCCATGCAAAATCCTCGTGCGTGATGCTCCTCCGTCGCGCTGCGATGAAACGAACCCCCTTTTTTCCCCTTCCTTTTTGCTCGTTTTTTGCCCATTGCTGTTTTTCGGGATAGCCAGCGGAGAGGACGACGTCACCGACCTCACTTCTGTACAAGGAAACGGGGACGAGGAGGAGGAGGAGGAGGGAGAGGAGGAGGAGGAGGAGGAGGAGGAGGACGGCCTGAATGCTGAGGCACAGGAAGGTGACCACAAGGCCTCTGCGTGATTGTCAGATGTCTTTGCCAGCAGACGGTGTTCCTCAACTTGACGAAGAAGTACCATGACTTTTCAAAGTGGAAAGCTACCGCTGCTGTACATTACCCTCGGGCCCCGGGCACTGATGCGCTGCAATTGTTCTTGACCACCCGTTGCGGTTAATCCAGATAATTCCGGGAACAGCGGTATCGCCGCGAGGCGGCCTGCCACGGGAGCGGCCGGTTCGGTAACGGGACAGGGCGCAGGAAATACACCGGTGTCGAAGGCCTCCAGTGGTGAGCGGAGCGGAACCTTCGCATGCCACGAGGCCCAAAATATCTGTCAGCATATCTACGTCATGTCGGTCGTGCGTCCTATGCAGTTCTAAGTTAGTTGTGTGGTGGAGATCCCGCACTCATCGATGCGGAACGGACATGCAGAAATCTGATGATGAAGAATCGGAGGGCACCCCCTCCCGTCGCTTGAATCACGAAATCATGTCGGGGGTAGGCTAGCTCTCTCTTTATTTACTTACTATATCGTAGTGGTGCGAACACGTCTGCTGGCGAGGCTTAGTAAATAACGGTTTGAAAAACGTCGTGCACATCGGCACGGGCTTGTTTCCAATTTACACCCACAAACTTCG